AAAAAAAAAAAAAAAAGAAAAACTCCGCTCACAGCCCTCAGAAAGGTGAAACGTGCCAAAGTCAAGCGACTTAATCTGTATATTAAGGACAAAATCAGTGTTCGAAGCATATGTATATGGATAAGAGCCATCTCCTGTGTTGAGGTCAAGCCTTTCATCCCCTAACGTTACGAGATGGTTTGGATCGAGCGACTTTGATATATTGGGATACGCCTGTAGTCCGCTCGTCTGTCACGCTGGTATCGCCTTGGCGCAGCAAGGCCCACTGGCTAGCTCCCATGCAAAGATAGCTGTCGAGTTGATGTAGCAACTTACAACAGCCCCGATATATGTATGATACTGAGCTTGAGCCGCTATGTTAATAAACTAAGTGGTTTCATTGCTAAAGGCAGCCGCAAAAGCGTCGATGCCGCCAAAGTCGGCCCAATTATTGACAAACAGAATGATAAGTTCAAGGCCGTTCTGCCCAGCCGGGGAAATTACATAATCAAGGCTCTGTAGTCCATCCGCTCCCGTTTTAATCACGGATCCCGTGGCGTTTAGCAGCTGGAACCCAAATTTCCCAGTTGGGGGCAGTGTGTTCCAGTCACTGAAACCAAATAATACGCACCGAGTAGGCGATATTACACAAGGTTATGTCAACATCTGTGGTGTTGTACGTCCGCGTTGAGTCATCAGGATTCTTCCTCAACAGAACGGAATGTAGGATTTTTCAATTTGCTGGTTGGACTTGGCGGATATTCGCTCAACTACCAAACCGATTGGATTGAACTCGCTTAGACAAGGTATGCGGGAAAGGCAAAAGCTCCAATGCAACGTCTCATCGTTCAAAATAATGCAACTTCAACAGTACTGAGAGGCAGAACAACTCTTATGCTTGAAGGTAATGAATATAAGTTGATCTCAGCAGTCGGCACAAGCACATTCGTACCTACGCGTGGTTGAATCTCTGATGTGTTTGCTAAAGAGTAGAGGCTGTGAGGCACACTGGCAAGGTACCTAGTATACCTTTTTCCATTGTATCTTCCTCCTTCTAAGTGCATATATGGAATATGTATTGCATAGGAGCTACTTTGTACATGTACTAGATTCAGCCTTGCTGCGGGGGCCCGATGATGCCCAAAAGTTATATATGCATGAACTTTTTCTCGAGCTTACTCAAACCCGATATTATTGACCATCGCTCTTAATGACTTGGCTCGAACTGATGCTCTGAATATTATTTTATATCTATAATATTCGAGATCGCTGCAGAATCATACCCTTCGAATTGCCAAAGCACAGTGCCACTGTGGTCTCTGTCCTGATAAATACATGTACATTGTCTTATGGCTACCCCGCCTGCGAGCCGTGACGAATTTGAAGTCGCTCTAGTTTGTTCACGACCGCTCGAATACAACGCCATCTCGCTCCTCTTTGATCAGTTCTGGGATGAGAACGGCGATCAATATGGCAGAGCCATTGGAGACATGAACACTTACACCACTGGACGCTTTGGAAAATTCGATGTCGTCCTGGTTCTTTTGCCAAATACGGGGAAAATCAGCGCGGCTAGCGCCACCGCGAGTCTCCGATCGAGCTATCCAGCGTTGAGGCTCATAATCTTGACGGGGATCTGTGGAGGCGTGCCCAGTTCCGATGCTGGCGATGAGATTCTCCTCGGTGACGTGGTCATCAGCAAGACTGTGATACAGTACGATTACGGCAAGCAGTATCCTGATGACTTCGCGGTAAAGGACACGACAGAGGATAGCTTGGGGAGGCCGGACAAGAATATCCGCAGTTTGATTGCGGTCCTTGAAACAGCCCGCGGACGAGAGCTAATTGAGAAGCGGGTTGCCGATCTTCTCGAGCAAATTCAAAATCTTAAAAGGGATACTTACCAGTATCCCGGGACCGCCAGCGATAAGTTATTCGAGGCAAGTTACCGCCATAAGCACCACACTTCGCTGCAATGCCTCTGCGCGCAGTGTCACGAGTATTCGGCTCCTGTATGTGAAGAGTCTCGAGGTCTAGGGTGCGACGTACTTGGATGTGATGACAAGCATTCTATACCGCGACAGCGTCTTGAAACAAAACGCCAGCTTGAGCAGCAAATAGGTAATAAAGAGGCTCAGATCCCGTCCATCTTCATCGGTCGTTTCGGTTCAAGTGATAAAATGCTCAAGTCCGGCGAGCATCGTGATCGAATCGCTAAACATTATGGCGTCCTAGCCTTTGAGATGGAGGGCGCCGGAGTCTGGGATGAGCTTCCATGTATTATTGTCAAGGGAGTCTGTAACTACGCAGACAGCCACAATAACAGGCCTTGGCAGAACTTCGCCGCCGCAACGGCCGCAGCTGTCGCTAAAAGCTTGGTGGAACGGTATACAAAAACAGACAAGCCGACCATAATCCAGGTCAAGCAGCAAATAGAGGAGATGATGAAAGTTAAAGAAAATAGAGATTGCCTAAAGGACCTGCACCAGACGGACCCCCGTGACGATAAGACGCGCATACAGCGTACTAAAGGCAACTTGCTTAAAGACTCATATCGCTGGATCCTCAGCCACGAAGATTTCAAGAGATGGTGTGACAATCCTCAGTACAGGCTGCTTTGGATCAAAGGAGATCCTGGCAAAGGAAAGACAATGCTTTTATGCGGCATCATCGACGAGATAGAGAAGTCTACTACTACACATTGCTTGTCTTATTTCTTCTGCCAGGCTACCGAAGTACGACTGAGTAGCGCAACGGCAGTGCTACGAGGTCTTATATATATGATAATCAGCCAGCGGCCGTCACTTATTTCTTACGTCCGAGAAAAATATGATATTTCTGGGAAGAAGCTTTTTGATGACGGCAATGCTTGGGATGCGCTGTCCAAGATTCTGATGGCTATGTTGAATAACGCAAGCTTGGATGATGCCATTTTGGTTGTCGACGCTCTCGATGAGTGCAATAAAGAATTACCGCTTCTCCTTGAGTTTATTTCTCGAGCGTCTAATTCGTCACGTACCAAATGGATCGTGTCAAGCCGTAACTGGCCTCTTATTGAAGAGAATCTTGATACTCCCAAGCAGGGAGTTAGGCTATGCCTTGAGCTGAATGAAAGTTCAGTTTCCACCGCTGTTCAAACTTATATCCGACATAAAGTGAAAGAATTGGCTGAGCAAAAGGGCTATGATAGCACAACGCAAGATGCTGTTGAGCAACATTTAATGTCAAACGCTCACGGCACGTTTCTTTGGGTGGCTCTAGTCTGCCAAGATCTTGGTGATCCAAAGGTCAAAAAGCGACATACGCTTAACAAGCTCAAGACATCATACCCACCTGGGCTTGACCCTCTATACCTGCGAATGATGGAGAATATTCGTGACTCACTTGATGCGGAAACTTGCCGACAGATATTGGCTATTGTTTCAGTCGTATACCGCCCAATCACATTAGCAGCACTAAGCCGCCTTCTAGACTCAGATGATGATTTTGAAAGCGACGAGCTGACAGACATTATTGGGTCTTGCGGTTCATTTTTGACCATCCGAGACGACGTAATTTACTTCATACATCAGTCGGCAAAAGATTTTCTGCTTGAAAAAGCTCCTGATCAATTTTTAGCCTCTGGCATTGGGTACCAGCACCGCATTATCTTTTTGAGATCGTTGGAAATTTTAAGCAAGGCACTACATCGCGATATGTACAACCTACGCCTTCCAGGTTTCCCAATCGAACAGGTCTCTTCGCCTAGCCCTGATCCATTGGCGCCAATTACCTACTCGTGCATCTATTGGATTGACCACTACTGCGACCCAAGATGCTTGCAGGCACTGAGTCTTGAGAGCAGGCAACAAAGCGAAGAGGCTATCGCCAAGTTCTTGGAAGGTAAATACCTGTATTGGCTGGAAGCTCTGAGTTTGTTGCGTGGTATGTCAGAGGGATGGCTTGCAATTCAGAAGCTAATAGTAAGTTGAAATTTCTTCTTGATTGTATATCAAAGCTGATTTATGAAAGGAGGCCATTCAATCGCAACACCTTACTGAATTGCTCAAAGATGCAAGTCAATTCATTCGGTCACACAAGCGAGTGATGGAGTCTGTTCCATTGCAGGTTTATGCAGCAGCACTCGTTTTTAGTCCTTCGCAGAGTAAAATGAGAGAAATTTTCGTCGCCGAAGAGCCAAAATGGATCCTCACAAAGCCACTTGGGGCGATGCGCTGGCCTGCTTGGCTACACACTCTCGAGGGCCATACTGAGGAAATCGCATCAATCGTCTTTTCCCCCAACTCATCGCTCGTAGCATCGGGCTCATACGACGATACAGTCCGGTTCTGGCGTATTAGTACAGGCGATTGTGTGCATGTACTTAGAGGCCATACAGAGTTCATTATTTCACTTGTCTTCTCACATGACTCAGCGCTCTTAGCATCAGGCTCATGGGATCAAACAGTCCGGCTCTGGCGCACCGATACAGGCGATTGTGTGCATGTACTTAGAGGCCACAAACAGCGCATTCTCTCACTTGCTTTCTCACATGACTCAACACTATTAGCATCAAGCTCAAATGATGAAACAATCCGGCTCTGGCGCACTGATACAGGCGAATGTGTACAAGAGCTGCAGCATTTTGGTGAGATTAAGGCCATTGCCTTCTCGCATGACTCGTCCCTTCTGGCATCATTTTTTGCAGGCGGAACCTTTCGACTCTGGCGCGTTAGCACAGGCGACTGCGTACGAGATCTAAGGATTCATAAAATTAAGATTAGCGCAGCTGCCTTCTCACATGACTTGACACTCTTAGCATCCGGCTTAGAGGATACAATCCAACTCTGGAGCATTGAGACAGGAAAGTGTGTGCGAGAGTTTAAATGCCATCCCGAAAGTGTCCTTTCAATCAACTTTTCTCATAATTCGAATTTGATGGCATCAGACTCATGGGATGGAATAGTCATGTTCTGGCGCCTTGATACAGGTGACTGCATACGAAAGCTAAAGATAGACGGTTTTTCTCGTAAAGCTGCCTTCTCCCATGACTTAAATCTTATGGCAATGCCTTGGGCGAATACAACAATCCGTCTCTGGCACGCTGATACAGACAGCGAAATGCAAGAACAAGAAACATCCGGAGATCGGGTCACATCGATGGCTTTCTCGCACAACTCAGCACTCGTGGCATCGGCCTCAGCCGGTAGTGGGGAAATCACGCTCTGGTGCGCTGAAACAGGGAGATGTATCCGGGAGATGAAAGGCCATACGTGGACAGTTGTGTCAATCGTTTTCTCACATGACTCAACACTATTAGCATCAAGCTCAAATAATGAAACAATCCGGCTCTGGCGCATCGAGACGGGCGATTGTGTGCAGGTCCTGCAGGGTCGTAATGCGTTTGGCGCAGTCGCCTTCTCGCATGACTCCGAACTGATAGCGTCAGGTTGCCGTGATGGGTTGATTTATCTCTGGCGCACTGCAACAGGCGAGCGCGTGCAAGAGCTGAAAAGTGGCCATGAAAGCTATATTTCGTCAGTTGCCTTCTCGCATGATTCAGCGCTCATAGCATCAGCTTCGCGGTGGAGACCAGTTCGAATCCTACGTGTCGCAACAGGTGCGCATGTGCAGACGCTATGGGGTCACAAGGACGATGTAACAGCGATTGTTTTCTCGCGAGACTCGGCGCTCGTAGCATCAGCTGCAGAAGATCGTACGGTCCGGCTATGGCGCGTCGACACGGGCGAATGCGTGCAAAACATCTACCTTGGTGCCGCATCATTCAAACTATCAATTACAAGCGACAATTCGCAAATCCTTACGGATTTTGGCTCTATTGCTGTTGAGAGCACCGCCATGCCTGATGCGCGGATTCCAGCTCGCTTTTCAGGCATTGGCGTAAGATGCGACCACAGCTGGATTACGTGGAACAATAACAATATCCTCAGGATACCGGTGGAACTTGAGGTGCTTCGGACGGCTATATCAGGATCCACCGTTGCCATCGGCTGCAGTTCAGGACGGGTCGTTATTATCCGTTTCTCGACTGAAGAGTTGACAAAAATCTTCGCTGGCGTTGATAATATTCTATACTAGAGCTTTACAGTAAGATCGGGTGCAGCGATACAACAAGTGAGTTTGATTCAAAGGATGGCTCCTCCTAATGGTTGATGCTTTATATAGACACGTTGGAGCGTTGTCATGTACTCACGTAGCTTATTAACATTCTGTAAAATGGAGATGCAATATCGGCATACGGCGCATTTGGGTACCTTTCATATAAGTTGAGATAGATGTAAGTTCATGGTAAGATGCTTTCTATCTATATCGACGTCGATGATCATATTCTCATGAAATGGGCCATTAAATGTGGGAAAGTCTCGTTTCGTATAATAATAGGGTAGCATCACGATAACAGGTTGTTTATCCTCTTGCATCTAATATCGTGAGGGAAAGAAATGCAAGAGTATGGGTTCTAATCTACAACTGCATTCGAGAGCCGGGCCAAGGAGAGATGACACTTAACAACTGGCGACAAAATGGTCATAGCTGTTCAATTCCCCCGATGCCGTGAAGCTGAGTCAACACAACCTTGCTAGTAGAGAAGTCCCGACACAAGTATAATAAAGTTTGGCCAGGCAGTCAACACCCCCAATTGGTCTGCAAAAAACCGGGACTGGCGGAATTATCAGCACACAGAATACGCCACACGCACATAACAACGGCGCTGCATTTCATAGCATTAGTGCTCTTATTATCCTCAAGCAGGTGTATATCGAAGAAAATAACGTCGACACTAACGCAACAGCTTAGAACAAAGACAAAACTTCTCTTTTTCTCTCCGGTCTCTTCTTCTTCACACTAAGCAAGCAAACGGAGAGAAGAGTGACAAACTAACGAGACGTGATTGGCGGCGCTGTCATGGCCATGATGATGCTGATGATGCTCCAAGCTCTAGGATGCGTAGAGACAGCTTGGCGTAGTCTAGTCAGGTACAGCAGTGTGTACCCAATGGTCTGCTATTGTATGTCGAGTGAAGCCGTATAAAGATCCCATCCTAGGCACTCAGCAGTTCCAAATCAAGTTCTGCCATTCAACTTGAGAAAGAAATAAATTCTTGAGATCAACTACGACGCCCAAAAACCATCAACCCACCAAGATAGAAACAACAAAACAACCATGGCTTCTCCTGTTATTTACAATCGTGGCGGTCCTGTCCAAATCGCCCATCCTGGCCCATTCACTTGTACGCAGTCCATCTGCTCAGACACGGCATGCGCAGACAACAGTCTTGAGTTCCAATGTCTCTCGCAAGTTATGCAAGGGTACGACATCTCCTTTCTCGGCTTGACCATGCAGTGTGACAGCGACTCGACCGTCTATCCATTCATGAGCTGCACTTGCTCCGAGGGTTTTGTCAATTGCGATGATAACGGGGCTAAAGAAGGCGAGGGGAGTCCCAGTGTAGATGGCGCAAGTGGCTACGCTGCGGATATCACATTGGTTGGAAAGCGAGGTGGGGGTGTGCCGACTATGCAAAGCGCCGAGGGCAGCAGTTTCGATATTCAGACTGCTTCAGCTATTCAGACAGCTGGAGGCATCACTCAGGGCACTCAAACTATTCCTGCTGTCCAGACGGCCGGGGGTGGTGCTCAAGAAAGCCGGACCAAGACTACTCCGACTGCGCCAAACTCGCCGACTGCGACGGGTGCGGCCAACAAATACTTTGGCGATGGGCTCGGATGGCAGCTGAGACTTGGTCTTGTCGCCCTCGTCTCGGCTGAGCTGACCCTCTGAGGCTCTCTGGTTAGTCTCACGGCACACTCTGTACGTTGTAAGTCTTGAACACTTGGCCAAATATTGTATATTCTAACAGGCCTCCAGATGTATACGCTGTGTGTGTTTACCTACTCGAGATTAGTATACGGAATCTCTTTCTTCTTATGTATTCAACCACGTTTCTTTGTGTGCTTAAGTATTTTAGTTATACCTGACTTAATTTTCTTATATCATTTGAACCAAGAGAAATTACACTACTGCACATGTCATCAAAGCATACTCCCCCGGGCATAGCTTGCTCAAATCTCGAGTTTCTTCACACAGACATACATCTTTCTATTCCACTCTGTAAACCTACAAGATGAAAACAGTGTTTGCCAACTGCTACTTGCACCTCGTCCGCCTCTCCTTAATTTGATTCCAAAAGACCAGACAAGATCCTGCATTCTCTATTAGGGATGGTCGTATATACTTTAAATGGTTACAGGCTTGACTACGAACTAGTGGCAGTAGACATGAATTTTGCAGAACCCACGTCAAACCTTGGATGTCGAATCTTTACCCCTCCTCCTTCTCCCCCCTTTTCCCTCCTCTTTGCATACGCGTGCTGATGAACCCAGCCTACATGTCTACCAGTGGTTTGTCTAGTTCCCGATCTCAAAATCCTGTCAATAAACTGTGCCTTCTCTTCAACCTCGAGACTACCGGAATAGAAACTGAAACCTCCAAATGCCCAACTCTCTACTTCAATGAAATGGAAAGCATACATCTTTCCGTCTTATTACTAGAACCCCTCCCCACATATCTTTGGCTTGTGACGTTCCTGGCGTCTTCCACTTCCCCTTGTCGACGTGCGGTGGGGCGCGTGGCGTTCCACTCCCTCAAATCCATCCACTTCAGCTCTGTGTGCTTTTCGTAGCCATTTGCATGTGATTTTCTTTCTTAGTCTCACAGTAAGCCAGAAAGCACTTCAACTGTCTCCCAGTCAGCTTTCTCTGCGCTGCTTGCTTCTGCCGCGGTTTCATTCGGCTCATCACTCTTGATAGTCCTCGTGTTTCTATCGGTTTATTCCATCACGACAGAATCCAGGCAAGGTGAGCAGTGTATATCCTCTCCATCTGGATTTCTCCGATCACGCCTCGAGAGTGGGAACCCTCCTTCTTACTTCTAGTGGAAGCATGTACCTGAAGATAGTAAAAGGTTATTCTTGATATACTGTGACTGCATTTTGCATTCTCCGACGTTAGAATTATTTAGCTCGCTTTTTAGTGACCCCTCGAGCCTCTTTTACACTGAATGAACGAGACATGGAACACACAAGAACATCACTAAAACACCCCTTTGTCATAGCAGCAATGCAAACCGTAGTGTCTTCGCTGACAGAGTGGCTTAGAGGCTTCCCGACGATTTGGTCCTGAGATCTTTCTGCTAATCCTCTTTAATCGATCTACACCTGACAACTCTCAACATGTTCATACGATTCCATGCCAACTCCTTGTCCAAGCACGCGTAACTGGAATCATAATAACAGCAGTGTTTTGAACTTGTAAAATAAACTGAGCGTTATGATAAAATTAATGCTTCGCTTTTTTTCGGGGCCGAAATTCAGTTGAATAAGATTTAAAAAACTCATTTGGCTCCGTGGGATGGGTTCCTGTAACATCATGGAAGGCAGTTGTGGCGATATAATTCGTCTTCCCCTCGCGAACCAGGCTGTAATATTCCAAGATGTATTCTTTTTCTGATTCATCGCTTTCGCTTTGAGAGGCGAGCACTCTCTTGGCTTCGTTTCTTCACTGTTTGTTAGCAGAAACTTGGTTTACCAGCGTAGAATATCAAGAGACTCACTCAGATATGTTCTCGAATTCAATATGCGCACCCAGTGCTTTGCTAGCTGCTTCGGCTAACTCTTTCCCAGCACATAGCAGAGGTCCTGTGCGTATTCTTTAGCAAGCTGCACACGATTTTCCATTTGACAGCACCCAGTATATAAGGGCGTTCTACCTGTAACAATCATCATTTGGCCTCGATGCTTATCATCAAACCCATGCTTGCCTTTGCCAGCTAGGACATGGGCAGCCACATGTGCAACATCCTGATAGGCTGATTAGAACTTTGTTTGATGGTTAGACAAGCTCATACTCACGCCTAACGCTACAGGAGCAAATTTATGACTCTCTCCAATCGGCAGTGGGAGCACACCGTCAGCCTTAGCCTGCTCCGAGTAGAGCAGCAAATTCTCTGCGTAAAATCCGGCACTAGAAGTAGTCAATCTCTGTGTACTTGGACCAACCGCTGTGATGTTTAAACACACCGAATAACGCAAGGTGAATGGCCAAGGGGGGTTTCAGATTCCCCTTTAGACGCAAGAACCGCACTTTCTATGTCGATAAACTCTCTCAATCGTGGCTGTTTCTCGCGGTCTGCATAATCACAGCCGGCAGAACTAATGAGAAGAACATTGGATACACCTGCTTTCTTGGCAGCATTTGCAAGCTCCATCGTTATGTCAAACTTGTCGCGATGAGCCGGAGGAACTAGGCATATGGTATCGCATCCGATCTCCTTGAGTGCCTTCACCATAAGGCGTTCACGGCCTGGTTGATGATGAACAACTTTTCCACCGAGTTCGGTGAGTTCCTGAGCTCGCGCAGAGGACGGGTCCAAAGCTAATCCAGTGAGACTGCTGATCTGCCGGGAGAATTTGCCCTCCTTCAAGAGAAGCTCGGCTATAAGGAAACCCGATTGGCCTTCGACGGCCGTGATGCAGATATTTCGAGACATTTTTATGCGAGAGACAGTCAGTGAAATTAGATGTATCCGTCATCCCACCTTTTGAGACAATTGGTCGCTGACGCGTGTGGAAGGTATAATCTTAGGGCACACTTCTTTTATAGAAAGGTTTCTTGATTTAGGCTTCCACGTCACCGTGATCTGTACAATTAGGTAGGTGGTACAGCCATGCACAGAATTGTACTGCCATATAATTTCATTGACCTCATTCCTTCGCAATTATCGGTCAGGAGTCTAGGATATTGCGATGTCATACTTCTCATGGTCACTATGACGTACACATATCCGAAATAGCTCGCACTCTATTGCTGATGGTATATAAATTGTCTGAATCTATGATCTGCTGATTTTAAAGGAAAAGTTAAATACTCTCCAGATATCTTGAATCGAATATGATCGTTACGCACGTAAAAATTACTGTCTTGTGTTTATGCGTGGCGGGGCTTATGAGAGAGATCTGACAAATAGCACGCGAAGTAGTGCAGTCCTTCAAGGAATGCCACAGTTCTTCTCTAGCGGCTACTCTAATTGTGGAAAATTATCCAAATAGTGAATACTATTGTCAGTTATTTGAATCAGCTTCATCCCCAGCAGCAGCCGCCAAGGGCTCTGCTGCAGCCATTGGTGTAAGTGTACAAGGCAAGTGTTGCGCACCTCAGCTGAGCCTCAAGTATGGACAGCCGAGCATTTCGATAACTCGATCGACGTATAGACAGAGCCCAAGGTAAGACAACCGTAGGAATACCTCTTGCGGAAAAGAAAAGAATAATTTTTTGGAAAAAAAAAAAAAAATTAAAAAAAAGAAAAAGAAAAAAAAAATCGCCCGGCGTGATTATAATTAGAAACTGGGTAGGAGGCGACGCCATTCCAACCAATCTAATCTTTGGAACGTAAGCATGAAGTGTTACCAGTCGTTAGTTGGCAAATGTCAGAAAAGAAATGATGCGAGGGCTGACAGCCAGTAGTAGTCTGTAATGCATCGCTTCTTTGGTACATGTATGCAGTACTTCGCTCTGTGTATATTTCGTGCTCTAGGTCTGCCTAGTCTTCCTTAACAGGCAAACTAGAAGACTGCCTACGGTTCACACTCTGCTGAATGTTTAAATTTTAACCTTTGAATTCTAAGGGCTATGTCAAAAGCTGGTGTTGACTAGAATATGCAATCATTACGAAGCTGGAGAGTGGCGATGCACCTACTGATGTCAACGATAGCAAGATACGCTCCTCAGCTTCCTGTATTCTACGCCGCCGACAATCGGGTAATTAGATCAAGATCATGTGGAGCAATCAAATACTTCATTGAACTTTTCCAGCCGACTTAAGACTGTCGTCATTAATTGCGCTGCGTGATAGAGCTGTATGTTACCGACGCTTACCCCAACAAATAAAAAGTATAGATGTCCAGGAAGTTTAAGCCACCGCCGCCACCACGAGCAACGCCGATACAAGGAATTACTGACCGCAGAGAGAGTAGATACACCCCAGAAACATGCGCAGCCTTGGTTGGTGCGAAAGAGACGAGAACGATGAAGTGCTGAACTGTTTGATTCTTCTAGGCCTGACCTCTGCAAAGCTTCAAGCAGTAGAATCTCCTTTCTCTTCAACTCTGCTTACCACTTCGTCGCCTTTTCTTTTTTCTCTTTCTTTTTTTTCGGTTTTCCTTTCGTGATGGATAGGCCCACCTACACCGTTGGCAACTGATAATAATTAATAACATCAGTCTCAGCTATTAGTGCTACTAAACGCCGCCCGCCAATAACATAGAACAACCGATTGCCACCAGTTCCTACACATCTGCAAATAGCACTTTTCGCCTTCAACTTGACATGGCCACACCTTCAAGCGACGGTCATCGTGGCCATGTTCTACCACAAGTAAACAGCGAGCGCTCTCTACTCTTTGGTAGCAATCCCTCCCTGCAACCATTAGCGCAGGTTTGTCGTCATCACGAAGCTCGTCGAGTTGAATTACAAAATTGCTTCAAGTCAAATTTTGGCCTACGCTCGTCCTAAAATTCGCTCTCTGGCGTTTCAAGTCTTGCCATCGAGGCAAAGCTTCCCATATAGAGCCTGCACCGTGGAATAGACTCTCTCAGCCTACAGGACATGGAGGGCTTAGTTTGCTACGGATATAACCAGGATATAACACTTCTCGTTCATCCTTACTTAGGTCACACATTTTATATTACTTTCTCGGCGTAGACCACTATATTCCAGGCTCCGCATCGACCGGCAGAAGGCGCGTACTTTATAAAAGACGTAACGACGAGCAGATCTCATTCCAAGTCATGCGGCTCAGATGATTTGCTGATTCTGACTTATTCGAAGAGCCTACCAAGATTAGTAGCCGCACGATGAACAGAGATGCTACCAAAATCTAATACCCAGGAAGACATAGCTCGCCAGCCTGGTGAATTTCAAAGCCGTGGTGGAGGTAGTATAAGCGAAGTATGTGTCAAAGGAAGGTTTCGAACTGACAAGAAGCTCCAGAGGCTTTTGCCCGAGTGTCTGAGAGAAAAGAGCTTTGGGCTGTGCGTTATCTAATTTCGTAGCCATTGGTTCTTCGAGGAGATGAATGATGTAGTAGCTCATCGTACTTTCGTTTGAGTGTGTCTCGCGCCTTGTCGGCCGTTTCATACTCGCAGTCAGTATTTAAGAAGATGCAATTACACATTTTGGCTGCTCTTCATTGCACTATAAATGTATCATCTTGTAAGCAATATGATGGACATAACGTAGTATAATACGATATCACTATCTTCGACTTCCGCTTGTTACAAGCTGCCTTGCTTGTGGCTCTCTTCTTGACATCTGATTCTCTCTCCGGTAACGGAACCTGAAGTGAAGCGAATGCAGTCTGGGTATGTTCTGTCGTGGCGGGAAGTCGCCGGCCATGCCGGCCATATCCAGATCTTAAAGCTTCATGCGCCGCAATAGCTCAACAGGCTCAATGGACAGTAAAATTTCTCTAATTCAAAAATTCGGCTACAGTGGGGTTTCACAAAAAGTTGTAGGGGCGGAAGGTTTCTTCGTGAAGATGACAAGTTTCCTTAAACTAATGCCTTGTGATAGATCATAGTCCATTGACTCGGATTGGTTACTGCGAGCACAAGCAATAAGACAAAAATTGCAGACCATATCGGAAACCTCCCGCACACTGATGGCCAGGATATTCCCTCGGTGGCGTGGACATGTGAAGTAAATGTCTCCAGTCACCTACAGAGTACTTCCTGAGGAATGTTGAGGAACTTTGACCCCATCTGTCACGTAACCACACTGCACTGCACCTACTAGTAGCTATTCCTCCCTCCCCTGCTCAGGCTAGTTAGTTCTTCTTCTTCATCATCACCACAATTCCAGTTTCCAAGTCAAATTTTGCTTGTTCGCATTCGAGCTCAGTGCCTTTGGTATTCTAATTTGTTCTCCTTGTTCCTTCATTCTTGGTTTCGTGATCCCATCGTGATCCCTCACACCATCAAGGGAGTATCACAAAATCAGGGACTACAGTACAAAGTGGGAAAAAAAAACACATACAGATTGAAGTGCAAACATCATCACTCCTACAAAAGTCTATAATGCCAGAGGTGCTTTATTACGCATAATGGTAATGCTTATGCTGTTTTTTTAAGTCCCGGTTTTTGGTGCCCGCTGGCTCTTACATCTCGGTAGTGTTTATGGTGAGGTTTGGAGCTCCATCCTTGTAGCTCTGCAATGAAACATGTAATCTAACTCAGCCGGGACAGCTATGAAATTTAGCATTATGGCTTCTTTACAATATAATAAGTTCTTGAGTTGCTCTTGCAATATTGTAGTAAGTGACGCGAGACAAAATCCGTCCTAATTATTAACAATGCCTCAGCCCATGAGTACAGAAGCATACGTAGCTTTGCGGTGGCTCAGATACGGTGCTCTATTACCTGCTATTGGCTTTGCCAAACCTGAGGCTTGAACGCCAATTTGAGGGGGCAAATTTTGATTACCAAAAGAAAATTTTAAGGCAGAAGCAGGGGGCGAGACCTTTCACCCGCGATTCTACAGCGGTTGACATGTCTTGTTAAAATGAGTAGACTAACCTAATTAGGTAATTTAAGCTGCCAGTTACGCATATCTAACTTGCTATGTGACGATGATCTATGATTCATGATGGTCAGCACCTTAATGCAACATAGAGTATCTATGAATCATGATTGCATCATGGAAGTTTTCTATTACATTAACGACCGTGACTTAAAGTCAAATCCTTTACTAAAAGTCACGATGGCATTTTGCATTTTCAAGCTATTTTGGCTATTCAGAGCCTGATAACCTCACCATTAGCGAGCATTGACAACTTTTTTTTTCTTTTACCCTTTTTTTTTTTTTTTTCTCTCTTTTCTCTTTTTCACGAAAGCGTTGCGGCCCATCTGTCATGGCAGCCATGGGCGATCTCTCAAGTCCTAAGGACAAAGATAATATCAGGTACAATATGAATCAAACCACACAACTGCGTTCTGTCTTGAAAGATATACGCAAGCTCTCTGATACATTACAAACTGAAAACGATGATCAACGGAGAGAAATTGACAGGACTTGGTCGAATTTGCTGGAGGCCGAGCAAGCTTCGAAAAATGACCCGGCAAGGCGAGACCCTAAATCACAGCAAAAATGGTTGTGAATCAATGATGCAATCGTTGATACATACGCTCCATTTAAAACCTGATCCTGACTTATGTACAGATATAACCTTCATACTACCAACGAAGAGCCGACATATGATAACAGAGAAAATAGAATATCTTATGACCATGGCTCTTCCAATTTAAGGTATTTTACGTCTCTATATAATGTCGGCCATATGGGAAAAGTGTTGTTGCTGCAGAACAAGACGTCGTATAACCAAAATTTTCGTTGCGCCTCACATATGCGTCATATTAGATTATTCAAACATATGAGAGAGCCAGCTACGGTCATGCAGTGATTCTATTGGCTGAGACGGTAGAATGGGAATTGTGAAGAAGTGGACAGTTTTAGAGAAATGAACAGCATGTAACATATCGGTGATCAAGTATGCACCGCTTGTCACGTACCCAAATAGTGAGCTTCTTTATAAATTCAAGTCCAAGCTAATAAGAATATACTGCAACTGCTTCTTTTAAGACGTAGGCGTGCCGCTCCCATATAGCATACAAGGCGCAAAAGATTGAAGATAGTAAGAGATGGGGCGGTATACTAAGGGACAGTTCACATTTGTGCCTATGAAATGCGCCAAATCTCCGTTGCCCAGGACGATGGATAAATTAACAAAGTGTGTACTACAACCTAGTCCCTTGTAATAGTTAAACCCCTTATAAGCAGCTGGTTCCGTAGCAGTAATTGCTATAATTGCGATTATGGCCTAATCTTTTGCTCTATTTTGCTCACCGGCATAATGGGTCGTTGCGGTATGCAAGCACCTAGGAAGGTCTCTTTCAGTATTAATGAATCATACATTTCGGGGCTCATTGACTGCCTATGGTAAAAGCTAATGTATCTTCCAATCGCATCATAAAATATAGATGGGAATATTCTTGCCGACTAGAGCAGTGGCCGTATTTTCTTTTGTTTCTTTTGTTCACATCCCTCAGAGCGAATACTCCCCAAAATAAATGCAGGGCGCACGCCACTCCTTGGCCGTCCTCACTTATATCCGCCGCTAGTGTAGCCATCGGTTCTGATTATACGGAAAACATTTGACTGTTGTTCAAAGAAGTAAAACGAGCTTGATAACATAAAAAAAAATTAGTGTGCATACTGAAGATATGCAAAGCACTTTTTTTGGGTTTTCTTTTTCTTCTAGGTTTACATTGTCACACCGCGTACTGAACAATCCATAATACATTGGCCATGCTAACTACCTACTTCATACCTATATCATAATACATACATCAATGGTGCTAGAAAGTTAGTAAAATTAAAACCACTTGATTCAATTTTACAAAATTGATGAAACAGGCAATCACAATCCAAGGTACCTACTTATCGTGACCTTACACAAGAGTAAAAAGAACACGGTTACTCGCATCGAGAGCTCCTCCAAGATTTCCAGCGTGACATCCTCCTTGACAGTGCGCATCCTGTGGAAGAAGACGAAAAAATACTGCATAATCAAGCACCACAGAAGCGCCACGGAGAACCTTAAACCTGCGGCATTAGATATGTTACTGAACAAGGTGTTTACCATTACCAGTGATCAATAGCCAGAATCAGCCCAGAATATTCGGCAATACAACTGCCATGGGAAGAGACACGCATCATGATGCAACACGAGACAGCATCAATAGCCGATCCCCAGCTCATAGCAACCGGCAAAGTGTGGGGGAATAAGAAAACTGATAGTCCACGCCATCAAACAAAACCATGTCCTGATCCTGGACTCCTTCTTCCCCGCGACTCATGTCTCATGCTTATTTCCTAGGGCCAACAAGAAAAAATAGCGGAGGTGGCGACCTCAGCCCCCCCCGGAATGCCCACCGAGCTATGCCAGCTTGGACCTGGAGTCGTCTCCATACCGGCTATTGAAAAAAACTCAGCTCATATTTAGCTCGGCGGCAAATGAAAAACACCGCAGCCAAGGAGAAGAGTCAATGGAAAGTGTCGGCTTTTGCCTTTTTTTTTCCCCAGACTTGCAAAAAGCTGGACGAGACGGCTGAGCTATTGGCGCAGGGTGACTCGAAGTGCTCGCGCCATGTGGGACCGCCTCACCACCATCGTGCAGCCTTGCTGGTAGAAAAACAAAGTCGACGGTGTATATAAAAAGGGGATCCATCGCCTCCGCACATTTGATCCGATCTGAATCCGGGGAATGTCACAGTCAAGCTCATCACACGTGCAGTGTCTTGTTCTTGCCTCCATCTGCATCTCCATCCTTGTTGCATTGCATTGCCATTCAATCATTCATTCATTCATATAAAGACAAGAGACGAGACTGCGGCCATTCACAACACAATGGCTCTCGCAGACTCCAAGCCAAACTCCACCCACGAGGAACACAAAGTGACCAGCATGGACATTGACGGCGGCAAAAACGAGGCCATGCACGGAGATCGGGCTCTGGCGCTCATCGGCAACGAGCAGGTCCAGCTCACCGAGGAGGACAGTCGCCGCATCTGCCGCAAGACGGACCGAGTCATCCTCGCCATCCTGGTCTGGGTGTACTTTTTGCAGATTCTCGACAAGTCCGTGCTCGGCTACGGCGCCACATACGGCTTGAAGACGGACACAAACCTGACTGGCAATGAGTATTCGCTTATTGGCTCCATTGCCCCCATTGCCCAGCTGGCCTGGCAGCCATTCTCGTCATATCTCATCGTCAAGGTCCCGCACCGGATCCTGATGCCGTCCCTTTGTCTCGGCTGGGGCATTGCACAGGCCTCAATGGCCGCTTGCCACAACTTTAGAAGCCTGATGGCCGCTCGCTTCTTCCTTGGTCTGTTCGAGGCCGGCTGCTTGCCGCTGTTCAGTCTCATCACGAGCCAATGGTACAGACGAGCCGAGCAGCCCATTCGAGTTGCGGCGTGGTACGGCACCAACGGAGCTGCCACCATTGTCGCGGCTGCTCTGTCCTACGGCCTGGGCCATATCCAGTCTGATGTTCTTCGAGAGTGGCAAATGTAAGTAAATTTTATAACTTCTTCCCATCTCTCTCCTCCATACCTGGTTATACAAGCACATCAAACTAACACGGTCTCCTCGTAGCATCTTCCTCTTTGTCGGCCTCGTCACCATCGTCTCATCCCCCTTCATCTACTGGAAGCTCGAAAATGACATCCCGTCCGCTCGATTCCTCACCGAACAAGAAAAGGCACAGGCCATCGAGAGACTCCGTGCCAACCAGACCGGCACTGGAAGCCGAGAGTTCAAGTGGCGACAACTCCTCGAGGCCGCCATGGAGCCCAAGACATACCTGTGGATCGCCATGGCTCTGCTGCTCAACGTCGGCGCCAGCGTGACCAACACTTTCGGGCCCCTCATCCTCAACGGCCTCGTTTCCGACAAGTACATGACCAGCCTGCTCAACATGCCGTTCGGCGCCCTGCAGATCATTGTCATCCTGCTGGCCAGCTACCTCGCTCAGAAGGCGCGTGTCAAGGGCGCCATCCTCATGTTCTTCATGATCCCCGTCGTCGCCGGCCTCGCCGTCCTCTACTCCGTGCCTCGCGACAACTCGGCCAAGGCGGCTCTCCTCGTGGGCTACTACCTCCTGGCCTTCCTCTTCGGCGGCAACCCCTTGATCGTCACCTGGATCGTCGGCAACACCGCCGGCACCACCAAGAAATCCGCCATCATGAGCGTCTACAACGCCGCCAGCGCGGCCGGCAACATCGTCGGGCCTCTGCTCTTCAACTCCAACGACGCGCCCGCCTACAAGCCCGGCCTCCGCGCCTGCTTGGCCATCTTCGTGGCGCTCGTGGCCGTTGTCGCCATCCAGTGGGCCAACCTCATTGTGCTGAACAAGCTGCAGTCGAAGAAGCGTGTGCGCAACGGAAAGAAGGCAATTGTTGTCGACCACTCCATGGATGCGACATATCGGGCCATGGATGAGAATAACGCGGATGAGGAGATTGTCATTGCAGAAGAGAATGCAGCAGGCACTGCACAGCATGCGGGAGACGCAAGACTTGGAGAGCAAGCGTTTTTGGATCTCACGGATCGTGAGAATGACGAGTTTGTATATATTTATTAAGCGAGGCTGCATATTAAATTACGCCTTTGGATTATGTTATTGCCATGATTAGGCACGTTTTGCATTGTAATATTAGATACCCAAATAAAAACACCTGAAAAATTACATATGAAAACCCTTGAGAATTTATACATGAAAACACTTGATAAATTATACATAAGGTATACACTAGGTATTGCTAAGCACTCGACTATTATGCCAAACCCCCCCATGTAAACAAATCATTTAGCACTTCTCCATCCATTTCTCAGAGACTGCGGCTATTGAATTATCCTAAAAAAACACCAAATTTGCCCAAAATTAATACTCAAAAAATTATGTCGTGCCCGACCCACCTCGTGTCAAACTGCGGCTGCACTACAAGATCATCCAAACCGCCTGAGCTATGTTCCCAATCATAATCTCCACCAGCAAGCATCCCGTCTGCCATGGCCATCGTTGAATTGCCAGCAATAAACTGTCCCAGCGAATCCAAATCCCTCCACGAAAACCCACTCAGTGGATCCATGTCCATCGCCGCCTTGCCAGTGTGCAGTAAAGGAATGCCTTCCTGCCCTTGGATGTCGTCCATTGTCGGCGTTGGTGGCTCGGTCAATGGATCACGACGAGGAGCAGCAGATTTGTTGGACTGCTTCGTACTAGATTTCCTCCAGAGAAGGCGGAGCGACGTGGCGTATCGTCTTCCAAGGCTTTGTGGGTTGTCCGACGTTTTTTGTAGCTGTGTAATGGTGCCGTGGATGGCGCGGCGGACTCCGCGATCGCCACCTTCGCTGCTGATGGCTCCCGCCATTCTTGCCTAACGCTTTGATTAGTATCCTATCTGATAGATGCGCACACGCACGAATCGCCAAAGAGCAGCTTACCTTGAACAAAAAGACAGCGGCATAAATCACGTAGAGACAGTACTTGAGCGGCATGCACTTGAGGCCAGCCACAGGGTCGATGAAGCTGTTCAAGATGCTGAGAAGCGAGTTTGCAGCGTCGATTGACTCATAGATGAATCGGGCATCTGGCTTTCCAGCAACGTTGGAAAACAGCGGCCCGCTTGCTTTCCCAGGGCCTGCTTGCGCATTCCGAGCTGCGGCCCGGTTCAAGTTAGCTTGAAAGGCGAAAGCGTTGATGTACAGTCTCAGGAACTCGAAAGACAGCACCAAAGAGGCTTTCACGGGAGGTGTGACTGGGGGATGTTAGCTGCGTTGCTAAAAATACTGTAAAAAGGAGAGGGATGGGGAAGGAAAAATGTACAGCTATGGTTTGCCCATGACAACTTCCATTTCCGTACCATGGAAGCAAAATCATCCTGCAAAAGGACGTTAGCAGATCGTCAACTGTTTAGCATAGTTACTCAGCACCTACAATGTATCTGACATACTCCCCGCCAATGTACAGTTGCTGCCTGTGGCTGGTTGACGAATACAAAATATCGTGGGCATTGCTAATCAGCTGGGTAAGTTCGAGATGGGCTTGAAACAACAGACCCATGTTGTCTGGGCCAAGCGCCTGCTCTTGTAACGTCGGAAAGTCTGCAGCCCGTAGATGGAGAGCCGGACCGGGTCCGCGTGACCAAAAGCCTTTTCCAAGTCGGATTGAGACTTGTCGGTCGCACATGTAACATGCTGTATCCTTGTTAGTGCCCAACGGCTCCAGAATGTTTCCTTGCTCAACTTCACATACCTGCCCAAACAACTCGTTTCCTACTCATCTCGGCAGAAAGTTTTCCTTCATCCGGCAGTAGTGCAGATTGCTCCAGCCTCTGCAAATACCCTAGCCTCACGGCCAAGCCGACAAGCATCCAGGCGCCGTGATCTTCTTGGCCACAGCCAATGGCGGAATTCTCCTGGGGGCGTTGTGGCGCCCATTCTGCAAGAATAAGAAGCGCCTCTACGGAGCCAACAGAATTGGATCCGGCATATATAAAGTTGGACAGGAAGGTTTCGATGTGGCGAGAGCATGCGTCGTACACTCTGAACCAGGACGGGTCGTCTTTGGAAGCAACGGTAAGAATCGCAGTCAGGAGATGAGGCTCTTTGGCTGCCCATTCGGATATCGAACCCTCAAATATAGCGCTATGAGCCACCGGAAAGAAGGGATGGAAGTTTTCGTGATATCTAGGCATTTATTAGATCCGGTACGTATACCAATGGATTTCTGCGATAGGTTACCTTTTGACAAGATACGACGCCTCCGAGGGCGTCAATATGCCATCATCCAATGGAGGATAGTAGCTGGCAGCTGATCTACCGACGATTTGCGGCATGCCGTCCACTGCAAGTCTATTGTTAGAGCCGGCTTGGCCCGCCAGCGCATTCCGCTGTCGATCAGGATCCAGGTCGGCAACTTGCGCAAGAAGGTCGAGAGCATCTGAGGGGTTCAAAAGATCGGTGTTGGCAATGTGACCTTCTAAACCGTCCGAACTCGTTCTCGATTCTGCAATCTCACGAGTGGAACCCCCCTCGTCAGGCCAGTTGCCGGCCTGCTGCGAGGACGAAAGCCATGCTCGCATGTCATCCGCGCCGCCTGGATGCTGGTCGGGACGAGGATGGTTTGCCTGCTGGCTACTATAGTTTCCATTATCATCATCGTCGTCTTCGTCGTCGTCGTCATCGTCGTCATCGCGCGTGGTGTTTGCCGGATCACGGCCTTCGCTGTTACGGCTGGGCGTCTGGAGCATGGAATTGCGAACGCCCTTGATGCGGCGCCCACCACGCCTCGACTTTGTCAAGACGCATTCCAGCTGGTGCTCAACGCATCGACGACATGGAGGCACGCCCGACACTCCCGCCGAATCGCTGGTCCCCCAATAAGCGTCAGTAAGCGAGGCTCTACCAGGATGCTGCTGTCTGCTCACAGATCACATCTCGTCTTGCGCATGCGGCACGACAGACAGGCGCGAGAGACCCGCCTGGCCTTTGATCGAGCCATGGCAGCGGTCGGCGTCTGTCCTGGGTTCAACTCCATCGGCAATAGGCGAGATTTGGCATATAAAGTGATTGCATTGGATTGGAATGCAGCTTGCAAGGTTGGGAGCAAAGGCCGCGACACGAGTTTGCGGGGGTGGAGTCGAGGCAGTAGCCGGATAATCTGGGGCCGAACGGCTAATGGGCAAATGCGGCGGCAAATGCTCGGAACCCCCACCCGTCGTCACTTGAACGAAAAGTGTCACGTCACCCGTCGGCCTTACTCTTGCTGATTCTCCTTGCTTCACTCTTCTTTTCCTCTTCAATCTTGTGATTTTGCGTGTCAGACAGAATCCTCGATCAGCATCAGCAACATTTGCTCGTAAAAAAACACCAAATTTCCACACAATGGCTGCATCCACCTCACAAAAGCCCGGCGTCTTGATGCTCGGCATCGTCCACCACGCCAAGGCAGAGTTTGAGAAGCTCTCCGAAGTCGCAGATGTCGTTGTATGTCCCTGCTTCCCTCATCAACTCATCAAGCTGTGCTTATGAATAATTCTGACATTTCTGGAATTTCATAGCAAGTCACAACTGGAACTCGTGACGAGTTCATCCGCGACTGCGACAATGGCAAATACGACAACGTCGTCGCCATTTCAAGGACCTACGATTCAGTAAAGGTATGTCTGCTTCTCCAGCAAGAATAATCACAGTCAAGTTGCTCATTTCGAATTGTAGATCACCGGAAGATTTGACGCCGAGCTCGTCTCTCACCTCCCTTCTTCAGTCAAGTTCATCTCTCACAATGGAGCGGGCTACGACCAAATCGACATTCAGCCCTGCACGGATAAGAGTATGAGCCACTCCGCATCTCGTTCAAATGCGATTTACTAACATTCACATCTTTCTCCTACTCAGAAATCTCCGTATCAAACACCCCCAAGGCGGTCGATGCTGCCACCGCAAACACAGCCATCTTCCTCATCCTGGGCGCATTGCGCCGCGCCTGGATTCCCCAGCTCGCTGTTCGAGAGGGCAAGTGGAGAGGCGACAGCCCTCTTGGCCGCGATCCCCACACCCTGACTCTTGGTGTTTTGGGTATGGGCGGTATTGGAACCGCTACAGCCAAGCGCGCCGCTGCTCTTGGCTTCAAGCTGCAGTATCACAACAGAAAGCCCGTGGACGGTCTGGACAAGCAGTTTGCTTCAAACGAGGTTCCCAAATACGTTGGATTTGACGAACTCCTCCAGACCAGCGATGTCATCTCAGTTCATCTGCCTTTGGGACCGGCGACCCAAGGCTTAATCGGCAAGAAGGAGCTCAGCTCAATGAAGGACGGCGTAATCATTGTCAACACGGCCAGAGGTGCCATCATTGACGAAGAGGCGCTGGCTGAGAGCCTTGAGTCTGGCAAGGTCTGGAGCGTCGGCCTGGATGTGTTTGAACAGGAGCCCAAGATCCACCCGAAGCTAATCAGCCATCCCGGCGCTGTCTTGCTACCTCACATTGGTACCGCGACTATTGATACTCAGGTATGTAGCCACGTATTTCTGGCCTGTTTCCTTGAAAGGCTTGATGCTAATAATTTTTCTCGAAAATACAGAAAGAAATGGAGATTTTGGTGATTGACAACGTCAAGAGCGCCGTCACACAAGGCAAATTCCTGACATTGGTACCGGAACAGAAGCCTCTGTTGGCGAAAGTATAAGAGAGAGAGAAAGGGAACGGGCTTGTAAAACTGCATATAAATATATACATATATATCAGACGAAAACAGATTATTAGACTAGACAAATGTCATAATTTTTATGGTTTACAACATGGGTATTTATGTGACGACAGTGCTAGCCTCTGCATGGCCAAGATGATACGGCATAGACGTCTGGATAACACTAAGAAAAAGGTTGCTCTATTTTAACCCTCCAGCCAACAAGATATCCTGCCCCGTCATGTATCCAGTCTTTGCAAACCTATATTATCGTTATGAGCTATGGATTCAAATTCCTCATCGCCATTTGTATGATCGGGAAAGACTTACATGACTACCACGTTGGCCACCTCTTCTGGCAGTCCAAGTCTGTGTATCGGCACGCTGCTGGCGATTGCAAGTCCAGGATCAGACTCTCTCATTGCCTCCATGTCATCCTGTGACGTCCAAGTCCTGTATTTGCGTGTTAGCCCCGCAAAACAAGCTGCAATGCTGCTTCGACTTGCCTCTGCTTTGGAGTGGGAATCATTCCTGTAGCTCCGATCATGGCTGGTGAAACCTAGAATTCGTCAGCATGTTTAAATACCATATTGTAACGAACTTGAACCTACAATATTGACCGTGATACCTTCTGGGGCCAGGACTGTGGCCATGTTCAAACCCATCGAACTGCAGCGTATCAATACAAAAGTCTTGCCACACACAAGCTATTCGCACTGGAAACTCACCACAAGGCACCTTTCGAAGCTGCATAATGGCATCCATTCAAGCCGCTTCCCCGACTCGCAATGCTGCCCACGAGAACCACTCGTCCCCAGCCTTGTGCACGCATCCCTTCCACAGCAGCCTTTGTAATGACAAACTGGCTCCGAGCGTTGACTTCCATCATGTCATCCCAGTCTTGTTCCTCAATGTCTTTGACATGTCGAATGCGACGGCCAATGCCGGCATTTGCAACCAGCACGGATATCGCTTTGTGTTTCTGGGCAACGGCCGGCGTGCTCAGCACTGTTGCCACAAAGGCGCGCGTGGATTCTCGGTTTGTCAGGTCGGCTTGGGCAGTGACGAAGAGTTGATTCGGATGGCTCTGTCGGAGCTCGGAGGCTAATGACTCTGCTTTTTCCTTTTGAGGGCCGAGTTAGGTCTCCCGGTTCAAGGAACAAAGGGGTGAACAGTTTACTTACCTTGCTAGAGGAGTAGTGAAGGACAACGTCCAAGCCTTCAGAAGCCAGTGACTTTGCACAGGCCGAGCCAATCCCGCCGCTTGGATACTGATGTTAATCTATGGGCTCTTTGCGTGTCATGATTCTCTATACAAACCTGGATCCTGTAACCAGCGCAAGACGGCCAGACAACTCATTGTCTACTGATTGGAGATGGAACGTGGTAACCATTTTGTGCTGTGGAATACCTGCTGAGGTCTATACTCTGCGACAGGTAAAGAGGCAAGCAAACTGCAACACGAAGCCAAGACGTGGTGTATTTTGCTTTCGGCAATTGACAAGCGATTTAACATGTGAGATTCAAGCCCAAATAAAGGTAGAAAAGCAATCGGCAATCATAAAGTATGTCGATGCCAGCCCGCGTTGGGATTACACAACAATATCCCGCTTAAGTGAGGCACGCATTATAGCCGCAGCTGGCGGCAATTGATGCGGCTTTTGATCCAGCAAAGGTGGGCGCTAAATTGTTAGCACGTGGCTTCCATGCTAGCAGAAACTTTGAATGTTGCACGGCGTTTTACCCCGGAAAAATATTATTCGTCAAGTACGTAATTACAGTATTGGTCTCACTTCTAGAATCGGGTGCCGTATTGATACATGCATATACATATGAAACAGCAAATCATCACAGGACATATAGAAGAATCGAGTTTCTGTCATTTTCCTAATTAACATCCATCGCCTGTTGCTCTTATAGTCCTGAGGTTTCGAGTCTCGATTGAAACTGATTTTAAACGCAATTAATCCGGCCTCTATACTTTACAAGCTATACAATCCAGAACATTTGGCAATAAGTAGTGGAAAACTCGGCGTCCCGTCAAGTTCCTTATTGCGATTTAACTTTTCCCAATTTTATGTATCTTTTGGTTTCAGTATTAAAGTCATACAGCTCTCTTTATTTTTTTTTTTTTTTTTAATTCCACTGGATGACAGCAATGCTCCACTACATCCTACAGTAGGATATACATTATTTCTTAAGCCAATTGCACCACCTGACCTTCTATTTTATAAAGAGCACAAACCCATTGCCTTAACCAATGTTATAATTGTATAATCCTCTTAAAAGTATAATAGCACGAAAGCAGTTTATAAATAATAAAAGGGCTAGACTAAAAATTATAAAGAGCTACCGATAGCTATCCAAGTTGCTTCTTAAGAAATTCTAAGAGAGCCTTTGGCGGCTTATATTTGCTAAGGCGGGCTCGGGTTGCCGATAATCATTTTTGAAAAATTTCTGAAATTCAGGATTTTCGAGCTTCACCGCGACTCTTTCCATCTTGTCATTTTCATCCTTCTCAAGTTTGCGTTTTTTGTGATTGTTTATCACTTTGTCACCTATACGGTTCAATGCAGATTTTATGTCCTCCTCAGATGCATTCTCATTCAGCAAAACTTGCTTCAATTTCTCTGCATCTGCCTCGTTCTCTTCTTTTAACCTTTTAGCAAGATTTCCCGCGGTTTCATTTGCCTTCTTCACTAATGTCTTCAACCTTTCATATTCAAGATGGATTGAATGTTTTTGTTGGATGAGTTGCTCTTCAATGCTGGCGGAGTTGTCTTCACTGGATAGTGGGCCCAATGATGAAGACTGATCGCGGCTCGCTTCTCGTCTTCTTGCGATATTCTCAACTTGAGATGCCGGCGTAATTGGTGCCACAGGTTCACCGTCTGCGTCCACCTCATCTGCTTCATCATCTGAAATAGTGATGGACAAAACTGATGTGCTTGTGCGGATTGGAAGCCTAGGTCCATTGTCTAAGAGGTCACTGAGTTCTGCAAGATCTTCTTCTTGATCACCATGACCAGCTGTGTGGTCACTTTCATGACCGTTATGGTCAGTATTATTGATGGGAGCCCGATCGCCATTCTCAGGATGACCGTCGTCATTGCCCTCTTCATCTTCAGCCTCGTTCTCTTCCACTTCATCAAAACCGTCATTAAGCTCAGCATCGCCGCCGTCTTCATTGTCGCTTTCCTTCACTGTTAACATCATTAGCATAGGCCAATCTGACAATAACATAGAGATTACAAACAGCATGCGTTAAAATCACGAGGCAGGAATTCATATCTTGGGTTCTTCTGGTGTTTAATTCGATTTGAACGATTATTCTGAACCTCATCATACAGCTGGTTGAATGTGAGGTCTGGGCGCTCTTTGGAAATCTTGTTTATAGCCCGTGCCCTTGCCTGTTCAATATAGTCGAAGAACAGGATGAATTGCCAAGGCCTGACTTTAAATTTTAGAGAGGCAGAAGGTGCCCACGTTTTGAGGTGTCCCAGGTCCTGGTAATAACCCACTTGTAAAAGACTTTCTAAGTACCCTGGATCAAATTGACTGAGAGCCCAAACCGGGAAGGGCCGGCAGGTATCGGAATCTGAATTATTAACAGTATCCTCGTAAGCTTGGCGTAGTGCTTGCCAAACTTGTCGGAAACGCTCCGATGAGTCATTAAAGCGATCTAGTGAGTTCACAGCTTCCTTTGCTTCCTTCATTCTAATATCAGTGTCAGTAATAAGTGGAGAATTCATATTGGTCTGTGTTTGCCGTCGTTGACGGGTACTACGAGACATGATTTCAATGCTTGAAATGGATATCTGATGAATAAAGTAGGGGATGCTCGGAGCTTAGTTTGTACAGTAAGAAAATTTCTGAAAGGCGGCAGGCAGATATTTAATATGCACAAGGTAATGTGAATGGTTGTTAAATAATACATGTAAATACATGCATAACTTGGGGGTTTAGGAAGTACTGAGGCACGGCAGCGTAGAGGGCTGGGGAAATGTGATATGTAATTTAAAAAGCTACCAATCTTATGTGCCTGTTCGCTAATATTAGGCAGATGGAGACCCTAGGACAAGGCATATTGGCAGAGTGAGTCTAGTCTGGTGCGCGGACAAAAGTTGAGCTGACCAACAGCATAAAATATGGAGTAATTAATATATGATGCATACGACCATGGAACATACCACCGCTGGTAATAGAAAACTCGGTGTACTTTGGCGTACAGGAGATCTCTGCTGGGCACCATATGTATTAATGCCCAACATGCCCACATCATAGTGCCACAGATGATCTCATGCAACACGATGATAATAATAAACTGCTTGGGTATTACTAGCCAAGATTGAAACGTAGCTGCGATTTCTGTGCCTTTTGCGGTTGTTCAGCTCATGTCCCTCCGGAAACAGCACTAGCTAGAAAATCTTTTTTTCATTAATGACAGTTGGAATATTGGATATCCAAAATCAGGGGCCCTTCTGCCTATCAAACAAGGCGAAGGAAGTGAGATTTCGGGTTTAGCTAAGCGCCAGCGTATCAGCCTTATGCTTCCTACCTGGCAATTAATCGGGGCCATGGTCCCTTTATTCGGACAACATTAGATCCGTTAACCCAATTCTACTGATAAAAATATACTCGAGGAACTTGTAATAGTGGAAAACAGCACTCGTCAGCGCCGTCCGTTTCAATTTGAGGCTGCAGCTGAAAATGGTGGGAAACTTACCTATTAAAGATGCTTAACCTGGCCAAAATCCAACCCTCCTCCACCAGCAAAAGTCAGGAGCATTAGCCAGGGTTTTCCAGACTTTTTGACTATCAATGGCAAGTCATTAGCCAGGAAGCCAGTTAATCGGGATTTGGCCTTGATTGATCTATTAAATTTGAGAGCAATCTAAGAAATAAAATTATAATTTAAATTATTATTTTCTTTTTTCTATTAAAGCAATTGCGCTATGAATTCCGAACCTACATGCTACAGGAAAGTCAATATACATTAGATGTCACTTTTCGCTTTTAAGAACAATTTAAATTTCAAGGCCTATATATTATCCAGTTACCGGCGATCTAGGCGTTACAATGATGGTGTATTCTCAGACACATTCTGCGAAGCCGTCGTCAGTTTCTCGTATGATGGCGCCTTATCCCGTGCCAATATAAAAGCACTCCAGACGGGAGCCGTCTCATCCTCCTCAACACGTCCAACCCAAAACTTTAGTCTTACATCGGCCAGATGTTTGGATAGTGGCTCAGCACCGCTCGTTTCGTTCGCGTCTATAAGCCGACCCAGCTCTGCGTTTCGCGTTGTACGTAAAATGGTGGAGAATGATTTGCCATAGGACTGCGATGCCATTTTTACACAAAATAGTCCAATAGCAACAATTATAAGTGTTGCGAATATGCCAATTCCGTAAGCAATATACAGATTACGTGGACTGTATACATAATTGTTTATAGTATTCCAAACAGTAACATTTCCCATATTCGGCACAGACTCATTATTGCTGCTCAATGCATAAGCTTGTAAAATTCAAGACGGCACGATGCTTAGCGGATGCACTCACAGGAAGAATTTGTTTGAAAAGAGGCTGACTGTCACATTTGCGACAAATTGTTCCATAATCTGTGCTAAGGATATGTTGGTTGGCGGGTTGGATGGATCTGTGGTAATGTTACCAAACCCAGAGAGCAGCATTGGCTGCAATTCACGAGCTTGCATAAACGAAGAGGACATGACCTGGGAGGAAGAATACAGGTTACTCTGGTCTCTTCGAATGATTCCCACCACTACATTGTCCAAGCCACGCATGATGAACGTGGCAGCGAGCTGGTACATGTTTGGTGGGTCTTGGTTTATATTTTGTTCTGAGATGCCATTGCCTCGTTCCGTCAACTGAACGTCGATTTCCTGAGTGCCATTGGCAAACGTGAACTGGGCCTCATAAGTTGAATTGTACAGGCCGCATTCAATTGTGTTTTTTGAGGCTGACCAATCATCAATATGCGCGTTGACTGTACCAATGACAAAGACGCGGCAATGATCCGTAGACCATGCATCTACTGTGGCGATGCTGTCCTGTGGAACTGACCCATTGGTAGCGATTTGTAGGCCAAGTAGTGTTTGATGTTCATATGAAGTATCTGTATCGGAACTATTGTTACTCTGAGGGACGAATCCGACATATACCATCTGGGTATTGCCTTGGTGCTTAAAGGCATATCTATAGATTTCATCGTACTCGTCGTGAAATGAGCTATTGCCGCCAAGAGGCCCGCACGAGACTGAAGGGCCGTGAAAGCGCAGGGTGTAAGAGACTTTAGGAGCGTCTGGAAAAGGCATCTGTAAAGGAAGGACAGCGCCTTGCGCGGCGACAGAAGACAGAAGTCGGGCCAGGGCAATCGATGGTCCTGTAGGACCATCCGCGGTCGGACTGGTCGAATATCTTGTAAAGACGAAGGGTGAAGAGAAGTTTACCAAAGGCAAAGACATCCGGTGTATTGAAGGGGCCAGGCTCTTGGCCTGTTGAATTGTCAAGGTCGCTGGAGTAAAAACTGCTATGATTGGAATGGCCCTAATGCAGGTCCAGATGTAAGCAGCATACCCTTTCTATAACAGGGTTAAACAAATCGCGGGAAAAACGCTACCATAGAATTCCAGCCAACACAACGAGCTCAAAGCCCTTCTTCCATAGTTCCCAGCTTAAGAAGGAAAAAGGATTGTTAACCACGTCAAACATGGCGTCTATGCCCCCGAGTTTGACCTCCCGAGCCTTGAGTGTCCTCCAAAGCACTTGTACATAAGCAAAGCCAGCAGCAGCCGTTAGGAACATCTTGACACAAAATGCCATGCCTGTACCAATACGGGCATTCCATTCTTGCTGAATTTGGGTGCCAACGGTCTGTTTGTCAAGGGACATGTAGAAGAGATGGTGACCAACTGCCATCAGTATGCCGCAAATGGTATTGCCGACCATCAAACCGGGCACAACCCAAGATATCTTGAAGCGAGGCATATTCTCCTATAACTCTCGGGTACCAGAAGAGAATCAGTCTTGGGTGGGAGAGCCAATTCGGGGCCAAGGTTGGTTGTAAATTGACGTTCTCGAGTTGCTGGCTTGGTCAGTAACACGTTGCTAGCTGGTGACAAATGAGTATCAACTAAAGAATGTTCTCAACTGATGCCCTGGAGGTTGTGATTGCACCCAATAAACATAAATCATTGACATCTGTAGAGTCTTTCGTGCGTCGTCCTGTCACTATATATGCATGTTTATTAAGAGCCACATCAGTACAGCTAGGGGCGGTGTAAGCTTTAAATTGTACCTGAGCCCGCATTATAACGCTGAATATAAGCATTTCGCCGGCTTTAATTAGATTAACTATATAGGCTGAAGGATCGGGCTGCATCCAAGGTAGCGTTGCATGTCTTCCTATACTTGCTAATCCTGGAACTACTATGTACAAGATATATCCCCGCAATGAAAGAATATGCAGCGGCGCGCACCAATCACCAGTTTAGGACTCCAATTAAGCCTACTAGCTAACATCAAAAGGGCAGAAAGCCCGTCTATTCCTACAGAGCCAATTGATAGTCTATCCGTAATACATGAGCCGCGGTTGCATGGGATTAATATCTGCCAATTAAAATCCGCACACCTGACGCCTTGTGGATGGTAGGATTATTAGCTATGGATCTTGGCGGGGTCTGAAGGATGCGATGAAACACAAATAAGGCTAACGTGTATGCCTTGCAAGCGCTCACAGGCTGTAGCTATATATAGAATCGAACCCATCCAGGCGGAGGGCAGAAAAACAGGAAACTGCATGTACAGGGTTTTGAACACCCAATACTATACGCATACAAAGAAAACAACTGACTACAGTGATGGGCCAAAATCTGGAGACACCTTATAGCGCGATACTTATATCAGTGCTTGTTGTACTAGTATTTTAACATATATATAGGATAAAAAACAATCCAATATTGTATATATGAAAATTTCAATATGTAAAATAGTTGTATAAGCATTTACGGACTTTTGGCTCCTAGCTGTAGCAAAAAGTTTGTGCTTGATATTTATAGCTTGACCATCAAGATACCTTGATATGCAATATTAATGCGAATAAGCAATTTGCCTAATCCCAACAGCATCTGGATAATGCAAAATCCAATAACTATTTGCTCAAGTTAAAATATTATAAACCCTAAATCGGAATCCTCCACTATGTTGCTGGGGTAGACTGTAGACTGTTCAAGTTCCGCTCAGATAAGTATGTCGGCATAGCTTCATGCAACAATGTCCATAAATGGAAAAAGCGAAAGGAAAGGAAAAGGCGTGCAAGAGAGGCCGAAGTCTCTCAAATTCGGTGAAATGTCTCCATTAGGTAGCTTAAAATTCTGGCTCCTATACAATCCCGCGATGCTCTAAACGACAATAAAAACCTTGTTGTTGAAAGCTTTTTGTTAAACTTGTAAGATCAATAATTAAACACTCAAACTTATGAAGCTAGTTTTATATATATATATATATGTATATGTATATAGCTACCTTTCTCAATATCTACGCAATTGCTGATTACTAAAATACCTAGGCATTTCCATCTCCTGGAGGGCTCCGCAGCATATTTGTCACGTCCACAACGCTTGCATACAGTGGCCTATTAGTTCCCGGGGGGTCAACACCCTGATAATTGCCAGCCCCGAGGATCATCAGGTGATTGGGGTACTTCTTAAAAATATGGAGGGCACGGCTGTAAGCTTTTGGCTGAGGAGTATTGTGTTCCTCCCATTGATCCGGCTGGCCGTTTGCTCGATTGGTAAACACGCTTTGATGATCAGCATCCGACACGATAATTGTGCCGTTGACACCACCCTCTGGCGTCCATACAACATATGGACTGCTGCTGGGCTCTGTACGCCGTTGACGACAATGGGATAGCCATAGGCATATCGGAACTCAAAGGGACTATCCGAAAGCCTGTAGTAAACGGGGTATCCGGCACCAGACCACGAGTCGCCGCCCGGGAACTCGTGAACGAAGATCCATTTCTTCAGTGGCGGGACGTAATCAATGACGGTCATTCCAGGACGATCAGTATAGAGCGGGTAAGCGACGTCGTTTATGACATCGCCCCAATGCTCAAGATCCGTCGACTCTTGATGAGAAAGCTTCTGGCCATGCAAGGGATCTCTCTGGTCAGAATAGAATACGCCCACTGTATTATTAAAGGGGCTACAGTTGATATTAGCTTCAAGAATTCCCCAACGTAAACACGGTGGCAAAAATTCATTCGTCAGGGCTTACAGAATAAAAGGCTCCCAAATACAAGGGTTTCCGTTTTGCGTACTCGGAGCACTTCCTCTGGCTACGTTGCTGATAAACTGCCATGTTTTGCCTTTGTTGAAGCTGGCGTATAAGTCAATATTTGTACCATTGGCGCCAGCGCTGTTCCCGCTGGCGAGCACAGTTCCAGCTTTAAAGCGTCCAATGTCAAAAGTGAGTTCAGCCAGAGCAGGCTGGGATCCAAAGCCCAAGCCATTGACCTGGTCGGTCAAATTGCTCCGCCATTCCCACGTCGCACCGCCATTTTCACTAGCAAATATGGGGAAGAACGGAGGGTGGTTTCCGGAATATGCCGATGTTGCAAGAATTGTGCCATCAGATAATTCCGTGAGTCTTGGATAGATAACAGCGTGGCTGCTATCTGGTTGAAATATAACCTTTTGATCAAAAGTACTCCATGGTCTAAGGCTCGGTGATTTTGCGGGTGAGCCTCTGACCGGGAGAGCAAGAATGAAAAAAAGTAGTTTGTAAAACATTCTATCCAAATTGGTTTGGGGCTGAATGGGAAATAAGCTGGGAAATAAAACTTCGCTCTTGATGCTTCTTATCGTTTTAATAATAATATCCCAAGACTGCCCTCCCCTGTTTCGTGACACTTTACAGTCCCCCTGCACATAACAGCAACTGCCGGAATAGACTTAGCAATATCCAATCATCTACTGCGGGGAGATGTATTTACCCGTCAATGCTCGGTTCTACTTGCTTTTAGCCGGTTCGGAATACTCCGAGATCTTGATTGGAGAACAAGCCCAGTCATTGTGGCATGTTCCAGATATTGACTTGGGACTGGACAGGTTATCTCCCCGTGTCGTGAGTTTGCGGAGTGAACTTGCGGGGAAGTTCAAGTTGACAAGGTCAACTGCGTCACTTGACTTATTTAGCCGTCAATGTTTGTGCTTATTCTTCCTGGGAGTATATATAATTCGCAGCTCAAAAAAAATTGAGAGATGCAAGAGGTCCAGGATCTTGATGGCTAAATAAATCTTTGGGGTAAATTGGTAATGCATTTGGGTCAAATTGTGGACTACAAATGTATCACAGCTTGATTGTTCGGCATGAAACTCGGCTTTCCTTATTGTGATGGGGTGACAGCTTCGCTTGTCGAAAAACATCAGCTGTCAACATCACAGTGATTACTATTTATTTGACAAAACGGATCTAGAGACTAGCTTAGGTCTCGCCAAATTCGTTCATCGGATTAAATCTGTCAATCCTGACAAAATGGATCAGTCCAGTTGCGTGCTTAAGGATTGTGTTAATTTGCCAACTCTCATAGTACGTTTAAGGCGCTACTTGATATCTTAAATAGAGAAGAAAGAATGTAAGTCAAGGTCAAATCAAAGGGTAGCTCTCATCCCTCTTCTGTGAGACTCGAGTAAATCGACAACATGAAATTGACGATTCTTCCTTGCCAAACTAATAGCCTTCATGAGGCCGGTCTTTCTGATGACATCTCCAATTGCGCCTGCGTTGAGCAGCATCTGTACCATATCCAACCGCCCATGCTCTGCAGCTCCTTCAACTGCCGTACGTCCGTCTGCTATCGCAGGAGGGGCATTTACATTTGCCCCTTTTTCGATCAGCAACATTGCTATCTGAAAATGACCCTTGATTGCGGCGCCCTGCAGAGCAGTAATCCCCCCAAGAGCAGCAGGGTCTGCGTTGATTGCAGCACCCGCAGTCACAAGCAACTCTACTGTCTCCATGCAAGCCTCTTCCGACGATGCTGCGGCTTGGAGAGCTGTCATCCCATGGCGATGTGCTGGTAAGGCATTCGGATCTGCCTGGTGGTCAAGGAGAAGCTTCAAAGCCTCCACCTGACCCATTTCCGCGGCAAGCTGAAGCGGCGTTCTCTCGCACCATGATGAGGATCGCGTTGGCCATTGGTGGGTTGTATTCGCTCCTGCTTCAAGGGCTAGCTTAAGGAGATGAGTGTCCCCCCGTTCAATAATATCGTGTAGCAATGGGCTACTTGAGCCGTCTGGACGATTCACTGCTGCGCCTTCACCAAGGAGGAAAACGAAAGTCTTTGCAAGCCCTTTTTTCTCACTATAATGTTGCGCACAATACACCTCGTCGTCGTCCTCGATGTCATTGTAGAAGGGTTCCCAGGGCCGGACCATTGCTTCAAGGGCCGTTACTCCGCCCGTCACGGCCGGGGGGGCATTTATGTCAGCGCCTACGCTGAGGAGAAATTGTATCTTCTCTATTGAATAAGCCGTGGCGGCAGCCTGTAAGGCTGTATACCCTCGGACGGGAAACGCTGGCTTGTTAACTTCGGCCCCTTTCCTGAAAAAATATTGCAGGAGCTCAAGACTTTGATGCAGGGCAACTGCTTGAAAAGGGGTGACTCTGTGTCCGTAACTATTAACAGACACGCCCCGATCAACTAAGAGGATTGATACATCCGTATTCCCACTGTACACGGCCGTCTCAATTGCAGTAGGGCCATACTGTGTAAGATCAAGTCCTGCATTAATCAATTTGCTAACAACAGAAGTGTGACCCTCAACCCAAATAATTTCATCCAAAAGGCCATTGATATTGACATCTGCTCCGGCGTGAATCAAGAGATCTACATATTGAAGTCTATGTGACGGAGAACCCAGTGCAACCGCGACGGTCAAAGGGCGGTTTCTAGATGTTGGTATATGAGAACCATTGGGGTCGACCCCGTGCTGTAGGAAATTGACAACTGCCCGGGTTCTGCCCCTCTTTAATGCCACTATCATGGCTTCCTCGAGCATTCTTTCGGAGACTTGAGGATATTGGGATAGAAATTTCAACAAGAATCGAACATCTAACTCCGCGGCTTTTATTAACTGACCAGCAGTAACCGCAGGCATGGTCCCCGATTTCTTGAGCAGAAGTTCGTAAACATCCGGAACATGTTCGGCCGCGTACTGAAGAAGTGGCGATCCGCACACGGAACCTCGTATCACCGCATTCTGATCCAGCAGATATTGGACGATTGTTTTAGTCTCTTTACTCACCGCGAGAGCCAAAGGCGTGGGTGCATAGTCGGCATTTGCCGCGTAAGAATACTGGTTCACGTCTGCTCCGGCTCTGACTAGACACTTGACCATTTTAAAGTTGGTGCAGCGAATTGCTTCCCAAAGAGGAGTTGTCGGCTCCTCTTTGGGCAGACTAACGTTGACTTCGGCCCCGGCTTGTATCAATAGTTCTGCCACTGCGATGTTTTGTGCACGCACTGTGGATCGGAGAAGACAACCTCCGGGCTCTCCTTTGAGCGATTCTGGATCAAGGGTGGACAGAAGGAAGGCCAGGAACTCTGGATCCTCTATCTCCACAAGCTGTGCCACAAAATCGTCGAATTTAGCACCAATGGCGTGGAGCTGCCTTAGAAATTCTTTGTTCTGTACAAGGGCCCCAGCTTCGACAAGGTTGTGAAGGAATGCCTTTACAGTAAGCATGTCCCGTCGCAGTCGCAAGAAGAGCATAAGAGGCTTCACATGGTTGTGCTCGATTATCCATTTGACGAATGTTTCCGCTTGGTGTTTTCGCAACATATTATTTGAGGAAAAGTAGGCGGCAACTTCGAACAGTTGAAAAATGGATGGCTTTTGGGAGGGATCGGACAGCGCTTGTACTTGGGCGTTGAGCTCGTCAGGGTATCGTTCTGGTACCAGAGCCTGGAGCTTAGTTACAAAAGAAGGGATGGCATCCGCAATCTGGCCTTTGTAGGGGAAGCCAATGACTTTTGCAAGCATGGATGGGAGGTCATTTGGAGGTTGACCGGTAGTTGTTGGTATATCGAATGATCCATTGGTTGACGGGCCATCAGGAGAAAGGCCGGAATGAAGGTGATTATCAATGCCGAGCCTACTGGCTACTGCCATATATTCAGTTCCAAATCAATTCGTACCAAGGTGCATCAACAAGTAGGGCTGCGTCACTTACTGCCTTGCAGGAGAGGGTGCTTTAATTCGAAGTAGGGCAGGTTTAGTAAAAGGGTGGACTGTGATGCGCCCAAAACGGTATCCAGTCCAAACGAGTCAGATAGTCCGTCGGTGGCCGTCAGTGTAAACGCCTTGTCTATAGACTCCTGCACATGCATTTTAGGTACATGTTCTATAGGAGCGGGGGATGTACCAAACAGAATTTGAGCATCTTCGTAAAAGTCGAAAAGGCACGAATCACCGCCATCTATGAATGTTACACAGGCTGGTATGAGTACACGTTGAGATTTCTCGGGGAAAGTGGCGAGGCAAACCATGCAAAAAGAAACAGTTCCTAGAAGGCGATGATGGGCCTACAGAACCGGGAGAGATGCAGCGCAGAATCGGTGCTGGTGTCTCTGGCAAGGTGACTTTGGCAATATCCTGATGTACTTCAGGTTTAGGGTCGATAGGTGGCGATGCTGAATGACATGGAGGGGTTGCAATGCAGAGCCGGTCGCTGAGGTTTTGTCCGATTACTTGAAAACACAGTCAGCCAACGAACGTCCCGGCGTGCATGAAAATATATCAAAGAGTCGAATACCTGTTGAGGTATCGAGATCAATAAAATCTCGGCTCACCCCAGCTGCGTATCGGTCGATGCCTCTCTTGAGTCGTTTGTGGTTAAGCTTGTCTCCATGAAAATAGACTTCGCTTTCCTTGTTTTCCAGGGCGCGTTTCTTAATTTCTGGGATGATCCCGGTCGTCCACTCTTTCTCCGTAATCTTCTTTTTCCCGCCGAATTTGTACTTGAACTGCCGTAGACTACGATCCACTTTAGTGCCTGTGAGACAACGTTGGAAAGCTGTGGGGAAACTAACGTGGCTTGTAAGCCATGGTTTTCGCGCAAATACTGAATTGTTTCCTCGGCGGTCTTGTTTTGCTTGATGTAAAGAGAGACGATATCCTGAATGTACGGATCCCAGTTGATATTGGGCTCCGAATTGCTCGACATTTTTGGTGCTGCAAGTTGGATGGATTGGCAGTATGTTTATTGCCGAATGATTTGGGGGCTGCGGGAGTTTATATATACATGCATAGACGGTTGCCAGCCCTTTGAGGCAGACTAGAGGCAGGCAAGGCAACCAACGTATTAGCAGGGCAGAGCCGTTGGCCAATGACGGTACATGTACCCTGACAAGCCTTGCAAAAGGTCACCCGCCGCCTCATCAAAAGGACGGACCCGCAATCTGCCGTGATCTTTTGGTAGTGTCCAATAGCAAGTGTCAACCATATTGACACCAATCAATACCACAAGTATAAGCACAAGCACAAGCACAAGCAGCGAATCCGCTGACTCACCCAGAAGCGCTTTTTGCACTTGCTCTTGGCATTTGAACATCTCAACGTTGAGCTTTTTGAGCTTGTGCCTGCCTGCGTTGCCTTTCAAGCGCGCTTCATGATGCCTCGCAGCCGGGGTTGCTCTCCGGCGTTTTCGACAGAGAGAAGAATGCATGTAATCCGTACATGTATTTGTAGGATCGATGCCCGCGTTGACATGGGCCGCGCACCACTTTCGAGCTACAAATGGACGCTGGACTAAATAGCTCTATGCGTGCCTTTGTGCCCGCTGTCTCCCCCTGCTTACGCTAATATTGTCTTGCTACCTCTCTTCCTCGTTGGAGGTGCAAAAAATCATTAGCCTTTTGGTCTTGGGGCCCGCCCCCCGGGCCAGCCTCACAATCGCAAAAGTACAAACCCCTGTGCAGGGGGGCTGTATGCGTATGTCCTTTGGTACTCCATGGCGAACTTGCATGCTGCGTTGCCTCAATACAAACAGCCCAGCCCAGAAATAAATAAAAATCGCCTACAAAACATCAATTACGCTGCAATATCCAAAAGTGCACTGCATACAAATCAACGCAGAGATTCACAATGGGATCCTACAGGCATCACAAGTATATAAATGTCACGCTCCCATCACGCTTTTTCGTAAGGCACTGAGAAATTCGACAGAGCAATAAGACGACTATTCCTCCGAGTTACTTGATTCCTCGACACCTTATTTAGGCAATTACTATACCACAATGCCTCAGACGGTCCCTTCCAATTTAACGGAGCCTTCTGTTACATCAGCAGTAACAGCAAAGAAAGGGTATTTTGCTTCCCGCCTCTTATATACAGTATTCGTCCAAGCCGTATTCTGACGCTTGCATAGATCCACCACATACCCAACAGCTACCATTCTAAATGGGCCCTCTAAACTCTCGACAGACAATCGGCATTTCCAATCAAGCAAACACAATCTGGACGGCCAGCTTACTTCTTTACCATCAACATGCATGTTGACCAGATGGGCGTACGAAACTCGCAGGGGGGAGGTAACAGTTGCCGAGCAATTTCAGCAAAAGCAGAACAAATGAGGCTAAGAATTTCTATTGCTGGGTGTGTGGTAGTTATATTGTCTGTTAATGAAGGTATAATAGTAATTGGTTCATAATATACTGTCTTTCAGAAATAATTAGTGACACCAAGGATTCCCAAGGGATAAACCTAGATTCCAAGTCTATAGTAGCAAATAGGTTAAACTTTGAAAACTAACTTAAAGTTAGACTAGCAAATGCCCTACTAGATAAGCTTAATGCACTTTAGTATAACCTTCTGGGTTATCCATGATAAGATATTGTGAATTTTCAAGCATTGACTTGTCTTCAAATTATTAAGTATCAAGAAGCTCGTTGAAGTTGTTACCTATTGTTTGATCTCTCGCCCGGTATGGGTCTTAAACCCTGTCTTGAATATTAGCTCTTGTGAGGTGTTATCGGAAGTAGTAATTTGTATGGTGCTCTTTGTTTCCGAATCTCTTGTGCGTCTATCCATGCGCTGGTAAATCATTTGAGCTGAGCGTCCTTATAAGGTGATTGTTCATACTACCAAGCACATACGACCATAGGTAGTGGAGAATTCGGGGTCCCGTCTGCTCCCCCATAGACAAGCCACTAACCGGCAGATTAGTAGTCAGGTGGGTGACCACTGGCGAACACCGGCTGTTGTATGTTTTTATTTTTTGCCTTTATAACCTGTGAGAAGTGGTGGTTGTAGTTGTGGTGGTATAAGCGCTTCTAGCAGCTAAGACCTTCACATACGACCATATCCATTGGAATATACGGGATCCCGTCCGCTCTCCCAGAGTCAAGCCAATGAGAGGCAGATTAGTAGTTGGGTGGGTGACCACCAGCGAACACCGGCTGTTGTATGTTTTTTTTTTTTGGATTTTTTGTGGTTGATTTTTTCGTGTTTCTTTGTCTCAGAAACGTTTGTGCTGTTATGTGGTTGCTGAATGTAACATGCATGTACGCTATAGAGATAGTTGCGGGGTTTCCTCAGGTACACAGCTACTCAAGTTCTATAGTAATAGCGCCCAAGTTAATAAATCAACTTACACCAAGTATATTAAATTAAAATACACTATATATAGCTTTTAATTCCTTTGCTAACTGCATTTTTTACGCCAATGTTATAAGGTTGTCAAGGGACATCACAACTCAAGTTTGCTATGTATTACTGTTAATGTTACTATATATTAATACAAGCTCTCTCTGCAGTAATAAGCAGTAACATTCTGCCTATAGAGCAAGGACGCTCAACAAGTCGGCGATTTCGAACAATTATTCGGTGATGGATACTCGCTACTAGAGAAAAGCAGGCAACTCAATGATCAAGTCAACCTGCCAATCAGCGTTGCAGGAGATTGTCAATCTACATATAAGAGTGCATGCAGCCCCCGCCCAGTTACACAGCCTTGTGCCACCAAAGGATTCAAGTCTATGGGCACCTCTTCTTCGCAGTCGACCTTCTTTTCAAGCAGCGTCTGAATCATCAACCTATACATGAAATGAACCTCTGCAACTTTGGCCTCTAGCCATAACTGATTACATGTACTTGGCTGTCTCACCACTCATCTCTCCAGTTGCCAAAGAAACGGCCCCCATGCATGAGGTGGATGCCCAAGAGACATCATTCCAGATCCTTGAGGGCTTGTCTTATATGCATCGTAAAGGGATTGCTCATCGAGATATTAAACCTGGTGTAAATCTTACATTATCCAATCATTAGGAAAAGATTGTATACTCTTTATTACCTTCCAAGAACATACTCATCAGGTCCCAGCCACCAAAAAGTAAATGATTGGTCAAAATCAGTAATTTTAGCATGAGCAAAACGCATTGAAGCGTCCAACGCACAATCAACCGTCAGCGACACAATTCAGTATATGGCACCGGAGCTCCTCTGGTATGAGCCAGGCAATCCCATCCACTACATGGCAGCCGATATGTGGGCGCTTAGCGCAATGGTCTACCGAATGGCTCACCCTGATGCCCGTCTTTTCTACTCCGGGCGCGTATAATTATTATCTAGTAAATATGGATGCGTTTCCTTTAGAAGAGCTCAGAAAGCGAGGCGCCAGCTCAGATGCGGTACTGTTTATTCGTTCGCTCATGGGGCCTCACCCTGGAGAGCGCCTTGCGTCAGACAAGCCCGTGGAACATGTTGGGTTGCATCTTTTAAGAGCCAGTTAACACAAATCCCTGCATCACCGGCACCCACACCATCGTAAGTATTGCATGTAAAGCGTAAGACAAAGAGGCCATGCAAATTACGTATACATCCAAAGTGGAACCATACAAGTCGACATCCATTACAATACTCATTGGCATTTACTCGGTTCATCAAGACATCACAAATTGCAGACACAATAATTGAGTGGGTAACCTCTGGTATATTTTATTATGTTAAATAACTAATACGCAGAAAGCGAGTTAAAGCCATGCCTTCTATCATCCTCCTCGGCACCAAAAGCCCAGTGCCCCTTCCAAAGCTACTCCTAACCAAAAAAAAAAGGAAAACATGACAAGATCCAACTTTTTGAAAGAATTCCCGTCTACAATGCAGAACCCTCAACACCAAACTGATAAAGAGGTGAGGGGGGCTCGATGCAGAGACAGCGAATCAAGAAATAATCAGGTTCTTGTAGTCTTTGGCCCAAAAGTGCTTCAAAAAAGAGAGCATACAGTTTTTTCCGTCCTTCTAGCCAGCAAAGGCAAACTCATAAAAGGGCATGGCTATAACCACGATTGGCGGTTGAGTATCCCCAAACAAAAAGCCTCCCTTTTTGTTGTTACCAACCACCAACCCACTCAACGTCTCCAAGATCGGTGCGCCTGTCCTTGCGCCAGTTCCAATCTTTCGCCTTGGTCCACGAATTCTCCTTGAGGCGATCCTTGCTCCACCCCTTGCCGTAACTGTTGTGTTGATTGTGTAAAATATTGTTATTGTGAGAAGTAGAAAAATGATGATCCCAAACGCCCGCTTCATAATATTTGTTGTTATTGTATCCGTTGTTACTGTATCCAAACCCAAAATGACGACGCTGCTTCCAACCGGGAGACTTTTCGGGCTCCGCCTGAATGTTCTGGCCCCTGCGACGCTCACCAAGCGCTGCCCACTTGTCGACGTTGCCACGCTTTGACGGGGGCGAGTAGCGCGGTGTGATAGTAAAGGCGTGCTTGGTGGGTGGAGAGGCCTCGTGAAAAAAGAAACCATCCGCAACCAAATCATCGTCCACATCACCCTTGATGACGTGAGCCACGGGGATGGGCTCAGTCTTTGGCACAGAGGTGTTGTCGTTGGTGCTCTCGTGGCTCCAAGTGCGCGAGTTGAGCTCCTGGAGAGCGCTGACCCTCTGCTGCTCCTGCTCCTCTTCCTCATCCTCGTCCCACATGTCGCTCCAGCTCTTGGAAACCGTATCCTTCTGGCGGCCAAAGACGGCGGCCATAGAAGGGAACGGCTTGCCCATAGCGATGGGCAGGGATCCAGCGGCGGGAGAAACCTTGGCGACGGCCTTGGGCACGGGCGGGCGAGAGATGTTGAAGGCCCGCAGACGAGCTTCAATGATGCGCGAGTCCAGCATAGAGGAAGACGGGGTCTGGACTCCAGTAGAGTACCAGTCGGTCGTCTCTCCAGACTTGGAGAAGAGATCCTCGCTGTAGCTCTCATCGTCGGGAATGATGCTAAGTTGACGACGATGGGCAGCAGGAGTCTCGTTGAGCGCCTTGGTCCAGGGGAATGCGCCTCCATCGATCTGTGGGGTTTGGATAGACGGGGTGCGGAGAGGCTCACGATGAGCAGATGCCACGGTAGGGTTCTCGGCACCGCAAAAGTCATCGAGAGACTCATCCTCCGTCGTAAAGCTCACAGCGCGAAGGAGGGCATCGCGGGCGCCCTCGAGGGAACGCTTCTTGGGATCCAAGTTCATGCACTGCACGATGACCTCATACGTGTCCTGGGACATGCTGGGGAAGACATCAAAGAGACTCTGCTTGTCACGAGAGAAGTCGAGGAACAGAGGGTCAGACTCTGTGGGGGTGGTGAACGGATTGCGAGAGAAGAGAATGTTGAGGAGACAAATGCCAATGGCCCAGATATCAGCCTCGGCGGGCGAATATCCAGCACCGGCAGAGTCGAATTGCTCAGGGGCCATGTACCTGTCGCTGCCGACAGTAGTCTCGTAAGACCACTTGTCGGTAGTGGCAAGGCCAAAGTCGCCGAGCTTCATCGCGCCATCTTGAGTGAGGAAGATGTTTTCTGGCTTGATATCGCGATGATAGACACCTTTGGAGTGGATGTAGGCAACAGCGTCGACCAGCTCGAGCATGAACTGGCGAACGTGCTCAGTCTCCAGAGGACCGTGGCCGTTGCGGATAGCCTCGTAGAGGTCACCCTGGCCGCAGAACTCCATGACCAAGTAGACATGGGCCTCGGTCTCAAAGGTATCCAGCAGGTTGACAATGTTGGGGTGCGATCCCAGGCCGTTATGCAGAGCATACTCCTCGGATCGTTCGTCAACTGCAAACTCGGGGTTGACCTCACAAGGCGCTGACCTCTTGGTGAGACACTTGATGGCCACGACCTGGTTGGAAACGAGATCCTGAGCCATAAAGACCATGCCGAATGAGCCGTGGTTGAGTGGTGAGATGGTCTGGTAGCGACCTCCATCAAGGAGGAGGCCACCAGTGAACTTGTTCCTCATGCATTCCATGCTTTCGAAAGTTGAGAGTGTAAAAATATAAAAAAAAAAAAAAGTAAGAAAAGTAAAACGGAAGAAGAGTCGAAAAAGCCAGAAAAGCTAGAACAGAAAGAAAAAGATGAAAAACAGATGGGTGATAAAAAATAAAAGAAGATAATTTATACAGGCGGAGTTTGATGTTCAAGATATGTAAAAGTGATATATGTCTTTCGTCTCTAGCCGTGAATCAATCAGGCAGCCTATTGGTATGAACCGTTCGACGTTTCTATACGCGCAAGGTTGCGTTCAGGCAAACTGTGGAGATGGAGAGAGAAAAGACGTGAACAAGAAGAAAACTGCGCAAAAGTGGCAGTTGAAGAATCGAAGAACAGATAACCGGAATGTACAAGCCGTGAACGACAAAGGAAAAAGGAAGACGACAGGTTGTAGCCACGTATAATTGTTTGTTGGTTGATATGGTGTTGCTTGGCGGATTGTAAGAGTTTATAAGATAATCATTTGTTGGGAGATTTCAGAAAAGAGTAGAGACAAAGGAGACGCGAATTAACGAAACCGTGGCCAAGATGCCGAAAGCCGGCTTGCGTATAGAGAAAAGGTGGAAGAAATTGTTTGTTCGTTATAATGACATCGAGGTCGCGTTAAGAGGCTGAAATGTATAATGAATGACTGGTGGTGATTATTGTTTTTTTTTTATATTGGTGTAGGAGTGGTTGGTGGTGAGAGGCTTGAGGAGACGGCGAGGGTCGGATCCGTCAAGTGAACAAGAAGCAGGCGAGTTGAGTATAGACGTTGAGGTTGAGGTTGTGAGGAGAAAGAGAAAGAGAAGAATCAGGGAGAGTGTAGCAACGTGGCGGACCAACCAAGGTGGCGGCCGTGAGCGGAGCGTAGCTCTCGCTGGAAAGGGGGTGACTCAATCAAGGCGAAGAGATGCAGATGTCAAGTCGCGAGCGAGGTTGAGCCGAACAACTTTTGGGTAAAAAGAAAAAAGGCCGCTTGAGAACAAGGACACTTGTGACTATCGCCCGGTGACTCGATCAAGGTGCTGATGGAGGAGCTTATCGAGAGCGGCCGAGACCGGGACGGTATGACGAAGACGGGCGGAGTGCACTAGGGCCGAGGCTCTAAAGGACGAGTTTGCGGCGAAGCAGTGACAAGTACACGCTGGCGGGCGATTGTCTATGGGCGACGAGACGACGTTGCTCGAAAAAGCTGAGCTGAGGCGGACCGCTGCAGGGATCTAGGCAAAGGAGGACCCTTCTTTCTCTCGTCGAACTGTTTGGGGAGGGAATCGGTTGCGTCGGGGCCGATGAGGTTCGGATGGCGGCAGGCTTGCGAGGGTTTATCGTCGAGGTGGCGAATCTGGCGCTGGAATTGGCGATTGCGACGAGACGCGGCGACTGGGCAGACGAGTCGGAGATGGGAGTTCGAAGCACGAGGCTGACGAGACGCAAGCTGCGAGGAGAAAGAAGGCCTTTGACGGGGAGGGGGAGCGGGAAGGAGGAAGAGGGAGCGATGAAGTGGAAGTAGAAGTAGTGAAGTAGGAGAGCAGATGCAGGAGAGGCAGAGGCGACAAGAGGCCGGATGAAAAGGGAATACCAGCCAGCCGGCCGTGGAAGAGCGTCGAAGTGGACAGGGGGGTGGGCCGCATCTGAAGGCACGAGAACCTGCCAGCAGCGGCACTGGGGGTGGTGGGGCGCCCACCGCGTCCACTGGCCAGCGTCCCATCCAGCGCTGCTAGCACAGGGCACTACAGGGCAAGCAGCACCACTCCGGCCGGCTAGCGCCAGTGCTATGCGGCGTAGTCGCACGCTACCACTGTAGGTACAGTACCTGGTGGCGGTACCGCTGCGCCATGGCAGACAGGCACGGAGTACGACGAGGGCGGCCAGGTAGCTGGTACCCGCGGAGCGAGCAGCGTGGCGCAGGGTCGCGCGCAGAGTCTGGGAACGAGTACGGAGTCTCTGGTACCTGCACCAACAAGCAACTCAACACTCAAAAGCGACTGGACCCCCAGATCGGACACGCGCACCTTTGCAGCACTGTCTCGCAAAGCCCGTTGGGCCTTGGTATCAGTACGAGCGCTGGGCATTGTACACGGTGTTTGGGGCCCCTGCGCAGCGCATGCACCGTTGCACGCACTGTACGCACTGTATGTACTAGGTATGTACTCACTCCCGCACCGACACACACACGCCCGCTTCTCGTACACCGTGGCGCATACCGAGCACGAACGGCACGAGCACGGCCGTCGTGTCCTTTGGGCACCGCACCGTGCACACGCCAGCCAAGCTCTGCCCCAACAAGATTGATCAACGACAAGTTGCTGCTCTCCTTAGTCGCAACAAGCCCAAGGGAAAAAAGAGTCACGCGTGGTCGCCAGTTGCGGAGCACAGTGCCAGCAGCGCATTAGGCATCCCGCAGGTTCCCGGCACACCCTGCAGTGGCCGCGCCGCTTCTGGCACAAGCGCTGCTGGCCCGGCTCGATTGGGGGAGTACCCGGTACGGGCTGCACGCGGCGCGGCGCTGGGCAGGAATAGGGGCCCAAGCCGGGCACGAGGGTACCGGTACACCTGGCAGAGCACGCTGCCTGGCAACCGCCGGAGTACGCCGTAGTGGTAGCAGCCGTTAGTGCGCAGCCCGTACTGCAGCTTGTAAATGGGCGGTTGAGTGCGGACGAAGGATGATGCATGTCCGTCTTAGTATGTACTATGTGTCAGGCCACGCATGGCAGACACTGACGACAGGTAGCAGCAGCAGCGCATTGTTGGTCTGTATGGCCTTAGGTAATGTATGTAATGTAATCTACATGTGTTTGGGCCGTATTCGTTGCGACGACTATTTCGAGCGCGGTCTGCATATCGGGGTACCTTGAGTGGCACCACGCAGCCTGCGATTCTTTGTCACTCTCACTCTCACTCTCACTCTCACTCTCACTATCTCACCCACTTACTCGTGCTAGCCGATGCAATGCAAGCGCGGCACAGCGTCTATCAGTCTATCTGTGCCAAAGTATGGGGTAAGAGAGTATACATTGCTCCATACTCGAATACCAATTGCTAATGGCGCTGGCGTGCTATTGAGCAATACGCAACTACTTACTCGTGCTTCGTTGCTTCGTCAACTCTGCGGACCCGGATGACGAACGAGCAATTGCTGCCAATTCAACAAGTCGCAGTTGTTAGCATTTAGCCGGAATGGCGACCTGCGACGCTAACAGCAGTGCCAACGTCCCAATTGAGCAGCCCAGCGCTGACAAACCGGGCCCCCCCTGCAACGTGCTAGTACTGTGCAGAATCGCTCCCTCTAGCAGCTCTCTAGCAGCTCTCTAGCACCATTGCGCTGCTGCTCTGTTATCCAGCAAAGCAGTCACGCCAGGTGGCGTCCCCACACGACGACGACATGACGAGGGTCTGCGTGACTGTACCGTGCCAATTCCGCTGAAGAAACGACTGTGCAGCCCAGCCCAGCACATCAGTCTGTTGCGGTACCAAGGTACAAGCTACAAGCATTAGGTACGAATTCGTCTCGTGTTAGCGTCCGGGAAACGTTGCTTGGCTTTTTGGCAGTCCAGATCCAGACCCGGCCCCGGACCCAGCGCCTGTTACTCATACCCAAGTCCGCAATCCGGAGGGACATTCAGCGATGGCCTGAACGATTGGGGTGGCAGCAAGCAGCGCGGCAGCAGTTCGCTTTGGCAGGGCACAGTGGGTACAGGAAGTATTGGGTACTGCGCATTCTCCAAGGCCCGCAGGATCGTTGTTTGCTGTCCACGCTGCTGCATCTCGCGGATCGCCATCCGTCCACGTCGCAACAAGGGAAGGATAAGATAAAGATGATAAAGATGCTGCTAAACTCAATCAATAAAATCAAAAGGATGAAAATAATGTATAATCATAACCTTGATGTCTTTGACAGCAGTTGCTGCGTGGCACCACTCGTGAGACCCTGATGCTCTGTTTCGGCCTTATCCCCCGCGCTGCGTCCAAACACAGAAATCAGGGTCTGGCAGCACACGACCAGAAAACGCATTGCCTCAATGGCCAATGAATGGAAGCGCATCGAATCTGCTTTGTGTACCGCTACATACATACATACATACATACATACATACATAGATTGCATTCATAATTAATACCAACTCACTACTGTGCACCACTTTTTCGCAGAGCATAGCCTCCGTCCCAATTCATCACGACTTGGGCTCTCAATCTCTTGCCATACTTGGCAGGAGTACATTAGGTGGCCATACATCTCTGCGCGCCAACGCTCGTACCGGCCCAAAGCTGGCTCATTAGACTTTCTGCTAGGGGAATTGCGTCGAAAATGACGAGATTTGGGGAGGGTCCCTCGTTTTCTCACCCTCAGTGCCAAATCCGCGTATCCAGATACTTTGTACCTTGCCCGGCGGTACACCGTGCCCCCGTTACGGCGAGCGAGCGATCCCATCTCGGCTAAGAGATGATAAGCGGGCAGAGGAGGACAGATACCTTCGATGCGGTCCATGCTCCTACAGTAGGTACTCTGTTGAAAGTTGGTAGACACAGATATACAGACACAGATACAGATACACACATGGATACATAATAGGTAGGTACCTGCCGAATCCTGCATTGATTGTCCAAAGCAGAGAAGCGCGCCCTGCCAATCTCTGCCAGGTCTTCCACTGCTGTTTCATGTGTACAAACGTACATTGCAGGTATGGCCCAGTACTGGTCCTGATTGGACGCCGAGACACGCACGCTTCATGTTTCGGTCCTGCTCCCGGCAATATGTATGTAGGTATATACAGAGTACAAACTGTGCATTACATAGGAGAAACGTGAGATACTATACTGAATGTACGCACACGGTCTACAATGCACGATTGCGGTAACAGCAACAAGTGGACAAGTGGATGGGATGGTACTCCGTGTAAGTGCTGTTGTAGGTACGACCCAGCCATGTCTTACTCGCACAAACGCCCCCCGTCCAACCACGGCGCCGGATCTGGTGCACTGTCCGACCTCAGAAACGCTGAAACGACGCAATTGAGTTCATGTACCGCGTGTCTGCACCGTACTGGGAGTGTCCATACTGTGCCTTTTTTTTTATCTTCCCCCCCCCCCCCCCCCCCTTCTCCTTAGGAGCGCATCCCATCCCGAAGCGTTTCATCCGGGTGCCATGCCCAGGAGACGATCGAGCCACTTTTCCCCGGTGATGGTGGTCTGGATCCTGGGAGCCCAGATAAGGGAGGGAGACTCAGACAAGAGCTGTTTTTCTGTCTTGTTCTCGGCGGTTCTTAGGTGGCTACGCAAGGGCAGATGAGTGAAGACTATCGATGAAATTTCCAGACATTGTACGCAATTGGATTGAACCCTGCATGCCGTATGCCGTATGTGGCAAAAAGGGGATATGAAAAAGAAGAAAAGACGAGACAGAAAAGGAAGAATTAAAGACAGACCCGGCTGGAATGCATCTTTGCCATGACGTTTCTTGGGAACCCCCCCCAAAACAATAGCCTACTGTACTAAGTTGACACCTTTGTATTCGTCGCCGTTGCACGCAATCCCGCGCGGCGCTTTATTTTTCTTCTAGGCTAAAAGTAAATAAGACGGCTGCGCAATTGGTTGCCTCGGGTTGCATCGAGGAATGGAACTACTGCTGCTGCTACTGCTGCTGCTGCGACTGTCCCCCCTTTTTTTTGATTTGATTGATTGACGGTGATTGATTGACGGATTGATTCGCGGCGGTTGCCATGAGATACACACGCCAAAGGCCACTTAAAATCTTGTTTTCTGCACCGAATCAGACAACTCGTGCTGCTTCCGTCTCTTGTCGAGATGCTGCTAGCAGAAGCGTGCATTTTCGGACAACGGACTCGGGCGGGTCTGCGCTTTCATGCGCCGGAAACATGGCCGTCCAGGTACACCGAGAGAGCCACAGCAACTGAAAGTTAGTACGTAACTAAGTACCTTGGTACTCTACCTTGGTACTCTACCTTCAATTTTTCATCAGGGTGCCGAGTGCATGGATGGGCTCATTTCATGCTATTACACACGTTACCCACCGCAATTATACGAAACAAGCAGACAAAACAAAAATAACAACTGGCAACGTGTCCTGAAGGAAAACAACAAATAATCTAATGAGTCAAATGATGGTCCCAAAAGAGAGGAGAAGAGCCCTTTTCTTGGTCCCTTTTTTCCATCACGTCTGCCAATGCCGCCATGGCCCCGGCGGTGGCGATCAGATACAAGCAAGTACAAGTACAAGCAAATCGTACTGTATCTACATAGTGCAGCAGGTACTACTACTGCTCACACTAAAACCATCATTACGCTACCACTTGTTTCGTGTCCATCAACCACCCACCATCCAAGCTGATACGCAAGATGATAGTCGCAAAGCTGCTAGAAATAGAAAACCAGACCCTTTGTGGATTGTGTCTTGTTTGATTGACAGCTACTCTAGTGTACTGTACTCGCTTGTAGGCTGATAAACAAAATGCGGGCCAAGAAACGGAGCTCATTCAATCCCATACTCCAAGTACATACAGCATGTACATTCAATCAGCAGTCAGCGCGCTTCTGCTGTGCTCTCCCCCCTGGAATTGGCGCCCATCTACTACAATGTGTCCTCATCACCATATAATCTGCTTCTTCTTCTTCCCTATGTAATTCCTCCATTCGCTAAAAACCGAATACGCAGAAGAAGAAGAATAATAAAAAGGGTGGTGTGGTGGTCGGGATGCACTCCCACTCGTCCAAAAAACCTCACTCCTCCCCATCTACCCCCGAAACTCCATACCTGTCAATTAGTCCACTGTGCTGCAACTAATCTACGCAATTCTTTAGCACTCCGTAATGGCCCCGTATATCCCGATCCATATCCGTATGCATCTACATCATACAGTACTGTAGGTCCGCGACAAAGAGACAAAACTACGTAATCTCTCTTCACACTCGGCTTCTTTCTCATTCCCCACGCTTCCTCGGTTTTACCCAGGCAGCCGAGAAAAGAAGCAAAGAGAAGACGCCCGAAAGGCACAGCCGACACGACACGGTTCGATACGATGCTACAGTAAAAAAAAAATTGAGCGCAATGATCAGCCTATATACGAGGCCATTGCAAAGAGTCTCTGATCCCCCTGACCGCCTTCCAAGAAAGAGGCTACTACTAGCAACAAGGGCGTCAACCGCCCTGCACGCTGACGCACAGCAATGCGCCTCTAATGCAGCCTTCATGCAAGCTGCCCCGAATGATACTCGCTGTTTCACTAGGTACTATTGTAGTATATTGTATATAGCAGGTATCTTATCACGAAGCGCAGCGGCTGCCAAAAACAAGTGCTTGCCAGCGCGGGATCAAAAATGGCGCCCCTCCTGAATAGAGCAAGCCCAGGCACTAGCGCCCAGCTCCAGGGTAGCACATTGTAGCATGCTGTCGCAGTGAAAAGAATTCGACACCAACCCGCTGTAATCTACCTTGCCTAGTACGGATTGCCCAGCAGAGCAGAGAGGGGGTCCGTCCTAGGAAAATTTTCCTTCCTGCTGGGACCTTGTCCTTGTCCTTCTCAGCTCTACAGCTTGCCAGCCAGCCAGCTCTATTACAACTACACACCTGACTAAATCGGCCAGCGAGACCTTGCCTTTTTACTTCTTCTTATGTAAAATAGAACATTCCACAGCCTCCTCCTCTTCACCGCCTGCGACTCTGAGAGCTTTTTTTGTTACTTTTCCCCTTACATACTAACGATATACTACAACTACTAGTACTAGCAGCAGTAGCTCCAAGACGACGAAGAGGAGAAAAGAAAGAGCCGAGACAAAGAAAAATGGCGACTCAGCCCGACTTTGGTCGATTCGACGTTCTTCTGCTCGACATTGGTACGGCGCCCCCTCCCCCACTTACCCCGGCCTGATCAACGTGGGCGAAAAAGTGCGCGTATTCGAATCACGAGTGGTCTTTGCTTGCATCCCTCAACCGTCTTCCGTGTCGTTGCTCTTCCCAGCTGATGCTTATCGCGCAACCTTTACGCGCCATGCAGAGGGCACCGTCTGTCCCATCTCCTTTGTCAAGGATGTCTTGGTGAGCCTGCCTGCTTGCTTGCTTTTTTTTTAATGGCTCCCCCCTTCGTTCATCCGTTTCATTCGCTCGTCGCGGCTTGCAACGTTCGGATTCGCTTGTCGCATTAATCGCCGTCCGGCCATCCCTGTCCATCAGCCAATCGACTTGCGATGCGCAAGACTAGACAAGACACCCTTGCTTTACCCCAACACAACGCCTACCCGTAGCTTCTGCTCTACCACGTTATGCGCGCATATACTGCACCAAGTAGTAGCGCCGCTTGATCAACTCCTCCCTCCCTCTCTCTCCTCTGTCCTGTCTGGCCCCGTCCAACGCAAAAAAAAAGTGGCTGACTTTTTTGATGGGCCCTCCTTTGTGCCCGTTCCGTTCCTCCAGTTCCCCTATGCACTCAATGTCCTGCCCGAGTTTTTAGCGGAGCAGTGGGACGAGCCGAGCTTTGCTGGCTACCGCAATGCTTTCCCCGACGAGTATCGCAATGATCGCAGCGCCTTCGAGGCTCACGTTCGGGACCTGGTCGCCCGAGATGTCAAGGCGCCGTACCTAAAAGCCCTCCAAGGCCATCTCTGGACAAAGGGCTATGAATCGGGGGTCCTCAAAGCTCCACTCTTTCCTGACGTGCCACCCTTCATCACCAACGCCCATGCGGCCGGCAAGAAAATCATGATATACTCGTCCGGATCGGTGCCGGCCCAGAAGCTGCTCTTCGCTCACACGACCGCCCAGCCCCCCGACATGAGCGTCCTTATTTCTGACTGGTTCGACACCGTCAATGCGGGGCCCAAGACCGACGTGGCTAGCTACACCACTATCCTGTCTCATCATCCAGACATCAGCCCCGCACGTTGGATCTTCCTGAGCGACAACCTCAACGAGGTAGATGCTGCTCGCCAGTCGGGCATGCATAGCATCCCAGCCGTCAGACCGGGCAACGCACCTCTGCCTTCCCATCACCCGCTGTCCGAATTTGCTGTCTCCGAGTTCACTCCGGTCTCCATTGCACAGGCTGCAGCTGCCATTGCTGCGAAACCTTTGGCTTGAAGATCCCAAGTCTTTTTTTGTTTTCTTCGTCTTTTAAGGGGGTGGCCATTCAAATCCCGTCGGCGTCCAAACCCCCCACGAATCAGTCCATAGCGGGGAGAGTCCGATAGTCAGGTGTCAGGTGTTCCAACATCACATATTTTAGAATGACAGTAGCTTTCCAGCTGTGTTGATGTGTCGATAATTTCCGTTCCCGAGCAACTAAAAAAAAGAGCTATTTGGCTGGTTCGCTTTTTGTGAAGTCGACCATTGCGGGGAGACTAGTTGACCGCCATCTCGCGAGGTGTACCATATGTACAATGTACAGTAGACAGACTTGCTGCTGAGGTGTGTGGAGGGGGGCAGGTAGGGAGGGTTCCTAGGCGGTCAGCGAGTGGCTGTCTCCAAATCTCCAAAGACAACCAGAAGAAGAAATGCTCCGTCTAAAAAATGACATGACGCTCCGCACCTGAACTTTGTTGGGCCCTAGTGCATGAAGCTGTCCTTTTCGTCGCTGCATTGTGGTGCAAAGTCGAGGGAGTGTTGCGTAATCCGAAAGTTGCTCTCTCGCCAATCCAATCGAGTTCAATATCATGTCTGTTGCCCTTTGAGTGTCATGACAAAATTGTTTCTGGTCTTGCCCGGGTTGACCTCTTGCTTTGAAAAGGTCAGCCCTGCCTTTGCAGCTCCCCCTGTTCTCCTCCACAGGCTGTAGGCTAGCTTGGTCGTCTTCTTGCTTCTTACTCGTGCGTAGTTGAGCATAGCCATCAGCTCGTCAAACCTCTCGTCTGTAAAGTATCGCGAATTGTCGACGCAGCTCCTGGGCAAGACAACGAAGAGACAAGGAAAGAGCGGTTCGGTGGTAATCGTACTGTCGACGTCGTCCTTGAGAAACGAGAGTGTTCGTAGAAGCATGGCGCCGCGGCCAAAGGCATCGGGGACGAAGTTGAGTACCAGGCTCAGCGAGATAATATCGAATTCTCCTTTGCCGTTCTCAGGCAATGGCCTCTCCATAAAATCTTGCTGAAGGATGCCTGGCTCCTGACTATTCAAGTCAATGTGCTGAACGTTAAAGACCTTGCTGGTTGAACACGCATTTCGAGTGCTGAGTGCTCCAACTTCGAGCATCTGAAGAGGCCGAGGCTGCTGCTTTAGTTCGTCCAGTGGAAGCCATTCCATAAGAACCCGTGATGTGTCTCCTCCTCTGTCGATACTTTGTCCCTGCAGACTGGCCTTTTGATAGTGATCCAATCCTCCCAGACTCTCGATTTCGGCTGCCACCTTTGCTTCTGTTTCCTTGTCGCCACTCCTGATGGCCCTTGCTCGGGTCTTTTCCAAGTGATGATGCTTGTTGATCAGTGTCCTGCTTGCCTTTCGAGTCATGGAACGGCTTGGCTTGGCCAACGGCGGGCGTCCTTGGGTGAGACTCGACAGCGTCTTCTTCTTGGGGGCCATATTGTCCTTGCTTCCGATGGTGATGTCCAGATGTGTCCGTTGCCAAGTATCGAAAAGGTCCGTTAGATATGAGAATGAAGGGCCCTTGGTGAGAGAAGAGCCTTGGGTGTTGACGCCGATATCAGCCCTAAATCCCGTTGATGGCTGCCTATGCTGTCTAATATCATGACCACCGCTTAATCGCCCTCTCAGCGTTGGCGTTGCATCGTGCGAATCGCCCTCAGAGCTGTGGTCCTTGGTATGAGGTGTCGTAGTTCAATGTCCTGACGCCTCGGCGTGCAGATAAAGGGCCATCTGGCCAAATAATGGATATGGCCATATTGATCGCACATTTACTTATAAATACCCTTCCCAAAGCGGCTAGCGCGTCTTGCAAAACCTCTCGTTAATGTTCGTGAATGTAAGTCACATGACCGCAGTGCTGAACCAGCCAATCACAGCCCACGCTTGCTGGAGCCCTAGGTTTTTTTTTTTTGCAATTTCGCCCACACCAGCCGAATTAACTTCTATGTAGCTGGAAACCTCTCTTTTTTTCTTCCTCCTCTTCTTCATTCCGATAAGTCGACAAATCCTCAACCGCACCAACATTCCCAGTGCAAACTCGACCAACCATTACAATGGCCCCCGCTAACAAGAAAGGTACGACATGAATTAAAGAGACGGGTTTTGTGGTCGTCGTCGAAGCAGCCGAAGCAAATCGATTGTTCCATTTTCTGCGAAGCGACTTTTATACGACACACAAACCACGATGCTCTCCCTAATTTCTTCCGCGCAGCATCATGCAGCAGCAGATTTTGCGAGTTCTGAATAAGAGCGATTGCTGATGCGTATTATGATGTAGCTGCCACCAAGGGCTCCAAGCAGGCCAACGCCGCTGCCAAGGCCGCCCTCAAGGGTGTAAGTAATGGATATATTTCTTTCCACCTCACAATTCGTGACCAAGGCTTGATTGTTCGGGTTCGCTAACATCGCATTCGCAGACTCACTCCTCCAAGACCCGCAAGGTCCGCCAGACCACCTCTTTCCACCGCCCCAAGACTCTGGTCCTGTCCCGCGCTCCTCGCTACCCCCGCAAGGCCATCAACCACCTCCCCCGTCTCGATGAGCACAAGATCATCATCCACCCTCTCAACACTGAGAGCGCCATGAAGAAGATGGAGGAGAACAACACCCTGGTCTTCATTGTCGATGTCAAGGCCAACAAGGCCCAGATCAAGCTGGCCCTCAAGAAGCTCTACGACATTGACACCGTCAAGATCAACACCCTGATCCGGTATGTTTTGCTCAAGAGCATAAAAAGAAGAAGAAGAGAGATTTCATTCATACTAACTTTGCAATTTTAGCCCTGACGGCTCCAAGAAGGCCTACGCCCGCCTGACCCCCGATGTCGATGCCCTCGACATCGCCGCCAACAAGCTCTCTCTGGTCTAAGCTGGATATTTTAGTTTCTTCGAAATTAAAAATAAAAAACGGGGAATTGTTGGTTTCTTCTACTCATTTTTTTCTCTTGTTCTCTCGGGCGCGGAAATTGGTCTTTAGTCTCAACATGCATGCACATATACCATGGGCATTGAGGAAAACACTTTTTGGGAGGAGTTGAGCTCTTTTTTTTGTCATTTTTACGGATCGGAACAAATCATGATAAAACTATGCAAAACAAAAAGACAAAGCCGGTCCGTCCACGTACCGATTTATGAAGGGCAAACAGAAATAAATGAAGATGAGGGGAGCTGATGACGATAACTAATGCTGGCTCTGAATGATGTGACATGATTCATCCCCATTACCGCGTAAATTATCTACGCATTGTGTTGTAAATCGTAGTGCCTTCTATGGGTCTTGATGCCTTTTAAATTCATTGGTGTTTATCAGAGAGAAGAACAGTCCCGTATCCCATCCCAAAATCTAGATCATATATCCTTCATACCACGTTTTTAAGATATCGTACAACACACAATCCACAATCCACAATTCACGCCCGTATTAACAACCCCTCAAATTCCATACAAAGTAAAAATCCATTCTTATGACCGCATGTTGTTCAGGTGCTTCATTGTCAAAAAGTTGATATCCAAAAACCGGTCCACGCAGTTGGCCAGGCACCCTTCCTCGCCCTTATCCAGCTTCGATCCCTTGATGTTTCCAGTGACGCACTTTTTCCAGCAAATCTGCGTCAAGTTGTGTGTTTCTGCAAAATGTAGCGATCAAATTCGTCAGCACATCTTTTTCTTTCTTCTTCTCTTGCTCCTCTTCTGGGGTAATGGGACAAGTAGATATTGAAATTAGGAAAACAGGTAACAAAAAAAGGACCAGCACATACGAGCTTGAATCTGCGATCGCTGCTGCTCATTGGCAAGAAACTGCCGCAGCTCCGTCTTGTCCTTGTCGTTGAGCTTCTCCAGGTCGAGGTTCTCAATTCCAGTCTGGGCGGCGTTCATCTTGGGCAGAAAAGAAATTTCAAGTCGGTTCGTATATGTTATGTCCGAGCGAGACTTGTTGTTGCGTGGGCTAAGAGAGTGAAGGGTTTCGTCGTAAACAGCGTGAGTCGTGGATATGTTTTTGGAGGACTTGCTGCAAAAAAGTGATGATATAACGGCGGCGGTTGATAATATTTTTCTATGGGCTCCTTTTTGGACCAATGATGGTGCGTTGTAGACGTCCGAGGCGGCGAATGAGAGGGGAGAATGTCGTCTCCACTTTCGGATGACTTGGACTAACTTGTAACTTTTAAGTCTGAGATGCTGGTGGAAAGATTTGTTCGAGATTCTTGGTTCATGATTTAAGAGATGCTGCTCTACCCAGCTCGCAAACTTCAGACGCAGTATTTATAATTTATAGCAGTGCAGCACACTGCGTAGATGCAGCATATACAACAATGCAGACTATTTAATTAATTTCAAGCCCGGCTATAAACATGACCAGTCGCACGCCTCAAGAATGCTTCCCGAGTCTATGATGCCAATTGTACCCCCTCCCAAAGAAAGAACAATAACAAAATAAAAGCGATACAGTAAAAACAAAAACCCCCTCAAAAGAAGAGGAGGGAAAAGAATCACAAACACCCCTCTATGTACTATAACCAGAACCTGCTTTCATACAAGAAATGTAAATTTTCTTATTCCCTCCCAAGTTCTTTTTATTTTTCTTTTCTTCTTCTTCTTCGTCTTCTTCTTTTTCTTATATCCACCGCTTCCATCTCGCCACAGACACCATCATGGCACACAAGACAATCATGAAGCCGACAATGCCAAAAAAGGGGCCCAGGTTGCTGACCTCTTCAAACGGCAGCCGTACATTCATGCCAAACAAACCGCAGACAAGGTTGAGCGGGACAAGAATGGATCCCAGCATGGTGATTTTACTCAGCACGCGGTTCATGTCCGTGCCCTGGGAGATGTTGTTGATGGACAAGGTGGCCAGGTAATTGCTGTGGGCGCGAGACAGGATCTTCTCAAAGTGTCCCAAGTTTGTAGCCATGGTCACGACGTGATCCTGGATGTCACCGAGGTACATTCCAATGTCCATGTGCGGCGTCACCTGGTAGTTTTCGTTGCAGCGCTTGGTGAATCCCCGGAGGACGTCAGCCTTGCCGCCCAGCAGTCGCAGGAGCGCCATGCAGTTCTTGCGTACCCGTCCAATAGACCGCAAAAAGGTGTTTGAGTCGTCGAACCGCATGACAAAGACTTCGTCTTCAATGGCATCGGCTTCAAGCTCAATCTGGTTGATGACGGGCGCAAAGCTATCGACAATGTTGTCACTAGAATCACATATGTTAGATCACACACACACACCAATGACATGCTATGCAAAAGAAAGAAAAGGCCTACATCAATGCATAGCAGATCCAGTCGCTGCTGAGAGAAACATAGTCCTTGAGAGCCGTGATTCGCTTGCGCACCTCGGAGGCATGGGAATTGGGGGTAAAGCTGAAGCTGAGCGTGCCCTCTCGGAACACAATGACATAGATGTTGAAAGGCTCGTATTCTTTCCCATCAGGCTCGTCCACTACGTTAAACGACCGGAAGCAAGCAAAGTAATATGATGGGAAGAGCTCAATCTTTTCGCGAGCCTCTTGGGTGACAATATCTTCAATGGTCAGGGGGTGGAGGCCAAACGCCTTGCCAATGCCGTACGCTTCTGCCTTTGTGGGGTTGTTGACATTGAGCCACCAGACACCACCGTCTTCGTCTTCTGGCAGTTCAAAGAGGCCTCGGAGATCCTCTCCTGGGAGCACAAGATCACCCATCTCGGGGGCATGGATCGTCGATTCCCATGCCGAAGAGAAGAAGCTGAAGCGAGTGTTGTCGACAGGGTGAGGATGCATCCTGGGAGGAGCACTGTCCTCCGAAGACATCTTCTCGTCGATTACCGACTCGTCAGAGGGAACCTCGAGAATGTCACCATCCACAGTGACAAGTTGCGCCGGCTTCGTAAGGGTAGGGGTCCGCCGCAGGTCCTTGAAGCTCTCTGTGGGCACCTCTGCTCGGGCAGCTCGCTCCTCTCGCTCTTCCCGCTGGTCATTGATGAAATCTTCGAGATACTCAAAGTCGATTCGAAGATTGTGTTGCTTGGGGTGCTTCTCCTGGAGAGGGTAGCAGACGTCCTCTTCGACGGTCTTGTTGGTCAGGAAGCTTCTGGCATCTGCCTCCTGGGTATGCGACCTCCTGCTCCGATGGCTTGTGATGGACATTGTTCGGCCCAGAGGTTCGTCGCCTTCGTCTTTGGCTTCGGAAAAGGACATCTCGCGCTCTCTGCGCCGGGCTTCGGCAAAGGCCTTGACCGAGTTGGGAGGCGAGATGGATCTACCATCAATGGACGACTCGATTGTTGGACGACGGCCATGTCGCGGCGTGGGCTGGAGATTGTCCCCTTCCTCGTCAATGATGGCCTCCTCAAAGTCACGGACGCGGACCGCCATGTCGGGGTCGAGATGGCGAGCGCCATACAGGCTATCAAAGGTTCCTCGGCGTGGGCGTTCCACTCTCTGAGCAGCCGAATGCTGTCGGTGGTCGTCGAGCTCGGGGACAGGGGTGTCATACCCCGTGTCGGGGAAGGCCTCGTCGTGCTCAGACATGATGAATAACTGGGTTGTGGTCGAAGATCTCGCGGGTTTTTGCGGTCTGGATCGGATCGGATCGAAGAATCACCGCGCAACAACTCTCGGACGAAGCCTGCTGGCAACTTAAGGGTTCTTGGACATGCTTTGGCAATGGGCTTTTGCGACTCTCTAAGCCTGGGACAGGCTGTCAAGTGCCCTCTCGGCGCGGCAGCAGCGCGCCGAGTAGTTGGTTTGGAACAAAACGAAGACCCTGGGGTCGCTTCTGGTAGCAGCTGGAGCTACAGGAAGAAGAAAAAGGCGTGAGTGGTGGGTGATGATACGGCTTGGCGATGAGGTCCTATCAATTAAGCCGAATTATGGAGGTTCCTTGTTGACTCCGCTGTAGACCCAGCACCCGGGCCCGAGGAGCGAAGGGAAGATGACGACCGGGAGGGCGAGTTGAGCCAACTTGAAGGTATTTGGCGAGAGTCTGCGATGGCGCAGAAGAGAGCGGCTGTTGGACCCTGGCGAAGGGCGTAAATGCTGCGAGCGACGGCTACCAGAAGCCTGTGCGACTATCGATTAAAAGTAACGCGATGGAATGATGAAGGATTGGGTCGTTGGCGGCGGTCAAGGTCGAGGTCGAGGTCGAGGTCGAGGTCGAGGCAAAAGGAGATGCTTCTATCTCTTTTCGTTTGCGGCGGGCGGCAAAAAGGGCTGGTGTGTGCGCCGCAAGGAGAAAAAGCGACGGGGTTTATAACGCTATCGCTTTAGCGAGAAAAAGGGTCTATTGGACAAGCCCCGAGAGGAAATATGCCAAGGGCTGGAGATCAGTAAATTAGGGAGAAAGTCATTTAAATAAACGGACTCTCGTCGACCATGCAAAAAGGGAAAAAAGAAAAAAAGCCGTTGTTGGAAGGAAAGCAGAATGAAAATTATCCGCTCTCTCTTTGGGGGGGGGGGCTCCAGCTGGAAAAACGAAAATTTCCCTCTGGCGGAACCCGCCACGAAAATCAGCTGGTGGTCACTAAACTGGTTTGGCCCGACCGAGGCGCTGGGATCTGGGATTGGGGGCAAGAAACCTGCTGGGAGAAATTTTTCGACGACGCAGCTCGGGGTTGGAGGTACTCGGTACTGGGGCGAGCTACCGGAAACTAGCAGAGGTACCTGCGATCCGCTAACAAAAGCAGTATTATACCACCAATGTTTCCATCCCGGTAAAAGTATTTTTCTTACTCATTGCGCTCTCCTGACGGGTACTCGGAACGGCGTCCATGCCCGGGCGTCGCTTAGCTCGTGGTCAGGCCAGCGAGCACGGCACGTTTTGGCCGCTCGGCCCCCAGAGAGCCCCCAGAGAGCCAAGCCAATTGAGAGGCATAGATATACAAACGATATGGTAATGGCAAAGGGTGAATCATTGGATATGACATCAAGAAACTCGCCTGTGGTGCAGGACACAGAGCCAAAGCGCCAAATACTTATATTAGTGGTAAATAGTAGGTAACAGCACTCTCTACAAGACTAGCAATCTTGGAGTTGCCAAGCATGTGAGAGCTGAGCTAGGAGACTACTATCTAATGAAGGGACTACTAATAGCATCTATCTATGGGCATCTTGGGGTCTGGGTATTCCTGAAATCTCGAAACAAGAAGCACAATATGCCTCACCTCGCCCGCACAGCTGCCATCTGGGTCTTTTGTTCCACAAGCGTAGTTTGCGGTCTACCTGCTGCATACCGAGTATACGAAATACGTCAGGGTCGGGTGCTTCTGATTCGCCACCGCAGACTGAGTGCGGCAAGATCTCCGCCTTCTATTTCTGGCGCGATCACGGCACTCGGCACCCCTGTCTGCCATGCACCATGCAGTAGTAGATTGTATGTAGATGTACACGTAATATGAGATAGGGCCTGTGGCTCGGAAAATTCCATGAGCTGGTGGTGTACTGCATATCGACTTGGGCACTATATCCTATGTCGTTGGACCAGCTTTATCGTATTGATGAGCGCTGCTTTTTGGCTGCTGATGCTCTGGTTAGCTGGAGTTCAAGTGGGTAGGTGTGCATATCGGTAGTAAAGCTTTATGAATCATACAAAGTTGTCTAAGCTGTGTCAACTCAAAGAACGGATGATGCTCACCAACGCAAAGAATTTTTTCTTATAGCAAAGTTGGTCTTTTTTTTTTTTTTCACGATTTCAGATCTATAAACCGTGACATATATGCACACAATTTCAAGCCAAAACCCAATACAAGACATTATACCCTCTTGGGAGTCTATTCAAAGCACTCCAGGTTAGCAGCTGTAGCACCCTCGCTCCGCACCGCCACACTTCCCCAGCTCAGACCCGCCTCACCATCCCAATCAGGCACCTGCGCCACAGCCCATCGCTCCAAAGACGTGTCTACTACCACTACCACCACTGGCCAGTGTATGCTGCATGTCGTGCTAGGCCAAACAACTTCCACTCGCCCTCGACCATCTCCCAAAACACGGCTATTCTCGAGATAAAATAGGCTCGAATAAGCATCAAAAGAAAAGAACGAGTCCACCATGGCAGAGGAATTGCTGGATAAAGTGCGGGACGTGGTGGAAGGCCAGATAGTGAGGGCGACCAGATCACGATGCCATCTACGAAGCTGGATATCAACTAACGCATGACTGCGACTATAGGATTTCGAGGGCCAGCGACGTGCCGAGGGCTATGCAACCCTCCTGCTTTCTCTCACAGGCGTATGAATGACCCTCTCCCTAACAGCTCCGATTTGGCCTCGTTTGCTTACACTTGTCACAAGCTCATCGCCTTCAACGTCGGATACGTTCTACAAGACATTGTAAAGTGCCTATATGTTGGATTGGGTGGCACGCTATTGACGTTTCTCATTATCATTCCTCCTTGGCCGTTCTACAACAAGAATCCGGTCAAGTGGCTACCTATCGGATCTGCATTTAACACAGGCGGGACATGATGGCCAGACGATGCCTGCCACCCAGAGCAAGACCCCGGCGTTGATGATATCCTCTAAAAACAGCATGTAGCTTAACCCCCCTGAAATGATATACCGCAAACTTTTCTTGTCCTTGTACGATATAATGTGTGTGTTTTTCGTCTTCTCTTCTCTTGTGTATGTGCTTTCGTCTCGCTTCGTCTACCGGCCGTACTTTTGGAACTCCCAGTCTCTGTTGTCTAGGGGACAGACCGATCTGGCCTTTAACCATCGTGAAATGCAGTGGAAGTGGAAAGCATGCTGGCGAAGCGTTAGTCTCTTCGACGCTGAAAAAAAGGGTATATGCGGGAGCGGGACGCCTTACGTTGCAAATGCCCCAGGCAACGGTACACTCTTCGCTGGTGGCTGATGCTTGGTTTGCTTGACACTCAATGCCTGGTGGGCGTCAGTAAAGTTGTTTTGTCCAAAGAGCGGCGGGGGAGGAGACAAGGCTTACAGAGATCCATGATGTGATTTCGGCAGATGGCGCAGTTGTCGACGACGATGTCCCACGCCCAGAGCGCAACGGCGTTCCACTATTCCCGTCAGTCTTTTTCTCTCTCTTCCAGATCCCCCGCTGTATTGAGCTGGAGTGAAACAAACCTTCTTGACCTCAAACTTCTTTTTATCACCCCCTTTGGCGCTGACGCCGTCGGCCTTCTTGGCGGCCACTGGGGCGTCGCTCATCTCAACGTCGGCCATGCTTGGGGAGCTTGTGATGTGTAGAGAAAGCTTGAGGGGTAACGGTGGCTGTGCGAGTGTGCGATCTTCAAGACGGTGGCGGAAGACGAAGCACAGCAAAAAATAGGAAGCGGCGGAAGATTTATTGTGCGCAAGAGACCGATCGATGGCTGTTGTGCGGCTCGTTAGCCATCAAGGGACTGACTGGATGGGTTTGAGACGGAGTCGTAGCCTAAATCCCAGGCTAAGCATTTGCTTGTGCTGCTACTTGGAGCGGCAGCACCTTACCTCATCAACGCCGCCGCGGCCCGTGAAATGCTGTGAATCTCTGACAAATCTACTGTTTCTGCTGCGGGTTCCCAGGCCTGGAAGCTCTAAGGAAGGAAAAAAAAAAAAAAAAGTAACGGTGGAAAGTGAGAGCTGCAAATCGAGATGCCTAACTTGTTTGAATGCAGATGCGTCAAGACGATCAAGGCGGCGCAGAGCATAAAGCACAAGGCGCTGTATCGTAGGTACTGCTCTAAGCTGGAGCATGTATGTGCCTGTATCGTGCCTAATCGTAATCAGCGAGGGGCAAGAGTTGCTGTGCGGCTCCAGAGGTTGCGCTAATGTACCAGAGGCAGTGACCCTGGCCCAATCGCAACATCTCGGGTACCTCGCGGTACGCACTGGGCTTAGGCAGCGCTTTCTCCGCCCGATGACGACAGGCAGAACTTTGCTAGTTGCCCGTGGAACGACATCAACACGGCCAATGTTTGCTTTTGGCGACGGACACGCAGTTTGGCGATATTATGCTTTGGTGGCATTATTGACACAGTTGATAGCAGAGGAAGAGGCCAATTAGGATTTGATTCTCTCTCCGAGACAAATAATATTTGTGTGTCTATTTATACATTCATACTGCCGCCCGACCGCGAGAACAAGGCAAGACTTGCCATCTGTCTGGTGCTGATGGCAAAACCAAGCAACGGGCGGCAACATGTACTTACTCGGTAGCAGAACCAGCCCGGCGCTGCGTCTTCAGTCGCCAGCCACGGTAGCGCTACCTGCGGCTACCCGCCTCTGCGCGGCTGTCTGCTGTTTTTTCAGCTGGCCGCAGATGCATGCGGGGCCAGGCCAGGTCAGGCATCATCTGCTATTCTTGGCCCTGCAGCGGCTGAATCGACAGCTCCAGCTCCGGCTCCAGCTCCAGCAGCTGTGCTCTGCTCTTTCATTCCATCCATTGCGGCCCGTCGACCAGCCGAAACATGCGCTGCTTGTAGTCTCATAGTTATTTATAAGGCAGTTCTAGACTCGCTCTTGTCCCTCCCGCCGGCCTCGCCTCGCAGTCGCCGCTTTGGGAAACCGCCTAGGCCACACGTGATTGTCGCTCCTCAGACCACTCAGCTCCGACCATCTCCGTCTCAGCTGCCGCTCTCTCGCCGACCATCTCATCCACACTTGGCTTTGTTATATCTTTACGCTCAGCGACCCTCAGCACCGCTCCCAGCCTTCCACAGACCCCATGGAGGCCCAGCCGTCACCGATCAAGGCCACTCCAGGCCGTCGCCGTCACCCCCGTGGCGGCAAACCAGCGGCCCTCAAGGCCTATGCCTCAGAGAACGATGCCGCATCCTACGCAGCCTCATCCCACCAGCAGCACCACCGGGCGCCCCAGACGCCCAAGAAGATCGTCTCTGCCTCTCCCGCGCCGAACAACCAGCCAGGCTCCAAGCAGCGCAACACTCGCAACAACAAGCCCAAGGCCAAAAATGACCCGTCGTCGCCCAACTACCACCTCAGCAACAACCACAGCCAGTCCCCCTCCGGGGCATCACCACCAAAGGCAATCTCCAGCACGCCGTTTGCCGGTGCAACCTTCCACGCCTCGCCCGCCCCTGCGGACCTCCCAATCCCAAGCTTCTTGAAATCGGCCAGCGATTCGCCGCTGGTCCGCCAGCCAAGGGGCTTCATCTCCCAGCCCTCTCCTCCGGCTACGGACTCGGAGCTGCCCACGTCATACAGGCCAGTCTCGGCCCGCCAACACCGCGAATCGCCTCTCGACTTCATGTTTCGAGCTCATCGGGAGGAAAAGGCTCGCCAGGAACTGGACGGAACGCCCGTTGCGGCACCGCCTCTGGTTGGCCCCATGTCTCCTCCGCGCCATCTGGATGCTCCCCTCACGCCAACGGCCGCTGACCTTGCGCGCAATCGCCGCATGCACGACCGACACACCTTTAACGGCACTGAAATCTATGAGCTGGATGGCACCGGAGGCCACCCATTGGGCCCGCCATTTTCGACTCCCTACCAGGATCGGATCCAATCTGCGCGCAACAATGCCTCCAATCCATCTTCTGCTCCCGGGAATCCCCTACCCGCTCCAGCTGGCAACGCCCCGAGTGAGGACCCGACGGAAGCTCTCAAGCGATTTCTCTTTACTCCCCAGTCAGCTGCTTCAACGGCCCCGTCTTCTGTCTCCAACCATTCGCAGCCGCCTTCTCGCCGTGCCGAAGTCTATTCTAACAGCCAGATAGATGGCCCTGGATACGAAAGCGCAGGCAGCATCCAAGCCATGGAAAATGATCTTCGTCGAATCTTGAAGCTGGATCTGGTGGCCGACCGCCCGCCTACGGAACGCAGGCTCTTCACTCACTAGTTCCGGCGATATCTTTACCTCCTTTACATTACATGCATCTTTCAACAATGTTGCTTCATTTTCAATTTTTTTTTTTTTGAAATGTGGCTTTGTGGCTCAACTGGGAAGCGGGATACAAACATGTCATCTTTTTTTCTTTTGCTATGTCTTTTCGCATCATCCTAGAGCGGGAATATGGGAACGGTTAAAGGCCTTTGGGAACATACACTTATGTGTGTATTTTTTTTTTTTACCATCAGACTTTTTTTTTTGTTTGTTTTATCCTCCTTTTCTCCTTGTCTGCTTGGAGCTGCGGTTGCTCTCCAGTCAGCCATAGAGTCTCTCTTACGGACTTTCGTCATGGCTGACCAAAAACTCAACGCAAAGCGCTGTTTTGGCGGTCTTTTATCGTTCAACGGCCAAGGGTGAAAAAACCAATCACCCACGAGGCATTGGAGGCGCTACCGGAGAGGCGGATTTGCATATCAGCTATGGGGTTTAACGGCACACTTGGTGGTATTTGACTCTGGAATGTTGCAGGGAATCATGTAACTTTTTGGCATCGGGACGAAAGATTTGCTTTGGGACTTTGACTATGGTTTTCAGCGATACCCGAGGAGTCATGGTAGAGACTGGGCGAAGAATTGATCAAGTCTTTGCTGGTGCTACCAAACGACAGATCTTTGACATGGCAGCGACTCTGGAGTTTTCTCTTTTTCTCTGTCCCCCTTCGTCTCTCTCTTTCTGGCCTGGTTTTGGTCTCCATATTGTCTATGGAGCACCTGGTTTTTTTTTTCTTTTCCTTTTTCTCATCTTGATGGACGGTATCATTGGACTGGGATGTGATATGTACATGGCGGGCTATGCCATCTACTTTGGAAGCATCAGCTACTATTGTTTTTTATTTGTTCTTTCTAGTCTCTTAGTCCTTTCTCTCTTTTTTGTCTCTCGCTTTGGAACTGATGACGGCTTTGTATATTTCTTTTGTATGCTTAGGCTCATCATTCATTTTGCCTTGCCGTATTTACATTTCTTTTTAATTGCGTTACCAAGACTCTTATGAGCGGTGCTTCATTCACTAGCGATTGAAAAAAAAAAAAAAAAAAAGAGAAACATCTTAATTCTTTGCCAGTTTTCTTTTCTTCTTTTCTCAAGTTGCCTTTGCCTTTCTCTTCTTTTCCTCTCGGGAGAACAACTTGCCGTGAGAAAGCAGCAGGTACTTGACGAAGAAGTCTTGGGCAAAGTCGTCGAACTTTGTGTAGTCGGCCCCGAGGCGGTAGGCAGCTGCTATGCCGCTGATGCAGGCGACTTCATGCATGTTCTGTTTACGGATGAGTATCGAGTCGAGTAGAAGAGTAGAACTGGCGAGCTTTCTTTTTGTCTCTGTGATGTACGCAGAAAAGGGGGAGTGCTCTGAAATAGACAAGGGAAACAAATCGGATAGCAACGCACCACTAATGTCCACGATCCGGCGAAAAAGGTATTATTACGGCCTTGCAGGAACATGATGCCCGGCACGACACGCAGGTAGTGCTGCCAGCGGTGGCCGAGCTGGTGCCACCAGTTGCGTTTGATGATCTTGTCCTTGTCAATGTCGTCGATTGTCCAGAGGTCGCTCTTGCGCTTGTCGAGGAAGATTGTTTGGTAGACTGGCTCGAAAGGGACTGTTGGTGAAGCTGGCGACTTGTGGAACTGGTGTTGGTAGTTGCTGCAGTTGAAGGACATTTCTATGAGGCGCGGGTCATGCTGGTAGGTGTAGGTGTAGTACATGGGGTTGAACTGACGAGACGTTGAGGAGATTGATTCTCCCTTGGCCGAGGCGATCTGGTGGCACTGCTGTTCGGATTTGGGTTCCGCGCAGAGGTCGGGCTTGAATTGTGTTTCGTATTGCCGTTTGAAGTAGGCCGAGTCGGAGTGCGTTACGGTGAGGTCGTCGTAAAAGGTTGCGCCGCCGAGGACGAGCTTCTCGCGGCGGGTTGCTGTGTGTGCGAGTATGCGGAGGGCGTCGTCTGCGAGGACGCAGAGCACGAGATGGTCGAAATGTTCGTTTGCGAGCTCGTCAGAAGGGTTGTTATTCTTGATGGCCAGGTCGACGCCCTTGTTGGATCTGGAGAGCACGCTGTGGACCTGGGTGTTTGTTCTGACGGAGACGCCCTTGGCAACGAGATCATCTTTCCATTTCTCGTAAAAGTCGTGCAGACAGTCAAACGAGTACATGGTGGGCTGATTCGGCAGCAGCGTTTCCTGATCGTAGTCCCAGAGCTTCATGTTGGGATCGTTGAACAGCCGCTCGACAATGGCCGCGGGCACATTCGCCGTCTGGTTGCCCGTCCCGAGAAACAGCGCAATGAGCGGATAGACCATCTTGTCGCCAAAGTCCTTGCTGAAGAAGAAGAGACGCAGCATGACGGAGATGGGGACCAGGCCGAGCAGGGGCATCGTCCACTTGACGACTTTGAGGAAGAGGCCGAAGCGCTTGATGTCGGAGGCGTGCTTGGCGACGAGCTTGCTGGGGAAGCAGTTTGTCCAGAAGCCGGATTCTCCCTTGCCGAAGGAGACTTGCAGCTGGAGAGGCTGAGCTGGGGAGCCATGCTGGTTGAAGAAGTTGAAGGTGTGCTTGAAGATCTAGACGCTGCATTGTGAGTCCTAAGGGTCTTTGTACAAGATGTAGAGAGAATAGAGAAGACTTGGGGGGCAAAAGGCACCTGTGATCCTCCCTGAACTCCATTATTCATCCATGATGCCCCGAATTTGCCCTCGTCGAGCGGAATGGACGTTGCTTGGCCTCCCACGATGCTGTTCTTTTCGAGCAGCGTGACTTTGAACTTGTCGGGGTGGTTGGCCAATGTGGCAGCACAGGACTATTGGAAGGTTCCATTCACGCAATTAGCAAAAAAACCGAAGAAGCTGACACTATATTATCAACTGAATGAAAGAGGAGTTTTAAACTGGGAGAGGGATTATTTTCACATGTACCGTACCATGCCTGCTGCGCCACCCCCAACAATGACAATGTGTTGCCAGCGCTGCTGCGGCCCGTTTTGGTGGTTGTTGGAAGAGGATGCCATTGTTGGAAGTGTCTTGTCTTGTCTTGTAAGATGACGACGATTTGACCTGCGTCTTTTAGCAATGCATCAATGTATGGACAAAGGAAAAGACATGGCACAAGAAGGTCTTGAATTCTGGGAAACTGGCATTTATAATAAAAAAAAAGTACTTGATCCTCGTGGACGTCATTGTTCGATGGGCGCGTCGTCTTAGTGCCGCCATGATCGGAAACTCTGTCTGAGAGGGATGGAGATGCGGCGCAGCAGAGCACAATTTTTCATTATTTTGTTTCAATGACATATAGACATGCGAAGCCCGACAGAATTATAAATAGAAATGCCAGGCATGGGTTGTTGTCGCTAGTCGGAGCTGACTGTCGCTGGCTGCTATATATAGATCAGATGCCGTTGCCTTATATGTAGCCGCTGCCTACGCCTCCCTGAGTCTGAGTCTTCGTCCTTCTCTCAACAGCCACTCAACTAATTCATGCGTCACAAATCATAACCTTGATCAAACCAAAAAAAAAAGAAAAAAAAAAAAAATGCTTCCATCATTAACTCTGACGCAGCCCCCTCCTCGACAGCTGTCACCACGGCAAGGGACACACTCACACTTCACCCCATCAACGCCCCACGTGACAGCGCGCCGAGCCATTCACGAACCGTCCCGTCAACGGCAGGGATCGCCAGATCGATTCACGCATCTGCAACTTTTGCAGACATAGCTCGCCGCAAATCCGAAACGACTACAAGAAGACGCAATCACGGATTAAAAAAAAATATCAATAACAATTCTCACAGTCCCTCTTCTTGCTTTCTTCTTGGATTGAACCGAAATTTCTGGCCATGACGAGACCTGAAAGCCACTCCCCCGAGCTCCCTGACGACATGGACGACGACGAAGCTCTGCGCTATGCCATCGCCCTCTCTTTGCAAGATCAGGCTTCTTCCGCCACACCTATCGTGATTGATGATTCCGACGACGACGGAAATGACAATGACGGCTCATCCACCGCAAGCTCTGAGAATGCAACGCAGCAGACGACACAAACGCAGTCACACTCACACTCACATTCACAGCCGTCGTCATCGTCGCAGCAGCAATCCCAGTTCGGCTCCCTCTTCCTCGACCGCAAAGCCATGGAACAGGAACGATTGAACCGCCTAGCAAAGCGCCAACGCCCTCCCCCTGACAATGACGAAGATGAAGACGTCGTTGAAGTACCTCCCCCGAAGAAACTGGCCACTGGAGCTCCCGCCGAGGGCAATATCAAGACGCCCGGAGCATCATCTACACCACTAGCATCAGCCTCAACTGCAACAATCGAGAAATGCAGCAACATCAGCAACATCAGCAGCGTGCCATACCCAAACCCCACGGTCAAACGAACCTGGGCCCGCGGCACTGCACGCACTGGCGATGAAATCACCATCGAGGACGTCTTCCAAAGGGACAAGCTCGAGCTCGCCGTGCTCTCATCCTTCCAATGGGACGAAGAGTGGATGCTATCAAAGCTGGATTATGTGAGGACGAAGATCTTGCTGCTGGCATATGCCAGGGATGAGGCTCAGGTACTGAAATTCAAACTCAAACATGTCCTTTTGTTTTCCTGTCTCTCTCAAGCATCAGCTTCCCCATCTCCTCACAGTCCAGAGAGATGGATATACAGTGATACAGAATTGAAAACGGCAGAATATAGTGAAGCTGACCAATCCTCTTCCCCCCCAAATTCAGAAAACCCTCATGCGAAGCAACGTCCCCGCCAACATCAAGTTCTGCTTCCCTCCCATGCACGGCGTCGGCGCGATGCACTCCAAACTGCAGCTGCTCAAGTATCCGAACCATCTCCGCGTCGTCATCCCAACGGGCAACCTTATGCCCTACGACTGGGGAGAAACAGGGGTCATGGAGAATGTGGGTATTACTTTTTTTTATTTATTTTTATCCCCCCCCCCCCCCCCCCCCCTTGCAACGTTCAAGGAATAGGGGGATCATGATTTACTTTTTTTTTTGTTTCCGTCTTCGCTCTCCTTGTTACTTGTTATACCCCTTTTGGCTTTTTCTGTCCCTGTATTATTTCCCTTCCCCCCCATGAACTTAAAAAAAGAAAGGAAAAGAAACAACAACAAGGGGTTAATAATCTGCGTCTCTCTAATGCCTATATTCTACTTTTAGATGGTATTTCTAATCGATCTACCAAGGCTGGAAAATCCCGCCTCACCCCATGCCAGCACCGCCCATAGCCATGCGCCGACCAGGTTCTATTCAGAACTAGTGTATTTCTTGCAGGCAACGGGCGTAGGCGAAAAGATGGTTGCCAGTCTCGCAAACTACGATTTCTCCAGGACGGCGGATATCGCCTTTGTTCATACAATGTATGTTTCGCCTCCCTTCGCTGTCTCTTTCTCCATTGGGAATCTACTGGCGGAAAGAGACATGAAAGAATGAAGAGAAAAACCAGAGACGAGAATGAGTCAAAAAAAGACACCGTCGTCGCCTCACTGTCATGGACTCTGAAACTGATTCAATTGTCAATTGCTCTCATCTTCTAGACCCGGAAGTCACTCGGCGCAGAGTGCACAACATATAGGTATGTTCTTATTCGCCCAATACTGGGGCCCGAGTTCGAGCGAGGCTATGCTGGGAAATCGGGGCAAAAACGCACATCGCTGACACTTGATTGCCTGGCTTAGGATACTGTGGCCTCGCAGCTAGCGTAGCTGACCTCGGGCTAGCTACTTCCGACCCTGTCGATGTCGACCTCGTGGCACGTTGCCGGGATGCCCTTTGTTTCTTGATAGACGTCGGGATGTAGAGCTAACGATTCGCCTCTAGTGTGCGTCGCTGGGAGCGCTGAACCACCAGATGGTACGGGCCATATACAATGCCTGTCGAGGTAAATCAAGACCAACTTTTCTCAACCTTTTCGTTTCTTTCCTTTCAATTTCTATCTTGTCAGTTTACTTACGCCCTCTGGGGGTGGGGGGAAACGGTTGCTTATACTAGTATTATTTGTCTCTTCTTAGGCGACGACGGCATAGACGAATTCAAGAAACCGGGCAGCACTAGCTCTAGGTCTTCCACCAAAAATCCGACGGAGGCGACGTCTCAGGAGCAACTGCTGCGAGAAAGATTCCGCATCTACTTCCCCACGGACCATACAGTGTCGAAAAGCAGAGGCGGGCGCAATGTGAGTTGTGACCCCCGAGTCATTTACACGGCTGGACCAACCAATCCCGTGTCATTTACTCATTTACACGGCTCGGCCAACCAATCCTGTGCCATCTCTAATCACATCTCTTTTTGCAATCGGCCATTGATTAACGTAAAAATGACACGTACGCAGGCGGGAGGCACGATATGCGTGCAGGCCAAGTGGTGGCGGTCGCCGAATTTCCCCAGAGAGCTTGTGCGAGACGTAATATCCCGTGACCGGCTGCTCATGCACAGCAAGATGATATTCGTGCGTCGTCGGGTCGGAGATAGCCAGGCGATACGGCAGTCTCCAGGCTGGGCTTATGTAGGCAGTGCCAATCTTTCCGAGAGCGCCTGGTGAGTCGAGAGTTTTGTGCCGCACACCCCTCCCCGTTTTGAACGGTCTCTTTTTCCCTCCTCTCTTTGATCGCGCCGGTTGAAAATGATGAGTATTATATTAGAGGCTGACTGTATCCCCGCCGCCGCCGTCGTTGTGACGGCCGCTGGGGGGCTTGATTTCATCTAGGGGCCGGATGTCCAAAGACAGGTCTACGGGAGGTATCAAAATGAACTGTCGCAACTGGGAATGCGGAGTGATCATCCCGGTGCCTGAGTCAAAATCAGTTGACAAGACTTTGACTAGCCCCGCCATGTCTATGTTTGCGGGGACGGTTCCTGTCCCAATGCAAGTTCCCGGTCCTGTATACAAGTCAAGTGACCAGCCCTGGCTACATGCAGGAGCCTGATGCGGGCTGAATGAGCGATTTGAGGCCCATGCGTGCCATGCGTGCCATATGCTTTTTTTTTCTGGGTCGAAAAAAAAAAAAAACGACAACAACCAGGGGTACACGAGGTGACTGCTTACAGCAAATTTGACGGCCGACATGTTACTTTTTGATAGATGGTAAGATCCCTGGACTCAGAACACCACATGTCGTCAAGGACCGCAGAACATGCTTGCGTGCAGATAGCGTGCGGCCTGCATGAGTGGGGTAAGGCAAAAACCTTGTGGAGATGAGCCGCTGATAGGCTGTGGCCGGGCTGGTGGTCCATGATTGATCTGAATTCCTAACATGATACGATGGGCAAGGATGTTTGGAATTATGGAGCGCACTCCACCGCGGCAAGGTGCAAGGCAAGGCTCAACGGCCGTGCTGAATAGCACGAGATTGGAGGGGGATCCCGGCCAAGAGCTACCGAACAAATACCGCATTTGGCTGTTGCTGTTGCTGTCGCTGTCGTTATTACTGCTGCGGAGGACTGGTACAGTATGTGCGCGTGGGTAGGTGAGAGAGAGCGCGCGCGCCTTTTAAACAGAATGCCTACTAGGGAGTACAGCAAATACTACTGTGCGGTGCGGTAATAAAGTGCAAAATTATCACAGCTACCGCCAATGCAACACTGCAGGACAATCACATAGCCTACTCTTACGTGACGGTATTTTTGGTTACATCAGAAATCGAGTTTCTGCTTTGTTATCTTTCAACGAAAAAAATATGAGTGGTTCGTACACGATAGCTGAACCATGGCACACCTGACTTGAGGATTGGAGGGCTAAAAAGACACATGCGGTTAGCATGGCAGCTTGTTTTCAACTTGGCAGCTATTGAACAGGCCATTTTCCAGGCGAAGGAGTTGGTTTCGAAACGGCGCAGCAGGGCCAATCAGGAGTCAAGCCTCGAGCAGCTCCAACCAGAGGCGCACAGCCAGCTACGAACTAGTAGCACCAAAAGTTGGATGCTCCAACCACCCCTCGTGGGAGACGGCTTCTCAGCCAAGACGCAGCTTGCTCAAAGCAGCATTCATTCAAAAAATCAAATACATCAGAATAGCAACAAATCCCAGAAGCTCGCTTGGAGAATCCGAGGAAAACTACGGCAGCTAGTGGTATAGTGTGTATGACAGGACCTCGGCGGTTGAGTCATACTCGGTTGGCGGCGAGAGGCAGAGATGACTGACAGCAGCGATTCCCGAGGAGCCTCGTCTATCAACGGAGATGATGGCTCATTAAGGAATACCAACGCTTGGTAGTAGTGTTGTTGGTAAGATTGATATATGGCAGAATATGATCTGTAAGGTCAGCACTGGCAAGATGGAGGGAGGGGAAGCATCAAACTGCCATGTAAGATGCTTAAGTCATCACGACTAGTTAAAGTGGTGCGATTAGCAGCAGCGCAGGGCTCCCATTCGTCGCTTGGCATCGGGGCTTTCGGTTGGGAGGGGGAATTGACCAAGGGGCACTCGATTTTTTTCTGGGTCCAGCGGCGGAGGGGTGTGTGGGCAGAATGTCGTCGCTTGCAGCTCTGCAGCCGGACCATCCTCACAGACGGCCGTCCAATCCGCCATGGTGTTTGGTCGATGGACTCTTTTTTTTTTTTTTTTTTTTTTCTTTGGTGGTCTTGTCGTTGTTGCGTCTTTGAGAGATTGCACTGCATGTGTCGCCCAACTTCTCAGCGGGCTAATTTCTTTTGATGATGACCATCACCATGGCTTCTGTCAAATTTGACACACTAAAATATTCTAGTGATTTGTATGGCTGGAAGAGGTGTGAGGATGAGTGGAGGGTGTGATGCTGGTATGATGCCCATTAGATGAGAAACGATGAGGTAGCGAGTGAGTGAGTGATAGAGTGAGTGCGCTATCTCGGCACATGGTTGGTATGAAGAGATGATGCGATACGACAGACGAAGGAGCGAGACAGAGAGAACAAATGTCCCCTCATTATCCCAGGCATCAATCAGCACAGCTCAGATTCTGACGTAGCTGCTCGCGTGGGACGAACATGAGGGGCAGCGATACGGGACGAGCTCCGAGCAAGAATTGAGTTGCGGTACTTGCTCAATCACCGCAGCCAGCTGAAGAATCGAGACCGGAGGGCGCCGATGGAACAGGGGAGCGAAGGGCAGGCAAAGAGACGAGTAACAAAAAGAACGAATTAGTCGCATGTGGTACCCCGTATAGCGTACCGGCTGTCGAAGGGCGACAAAAAAAAAAGTGATAGATAACTTGACTGGGACAGCCAGGCCAGACACCATAGGGCGGAGGGCTTGGGACGACGAGGACGACGAGGACGAGGGAAGATGGCGAGTTTGACAAAACGCCATCTTAGCTAAGGCGGCGCTCTGGGTGCCTCAGGAGCCCAGCCGCGGCCGTGGTGCTGGAGGGCTGCTGGAGGGCTGCTGGTTGGCTGCGTTGGCGTCATGCAGCCTCTCCGATTGGCTGCTGGCCCGTGCGTCAGCAGGAAGGGGGGCTTTTTTGGGGCTTTGGGCGGCTTGGGGGGCAGCCTCCGCTTGCGGCCATGTTTCGCCGAGTCAGCCGTGTTAGCGACCCGCGCGGTAGACGAGCCGCAACGCTTAACTGCGTGTACGCGGCGGTACATGGCTGTTGATACATAGCTGCGAATGCGCCCAGCCGAGATTTCCTCGTCCAGCACTCCACACCCTCGCCACGCCCAGCCCAGTGGACCTTGCAGCAGGAAAAGAGCGCCAAACCCTGGCGATCCGCCTTTTGCGTTAGCTGCAGCGAGCGAGCGATCTGGCTTCCAGGATGCGGATCCACCGCGCCCGAAATCTAGCCCCAGCCCAGGTGCGATGCGTGTGGTGGATGCAGCGTGGCTGGCCGGATGGGCGAGGCCGGCGTCTGGTCGAATCGCTGCGAGTGCCGCAGCCCGGTGCGCCGCTGCTGTGCGGCGCCCGCCCTGCTGGCCATGTTGCTGGACTGGATGGAGTCTGTGGGCTTGGTTTGGTTTCTGAGCGATTACCGCAGCATCAGCAGCAGGCGCATGTATGTACCACACGTACATGGCGAGTAGTAGTATGCTGGAGTTGGCATGTGTATAGTCGAGGGTGCTTATGCAAGGGATGGCTAAGCGAGCAGCGTAGCAGCATCATAGCCACGCGGCCAAGACCAGCATGTGATGAAGAATGCAAGCGGCCTGCCGTGATAAGTGAGATGTTTTTTTCTCTCTCTTCTCTCTTTTGTTGACAGGTGATGATATGTACCCTTGACGCAGGTACCGACGCATTACTCGAACGACAAACCCACCCCGACAGCTTGCAGGTCCAGGTCTGGGTACTACCTTAGGTAGCTTTCAGCTTTATTCTTCCTCGTCTGCAGTGGCGTGGCGGCGTGGGACCAGAGTTGCTGCGCATGCCACGCTCACAGGTAACTGACTTTGCCCCCCAGGCACGGCACGTTGGACAAAGCACCCAGGGGGGGTTTCAAGCTTTGGACGTGCCTGAAATTCTATTCAGACAGCCGGCCAGCTTGTTCCACACGCACGCCGGCGAGGAGGTTGCACAGATTCTAGACAGGTGCAGGTTGCAGCAGAAGCGAGTGCACGGGAATCGCAGAGGCCGCGGAGATGCTGCGGCATGTTGGGAGCAGAGGCGCTCGTCATGAGACTCGTCGTCGATGTCCATTCTTCGAGGATCGTTGGGGCGAGGCAAGCCGCGCCCAGATCGACGGGCCTCCGATTGAGCACCACGGCAAAGCGAACCAGGCAGCGACAAGAGAAGGGCTCCATGGCCAGCAGTTCCGTGTACCTGTTCGCGCTAGAGGCTTATTCCAGCCCTATCCCAACAGCTAGCGCCATGGGGCTCTGGAGTGCGGTTGGAGCATGGTGGCGAAAGGCCGGCGGCGGCGGGGAACTTGGGCCATGGCATCGCCAAACCTCAGGAATGATGCTTGTCTCGTTCGTTCGCTGTGCCGTGCTCTGCTGCTGTAGTGTATGCCCAGTAGTGCAGTGTAGCGTGCGGTGGTGCAGGAGGACTCTCGGCGTTGGGCAGGCGATTTGTCAGGACGAAATCCCACGGCATCGCCGCGTCTGCGGTGCTTGGCCAAGCAAGGTCGGCGCAGCTTGAGAAATCCACAATGATGCCGGGGAAGGATCCAAATGACGACGGAGAGATCTCTGGAAAAGGCATCCAATCTAGTGGCCAGGCATGGCAGCGACAGGGGCAGGGAATAAGAAGAAGAAGTAAAAAATAAAAAAAGAGGGGAGGCCACGGAGGGGAGGGAGGGGAGGGGCATCAAATTCGAGATCACGGCGCCTTGTGCGTGCGATTTGACAGGGCAATACGAAGTATACCTACGATGGTGGTACGAGCGTGTTGCGTGCGGCGCGCTGCGCATGGCAGGTACCGCCCGGTACGTACCCGTCTGGTCATATTTTGCGCCGCAGCAGCACAAAAGTCCACGCATGCACGGCGCATCGGCCGTCGTTTCGATCCCCTGCGGCTCCAATGCAGACAATCACCAGCAATTGATTAATTAATCAATTTAGATTCGTCCGTTCCAATAGAGCGCCGCGCTGCAGTAATCAATTAAGTAATCAAGGCTGCCGGCGGCCAGGGACCCTGAGAATAGAAGCATGCCGGTATTTCCAGGTTCCTGGTATCAAACTAGGATGCAGTACCAGGTACTATCGAAGCAACAGTCAATGCTACCCGGCATCGTCACAAACCTTGAGGCCCTGGAAATTACCAATTGCACCCGGCAGACATGGATTCCGAAGTTTCCAGTCTCCATTTCCAAGGTGGCTCAAAAAGCATAAACCCGTCATCACTGTGGAAAAGAAGGACGTATCACTTTGTGCCTTTATTTATTTATTTTCCCCCCTGTTCTGTCTATCCGACTCCTTCGGTTGAGAATGGTTCCCGTCAACACTAAGACGGAGTGATACGGAGCATATAGTAGCCAAAGCAGTCAATAAGCCGCATACTCGAGGACTCGGAGTGCTTACTCGGAAGCCGTTCGGACCCTGCCCGACCGTGGATGTCCCTGTCACTCAAAACTGTAATCTGGCAGAAGCGAAAGGGTTGAGGATGGGACAACTCCATAGGGCTTGGAGGGTCCAAGAGGACCCAGGTCCGCAAACTGGAGACTGTCACGGTATTATGACTACTACTGCCTACTAGTAGTATTGCTACTTGTTTGTTATGGATATTATTTGCATCAAGATTGCCAAATAGGCGTTGGATAGTTGCATATACATGCACACACGCATGTAAGTGGCTCAACAAGTATCCAGTCAGTGCACAACCCACAACCGCCAGGGTATGCTGTTTAGATTAGCAGTATTAGTTGTAGTGCTACATACATACATGTATGTATGTAGTAGCACTGTCGGCACATCATATCGTCATGCCATGGTACCTATGCACCCCATACGACATGCATGCAAGCCATGCTTCCTCCCTACGCAAGCCATGCCATATCTCTGACTGTGTATACCGCCAGTCTACTACTGCTCCCATCGTCAATGGCCTGCAAATGAGCGGATTTGCTCCAAGACGGCCGCAGCCCCTCCCCCTCCAACCGCGGAAACGGCTGGTTGCGGGAGCAGCAAGTTCGGTGCCTCACCTTTTTTCTTAGCCGCTCCACCAAAGCCTTTTCGAACCTGCTTTGGCTCCATATCCATATCTGCAAGGGTGATGAGAAGACGGCGTTTACAAGCAATTTTATGGGCAGCTTTTTTTTTTTTTTTTTTTTAGCGCAGCAAAGCGGAAGCAGAAGGCGAAGCGAGGAGAAAGGGAAGGAAGAGAGAGAAGGCAAGGGAAATGAAGAGCAGACGAGAATGGTTGGAAGCGGACGTTTAAAGCCGGAGCAACAAGCCTAGCACCTGCTAATGTATACTAAGCAGAGATGAAGATGGCCGTGTTTCATATCAATCTGCGGAGGTTGGTTGGTGAGTGGCAGAAGGGCGGGTTAGCCTCATGCAGCGTTATCAGAAAATGGAAACGGAATCGAGCGTTGGTGATGTCTGTCTGTCTGTCTGTCTGTCTATCTATCTGCCTATCGGTCTATCTATTGCCTGTCTATCCGTCAGTGTCAGTCTGTCGTTGCTGATGGCACTCTCGGCTGGGTCGGCCGCTTGCATTGGCCGAGAACTGTCAAAAAAAAAAAAAAAAAAAAAAAAAAAAAGAAAAGAAAAAAGAAACAGGTCGCGTCCTGCATCATCATCATCATCATCACCATCTTCTTCACCTTCTTCTTCCCCTCACTCCCCTCCCTCCCTTGGTTCGAGCTGGGTGCTTCGATGGGGCATCGAGATTGGACGCCCGAACGCGGCGAACCACAGTCGGGCTTGAAGCCATGGCCGCAAGCAAGAAGCAGAAAAAACACACCTGCAGAACAGAACAACAAGCCAAGGAGCGCGCCATGAGTGCCAAGCAAGACAACAAGCCACTGGTAGTGCCGCAGTAGCAGCAAAGTACCAGAGTCTAGCAGGTCGCGGCAGCTGGAAGACGCAGTAGCAGCCTTAGCGCCGCCGGCTAGGACGAGAACGAAGTAGCAGCGCTCTGCCGCTAGCACCAACACCCAACTAGACGGTTCCACCCCCTCCTTTTCTGCGCCGCTCTGCTCTGCGGTGCCCGCCGGACTAGCAGCAGCAGCAGCAGCAGCAGCAGAGACAAGAGGCAGAGACAGAGAGAGACACAGCGAGACACAGCGAGACACAGACAGAGACAGGACGGTTCAATGTCTTGTAGGTACTAATGTGCTACAAGTCGGGACATTAGTATGTACTCTGTACTGCCGGCCAGCGACTGCAGAGTATACATGCTGCGGTTCGGTTCTTTTCCGTGCCTGGTCCCCACTCTCATGTTTTATTTTACAGCATTTATTGATTTATTGATTTATTTATTTTCTTCATTCTATGTATTTCATGTATTATTTATTTTAAAAAAAAAAAAAAAAAAAAGTGGCTCGATGTTTGTTGCGTGCGTGTGTGAGTGTGTGAGTGTGTGTGGTCAGAAGCGCGTGTGGGTGTGGAGGACCCAGGCCCCAGATAGATCTCCCAGACCTTTGATACAGGTACGAGAGCATGTATGAGCGCGGTACTTGGGCACATGGGGGGAGGGACGTGCGCACCTGTGCCCTGCCGCTCGTTGCCTATTCCTGCTCCCATCGCTTGCATGGCTCGTGTCTATCAATGAGACAGGTGTAGAAAAAAAAAATTAGACAAGAGACAAGAGACGAAAATTAGACAAGAGACAAGAAATGAAAATAAAAGAGTTTTTGAAACGAAAATAAGAAAAAGAGAACCAAGAAGAAGAGATCTAGGCCTAATTGCGGCATCACAGGAGGGGAAGCATTGCTACTGCTGCTACTATACTACTAGCAAGGAGTGCTTGATGCTACTGCTTTGGTGTTAGCAGAAATCTACCCACTCGAGGTATTTGATGTATTTGATATCATTTTTGCCATCTTCCCTCTCTTTCTTCGTCTTCCTCTTCTCCTCTATCTTAGCATCATCCCTGGAGCAGCATTGGATGATACCATACCCACAAGCCATTCTCTGCCATCGCTTCCATCAGGCCATATGACCAGATCCATCCGAATCCACGGCGTCATGGCCCAGAGGGACCGCCGCCAAGGGCCGATGAGAGAAGAGAAAAGAGGAGCAGCGCGGAGAGGAGCAGACGAGGCCAAGTCCGGCTAATAGCCAGATTGCTGGGAAAAAGGGCCCTTGACCCTGCCGTCGGCAGTTGCGGGATATGGGCCATATGGATGCTGGGATGGGACCCAAAGGCCCCAGCGCAGCCCAAACGCTGCCCCCCCTGCCCGCAGCGCTAGCGACACACACGCACGCAACGCACGCACACACCCACTGAAAGCCTCTTCTCTCGCTCAGCGCAGCGCACTAGACGAACCAAGGGGACTAACGGGGGCTCAAGGGGGCCCTTTGGGCGCGCGCAGAGGCCTAGACACGCTCTCCTCTCCGTGTGCCTTGGCACGTAGACTATTACCTGCTTGGCTGCCATAGTAGTCCCTGCTGCTAGGTACCTGCTCTGCGCTGCTCTCTGCTCTCTGCGCTCTCTGCTTACAGGCATTGCACTTCCCACGCACGCGCTACTCCAGGTACAGACGCAGCATGCAGCGCAGTGCCATGCAATGCAACAGTACCTGGCCGATACCTGACCGGCTGGGCGCGGTGGTAGGCCGCTACCGCTCGCGCGGGCTGGCAGCTGCTCGCGGCTGCATGTACCGACGCATCTCGCCCGGCAACGTGCAAAGTCGTGCTGTCTCCCCCCCCGTCCGTCGTCCGCATTTGGCCCGGTATTTCGAATGAATGCGAAGCCGCTGCTGCTTCTTCTCATGGGGCCGTTTGTTGGCTGTGGCTGGTCTGGTCTCGTATCTACTCTTGTTTCTCTCTTTCTTTACTTTTTTCCTCCTCTCGCTCGCGTGCTCTGTGACTCCTACGTCCCCATTCTGTGGTTATTTTGGTGCTCTCGGCTTCTTTTGCCCAATCCATTCCGCCGAACGCCGCTGACTGCGCCGATTCGCTTATCTCGACTGCTCTCACGCTCTCACGCTCTCTCTCTTTTTTCCCTCTCTCTCTGTGTGCTCATCCCCACCGACTTAAACTGCCCGCCGCCACGCCCCGGCCAGCGAGAGCGAGCAGCCCAGCCCAGAAGCCCCCGCCAGCGCCCCCGCCGGCGAGCCCCATCCCCAAGCCATTTTCTCTGTCTCGTCCCGATCTCGTTGGCGTGCTAGCAAACGGCCGTCTGACTAGGCCGCCCAGCGTACCGCGGCGGGTTCCTCGCTAACCCTGCTGAGGTATCCGTCAGATGCCCCGGTACCTGGCTCGCCATACACCCCCCGCTGGCCCCGGCCTGTACACCACCTCGGCGCCTGTACCTGCCTGCTAACCCCATCGCTGCCACCCACTACCTGCCTGCTACCGGGTGGTGGAGACGCCCTGGAGCTCCCCAATCCTTAGCACCAGCACCGGCGCTTGCTTGTACTTGTACTACGCTGCGCTGCGCTGCCATTCTAGTGCTCTACCTGCAGCAGACACATGTACCTACCTTGCCTTGCCTTGCCCATCCCATCGCACTTGTAGTGCCTCCAGTACCCATCAGGTAGTGCTCGCAACCGCCTGCTGCGACTTGGCTACAGCTGCAATTACGCTGGGCTGATGCTGCTGCGTTCTCACATGCGTCCACACCCCTCATCTCTATTTCATCTCTCCCTCCCCCTCTCACGCTCGCATCAGACTCTCTCCTCAGACTGCAATTGAGAAGCTGCTCTACCGCAGTGCCGAGGAGCTGCTCACGCCGGTGCTTCCTGCGTCTGGTCTGCCCTTCTGTCTGCTGCGTGCTCTACGGTGCAGTGCTGGATACGATACAACGCAACCACTCAAGCACGATACCATCATCAACGCTCCGTTCCCAACAGCTTTCGCCGGCCCATTGTCTCTTGACCTGGCTCAAGCCCTCCGTCCACCAGCACCCGCAACTCCATCTGCTCCTCCATCACCACTTGTTCTCGCCACCAGACACAGACGAGACCCCGTTCCCTGTGTGTGGGGATATCATACGCGGAGCTCTTCTTTCTCATCGCTGGCCAAGCCTCAGCCCAACACTATCCTCACACTCAAGCACCGCCTTTAATTGCCACCACCAGATACAGTAGAGCCAGCCACTCCTGTGTCCATATTAAACGCCTTGAGAGAAGCCTGCTCTACAACCTCTTCACATTGGCTTTTATTTTTTTCTTTTTCTTTTTCTTTTTTTACTACGGACCCCTGATTTTCTGCAAACTTCAACGCCTCCAGGCCGGTCCTTCGAGCACGAAGCTCTGGGCGCTCAGCCTCGTCCAGGAACACTGAACTCAATAGCTCAACACTGAACTTTAAACAATTCTCAGCAACAACCCATCTTCGTGGCTGCTTTTCTTGTCGGGCATAAAACCCAGCTGCCGGTCCCTGCTTTCCAAGAGCTGCAATCCAAACCACACAAACCAATTGCCACTTGCTCGTCGACTCTCACCAACACCACACACTGTGTCTGCAGTCTCAATTCCTGCCAAACCCGAAACTCTGCAGCCTCACACCATACCATCATCTATCGCTCCCGCTCCCGCTCTCCCTTGATACCTTCAAAGGAAGAGCCTTTTCACAAATTTTAAACAGCCTCTCACAAATCTTGTCAGTTTTGGCAGCTTCGAACTCTGCAACGCCCTCTCCCCTAGATTCGAACTCTTGCTCTTCCGCTTGGTCTTACCTGACGACAAGCGTTCTCACACCCCCACTCTATACATCCTCCATCTACACTTTCGAGAATAATCAAAGAAAAAAAAAAAAAAAAAGCATCAGAAAACCCTTACCTCCCAAAAAAAAAAAAAGTCGAGTTTTTTTTTTTTTCCTTCTACACCAAAGTTTAATTCTACTGCTTCGAAATGTCAAGTCAAGCACCTCTCATGCCCACCTTTAGGGGGCATATCTCCACCACCATGGACGCTCTCATCCTCTTTGAGTGCTGTTTACATGGCCGTCTTAATCACGTCCCCCGGCGCCCCCATGACCGCGAGCGTCAGGATCTGATTGCCAGCGGAAACATCTTCATCTATGAAGAGCATGCTTCGGGCATTAAGCGCTGGACCGATGGCGTCTCGTGGAGCCCCAGCCGCATCCTCGGCAACTTCCTCATCTATCGCGAGCTGGACAAGCCATTCCCCCCTGGGGAGAAGAAGCGAGCGCTCAAGAAGAAGAAGAACAGCCAGGGCATCAGTAAGCCCGACGCCCGCACCAACGCGGGGTTTTCCGCCGTCGGCATGGATCCGGCTCACATCAAGGACCCGGAGCGCTCCCTGGTTGGCTCCCTGGTGGACTCGTACCCCTTCAAGAAGAATGGCTTGATCAAGAAGACGATTAGTATCACTTTTCAGGGCGTCCCGCACCACCTTGTCAGCTACTACAACGTTGACGACGTGCTCAAGGGAAATCTGGTGACGCCATCCAACTACCCTCTGTTTGCAGACGTCCAGCCTCGCGCTGAGCTGCTCATGTCGCAGAACTTCCGCAACCCGCTGGACGAGGCGGCCATCTTTAGCCAAGAGGAGCGCGGCCTGTTGCCCATCTCTGCCGCCAACTTTTACACCATGGCCGCCCCCGTCCAGGACCTCAGTCCTCATGGCGTCGTCATGACCCAGCCTATGCCGGTGCAAGGCATGGCCAGCCATCAGCCCATGACCCCGTACCCTACTGGACTGGAATATGATTTCTTCCAGGTACAACAGCAGCAGGCGCAGCACCACCACCAGGCGCTGCCGCATCACGCTCATCATCAGCCGCAGGCGCAGCACCACCACTACCAATACCAGCAGCACCACCACCAGCTGCAGCAGCCGCATCACCAGCATGAGGACCACCAGGCTCACTACCATGAGTTGCAGCAGCCACTGCAGCACCATCAGCCATCGCCGCAGGACCAGGCCAAGCCGGAGCAACAACAGCAGCCACCCTCTGGTGCATTCATGCCTCCGGGCTCATGGAACTACGACCCCAACGACTCGTACTACTTTTAAGAGCTGCTCACCTACCAAAGAAACAACTGTGTATATCTAGACGATGCATCATTGAAGGCTTCTTGTTTCTTTCGCCAGCAGTTTCATATCTGGCTCTTCCTTAATATTCTATTCTCCTCTTGTCGTTTTACCATCATTTACTACTTACTACTACAACTACTACTACAACTACTACTATTACAACTATATGGGTCTTACAACGGGTCTCGAAAACGGGTTTTATACTGGTTTTTTTTTTCGCCTCTTTTTTCTTTTTCTTTCTTTTTTTCCTTCTCGCGTTTCTCATCATATGGAGTTTTCTTTTAATCCTTGGCATGGCTGGGTGTGCGGGTTTATATTATTATTATTCTTCTTTTCTTTTCTCTTTTCTTTTCTCCTTTCTCTTCTCTTTTTCTTTTCTCCTTTCTCTTTTCTCTTTCTATTTTTCTTTCTATTTTCTCTTTCTCTTTCTCTTTTCTCTTTCTTTTCTCCTTTTCCTCTTTGCTGTATTTCTCTCTCTCTCTCTCTCTCTCTCCCTTATGGGTGGTCTTCTTGGCGCTAATGGAGTATACGGTGGCTCACGCCTTGGCTTGGTTGGGACAGGTCTATTCTTGATTGGAACCTCGATGCCTTGGCTGCATGCATAATGTTGGGGCGGTTGGGATTTTTGCCTTGTTGTGTTTTCCGGCGTTTCTACAACAAAAGTACATGTGGAAATGGCTTTTTGTGGGCTTTTGGGCCTCTTTAGTGTAGACAGTTTTGATATTTGCTTGCTGGTTAGTGTATTGATACTAATGGTATCTGTTATGTCGTCTTGCCTGCTCTTTCGGTGATGCTGCTGCTGCTCGTCTACTGTGACTGTCGTGACTGTCGTGACTGTCGTGACTGACTGACTGATGTTTTGTTTGTGCCGTGCAGCAACACCTGCAAGTGACGTGTCCAAGGCCTGTCGTTGGGCCTCTTAGTCTGTGGAGGGGCGCCGATCCGATCAGCAGATCCGATGCCTGCTCGTGATGCAATACCACATGTACCTGCGCATTCTACATACTATGGTCAGGTACTTGACCCAACAGGGGGAGATGGAACAGCCTTGATAATTGCGTCACACGTGGCCAGCGAACCAAAGGGCGATTTATGGTGCTGGGTTTTTTTCTTTCTCTTTTTCTTTTTTTTTTCTATTCTATTTCTTTTTTTCAGCAAAGGAGCTCCAATGATTGCGTCCCGTGGCTTTTTGCAGTGCGCATGTGGTTCCTTGATTTTTTTTGAATTTGAATTCAGCCACCTTTTACTACTTTCTTGGCCTCGTCCCTTGAGCTCCTCCAACTTCTCTCTTCCATCATCATCATCATCAGCATCAGCGTCATCCAATCCTCAACAAGTCCTTTCACCGTTTCTATTGGGCCTTTGGGACGAAACGATTCATTTTGCTTCCAACAAACACTATTTCTCGAAATGAGCCTGGTAGTTTAATAAAGTTGGCTTTTCCTCGCGCTTTTTATCGCATTTGCATCTTCTTTTTTTCTTTTCTTTTTTCTTCTCTTTCTTCTTCTCTCTTCCCAACGGCTTTTTTTCTTGTTTTCGGTTAAGCGACATAGTTCTTACTTACTGCCAAGGTACCAACCAGCTTTCGCAGCTGCTGGGGGCACTAGCGGCACAGGTACCCCTCCAAAGCTCAAGTGGGGTGGGATTTTCCAGCTTTGTCCAAACTCTTTTTTTTTTTTCAACCTCCCTTTTTCTTCTCTCCTTTGATTTTCTCTGTTTGGGTTCACGGCGACGAGAAAACGATTCGGGTCTACGATGCTGCTCTTTCTTCACCGGCGTGAGTCACCGATGCACTGCGCAGGATGCGATGCTTCTCGTCCTATTTGGGGGGTTTCAATGCTGACGCGAGTTTCCTGTAGCTTTCGAGGCGCTGGCGACGAAGCTTGCGGCTTCTCCAGACGAACGTGAGTGTGTCTTTTCCCTTTGATGGGGGAGCTTTTACCCTTTTATTTTTCTTTTTCCCCCCAGAAATGCTGACAAAATCTCCGCGTCTCTCCTCAACAGTCAAGTTGACCTTTTCGTTCCTGCTTTCGTATCCGCTGGCCGGAATCCTCAAGCGCCTGCCGGACGCGAAGCCCCTGCAGAAGAACATCTTCATCATCCTGTAAATTGCGCCACAAGAGCAGACCCTGACCCTGACCCTGACCCTCTGCTTTGCCACGTCCGTCGAGTTCTTGTTTCAGCTGACTCTTTACCAACCTTGGCCCAAAATAAAGCGTCTCCCTCTTCTATCTCGTCGGCCTGTTCGATTTGTGGGATGGCATCGTCACGCTTCTCATCAGCGCTGGCGGCACCTACGCCATCGCCAAATACCTACGCGGCAGCCCCTACATGCCCTGGATCGGCTTCGTCTTCGTCATGGGCCACATGTCCGTCAGCCACATCTATCGCCAGATAGCCAACGACCCGTCCGCAGTCGACATTACCGGCGCGCAGATGGTCCTTGTCATGAAGCTCTCGGCCTTCTGCTGGAACGTCGCCGACGGCCAATTGCCAGCCGATCAGCTGTCCGAGTTCCAACAGAGTCGCGCATTGAAAGAGCTTCCCCCGCTCGTCGACTACACCGCATATGTGCTCTTCTTCCCGGCGCTGTTTGCCGGTCCGGCCTTTGACTACGCCGAGTACCACCGATGGATCGATACGTCCATGTTCGATGTCCCCTCCCAGGTCGATCCCGCCAAGAAGCCCCCCGTGCGTAAGAAGCGCAAGATTCCTCGTAGCGGCACGCCCGCCACCATCAAGGCCGTAACTGGGCTGGTATGGATCGGTCTGTTTGTTAGCCTCTCCAGCAGATACAGCCCGACGCTCGTTCCCACCGCAGCATTTGCCCAGCGATCATTTTTGCACCGCATATGGTACATCCACATGGCCAGCATGGTGACCCGCTTCAAGTTCTATGGCGTATGGGCGCTGACTGAAGGCGCCTGCATCCTGACCGGCCTGGGCTACAACGGCGTCGACCCCGTCACCGGTAAAGTTTCGTGGAACCGACTCCAGAACGTCGACCCTTGGACCGTTGAGACGGCCCAGAACCCGCGAGCGTACTTGGCCGGGTGGAACATGAATACCAACAACTGGCTGCGCAACTACATCTACTTGCGCGTCACGCCTCGGGGCAAGAAGCCCGGATTCCGTGCCAGCATGACGACGTTTGTGACGAGCGCTTTCTGGCATGGCTTTTACCCGGGTTACTATCTCAGCTTTGTGCTGGCAAGTCTCATTCAAACTTCAGCCAAGAGTAAGAAATTCCATTTTGCCCCTTTTTTTTTCTTCTTCTTCATTTTTGGCGCCTCTATGTATATTGTGCTTTCTAGTTTCTGCCTGATGCGTCCAACTGCTGGATATCCGTTTGCTGATATAAAGTACAGACTTCCGCCGCCTCGTCCGCCCCTTCTTCCTCGATCCCATCACCGGCGGTCCTACTCCTAAGAAGAAGTACTACGACTTTGTTACCTATCTTGCCACCCAGCTTACCTTTACCTTCACGACGCTGCCCTTCCTCATCCTCAGCTTTGGCGACTCCCTCCGCGCGTGGGCCAATGTAAACTTTTACGCTTTCGCATGGACCATTGCCGCCATGGTCTTCTTCGCGTCTCCCGGAAAGGTGGTGCTCAAGAAGAAGCTCGAGGCTCGCCAGGGTAAGGCAAGTGCCCGCCTGAAGCGATCCATCAGCAGCGAGAGCCTGTCCGGAATGGAGCCCATCTTGGGCATTTCGAAGGAGCCGGATGAGGATCTTGCCGAGGCTGTGAACGAGTTTAAGGCGGAGATTGCGGCGTTGCAGAAGAGGAAGACGCGGTGAAGTTAATGATGGTGATAGTGTGATAAAATTTTTTTTGGATACTGGTTGGTACGGAGCACAATTGAATGAGTTATGACTATAGACTTGGTGGGTGTGTATTATGGGATGCTTAGACAGGGGAGTGAGTGAAAGCAATGATGAGTCTGAATAGGCCTTTGCGGGTTTCTCTCTTCTCGCTTCTTCTTCTTCTTTCTTCTTCTCAATCATGTTAATGACATTTTTTTTTTTTTTTTTTAAATGAATAAATGAATGGCATTATAAGATATTTGATAAATGTATTGGTTTATTTCATCTGCTTTTTTGTTTGAAATCTACATCTTTCCAGCATAAGTACTTGTACTTCTTCATCATGTACTTCTTCATCATCCATCCATCAATCAACATGTGCTTCTCCAGCATCAATCAAATCCTTTCACATCCCCCCCACCTTCCAAAATAAAATGCTCCTCTCATGCCGTCTCCAACAGAAAACACCCAACTAAATACTAAGTAGTAGTTTATATGTTGTATGTTGTCGTATCGTAAATGAATCTGGCTGGCATTTGTTAAACCAACGTTCCTCGCATCAGGTATATATAATCTCATGCTCCATGAATAAGTAATAAAAAATAAAAATAGAAAAAAAAATATCCATCTGAAAGAAAAAAAAATTGTATAATAATAATATTGGGGGTTTTTTTTTCTTTCTCTTTTTGCGTTATGCATCAAAAATCGTCTGTATGTGTATATATGTGCTGTCCAAAGAATAAAGAATCGTAATCTCGTGAGAGTTGATAGAAAGAAAGAAAAAGGGTTTTTAAAAAGAATTTCCCCAGAAATTGGCGCCGGAAGAGGAAATGAAAGTCGTCATCCCGTCAAAGTAAAAAAAGGTAAATGCTGAAAATGCTCCCGAAAAAAAAAAATTGTCGCTTTTTCCCCAGTCAAGTTTTTGCTCATGTCTATGAAAACTTGAAAATTGAAAAACTCCAGCCAAAAAGAAACAAACGCCCGTGTCCTTTTTTTTATGAATGCCACTGCTGCTTGACGCCGACGACAATGAGGACAATGCACAGGCAGAGAATGAGAGCACCAATAATGGACATGCGCCGGTTGACGCTTCTCCACCACTTGACCCTGTCGTGAAGGCGTTCCGCATTGATGTATTGCATCTGGGTGCGCGCCTCTGTCCGGAGATCTATGTTGCCGTCGCTGAATCGTCGCTCCGTCATGTCTCGCTCGGGCCTTGGAGGGACTGGCAAGACGGCACCAACCATCCACACTGACGTTTTCACATGTTAGCAGACGAGCGGTCAACTTCAAATTAGCGTTGTAGCTACTCACCAAATGGACAAAGAAACCCAAAGACAAACAGCACTAGCTGGAGGTTTCGTTGCCAGGTTCCAAACTCGGCAGAGTCAGCCAGGGATGGCGGTGACCAAAGGCTGTATCGGCTAGCCCGTCTGTCCTGTCGCAAATGCGGCGACCAGATGCTGGATGTCTGTTTCTTGATGCTGCGAGCGACAGCCGCAAAAGGATGAGGCCGGATTTCCATCGAGTCGGATTCGCTCCTTCGTCGTTGGGGTTCGTGGGGGCGGCGACGGGGGTTGTTGATGTCAGTCGTGTACTGCTCATAGCTTGGGGAGCGGCTATGAGATGTGTCGCGGTGCAGGCTGCTGGTGAATTGCGAGAACATTGACTCGTTGGATGGCTTTGGCGCCAACCAGCGTCGTTCTCCACTGCCGTAGTAGACCCTGTTTCTAATGTTAAGCATATTCCATGTTCAGGAACCAATGATTGATTGCAGGACGTTGCTTACCTTGCCCATGCCGGAATGGAAGCCGTGTAGCTTATGCTGTTATTGCCAGAGCTGCTCGTTGAACGGCTTGAGCGGTGGCCCTTTTCTCCGGAATTGTTGGAGACAAAGCTGAGGCCGCGGGCGCGGGAAGGAAGACGGTTCATGCTCTCCAGGTCTGCAAGGCCATCGCCATCTTCATCATGGTCGCGGACCAAGCGGGCATTGGGAAATTGCGCATCTCTGCCATAGACCGGCTGAGGGCGGTCTACGGATCCGCTCCGAGAGTGAGAAGCCATGGCCAGCGCCTCCTCAACACCAAAGGTGGAGAAGCTCCCTGTTTGTCTCAGCTGGTTGAGCGTGAAGACGCTGCTGCGAGCATTGCCAGACATTCGAGAGTGGGAGCGACTTGATGGGTCAGTCCTCTCGCTCTCTGAGAGAACCGTGGACAGGGCAGTGCCCCACGGCTGTGTTCTCGAACCAGCTCGGCGATGAACGGCTTGGCCAGAGCTCGAAGGAGTCGCTGCGTGCCGTCCGTCGAGGTCAATCTGTGTAGACACTCCCACTGATGCGTTGCGCTCAGCATCTTGGTTGGCTCGAGCGGAGCTGGATATAGAGTTCAGAGATCCGGTCCTCAAGTGCTCAAGCGATCTAGAGCTCATAACAGTCGAGCTAGAGTGGAGGCGGCCCGATCTCACGGGTCGCAGAGGGGCTACCACCATGCTATCTCTCGAGTATTCGGACTGTACCTGGGAGATGTCTGTCCCGTCAGACATGGTGCGTCGATGTCCGTGGACTACATAGTTGGGGTTTCGCTGCTGCTCCGAATCCGAGTGAGAGTTGGAGTTGGAGTTGGAGTGAGAGTGAGAGTGACCCCGAGATTGACCAGACATTGAAGCGCCATCATAAACGACGTAATTGGGGCCACCAGGGAAGAGCGAAGCATTGTCAAAATCCGATGTAACGGAATTACGAACAGTGTCCGGGCCAGAAGAACTTTGTGCATAGGTCTTGTAGTTTGTGCGGTCTGACACGGTATTGCCGGTCTTGTTGGACTGGAAGGATGCCTTGGTCGTGAGAGTGAAGGCAGAAATGGGCTCCTGTGGCGCCACAGCTTTTGGCGAAGAGGGCTCTTCTTCAAGAAATGAGGGTAGCCGGGTTGGCGTGGCATCACTGGTTTCGCTCACATCTCTCTGGACCTTGCGCAGCCCACCCACCAACCGATAGTTCCAAGGCGAGGCGGCAGTAAAGTCTTCTTCGGGGATGGATGGAGTGAATGAGGCGGTTGCGGATGTACTATCATCCTCGGCTAGGGTCGTCAAGGGCGAGCTAGGACGGTCCTCACTAAAGATGCTCGAAGTTTGCTGCGCATAAGAGCCGCTGGAAGCGACAGAGTAATGCGGCGTTGCGTCAGTCTGAGTGGATACAACAGAGTGCTGCGTTGTAGCATCGGTGTGAGTAGACGTAACAGAGTGATGCGTTGTTGTGTCGGTGCGAGCAGAAACAACAGAGTCGGTGCGAGGCCTGGTGGGTTTCAAGGGAACGAGGGAGAAGGTCTTGTTGTCAGAATTCAAATTGATGTCGACGAATCGCTTGGTGCGACGCTGGGCAGGGGCTGTAGGCTGGATTTCAGGGGACGGCGGAGATGTCAAGGTCCTCAATGACTGCGACACCACAGACTGAGATCGAAATCTACCACGCTGGGGCTCGGCAGGAGACGAATCGGATTTTTCACTGGGAGCGAGATCAGGGACATCGCCTAGCTCGACGCTTGTATTCCGGCGCCTGATGACCGAGGGACGAGACGGGCCGGCAATGGTCGAGCCTGAGGAGGGAGGGCTTGTCGCTATCGGCGATTCGTCTGCGGAATGGATTTCAACATTGTCAAGAGACGACCCGGCGATGGCTGCAAGATTCAGGCTGGATCCGCCGCTGAGTCGAGTCGGCGTGTAGGGCACAAGTCGAATCTGAAGCTTATCGCCCTGGGAGGATCGCTCGGAGTCGGGCGAATCGGGCATCCTCTGCTCACTCAACAGGAGAGCTGCCTCATAGCATTTGCCCAACTAATCGATTCGAGGAGGTGGTAACGAGAGGTTTTGGACTGTCCGGGACGCGAGCCACCGCAGCCTATACGAGCGTATTAGTCGTCTGGTGCGGAGGTGGCAATGCCGTATCCTATTTGGTTGAGTGGTATTATTTCCGACAGTTTCGATTCGTCGCAGCGGCCATGCCAATCCGGTCCTCGCGCAGGCCAAAGAAGAATTGAATGGTCAAAAATATGAAGAGGGGAAGAGAAGAAGAAGAATCAGAAAAAATGATTGGTCGCCCAAGTATTGGCGGCTATAATTTTCGCAAAAATGGCAGATGAGATAAAACCAATGAGAATCGAAGTGGAGGGTTGGTAACCAGAAAAACTAGCAGCGCGCTGGGAGTCGCAAAGAGTCGCAGACGAGCCACCCAAAAAAGGCGTTAAAGAATGGAAGAATTAAATATTAAAAATAGGACGGTAAGACCGAGGGCAATTAAGAGTCGATTCGTCAAACCTCAAAGACGGTACGGCGAGAGCAGAGTCAGCTGCGAGATGCAAGCCAAGCGCGCGTGCGTAGTCCGAGGATGGGCAGGGCAGGAAAAAAGAGCGTACGGGTCGGCGATTCGAGAACGACAGACGGGAAAGAGTGTGTGGAGGTGGAGGAAGCGAAAAGAGAAGAGCCTTTGGCCGGCTGTGCGATGCGGCCCGGGGGGGAGGCCCATGAAAAAGGGGAGCGTCCGTGACGGTGGTGCTTTGGCGTGGCCTGGCTGCAGCGCCGGGGGGCTTCTGGAGGCTCCGTAAATGGATGCTGGCCCGCAACTCTGTGCTGCGCTAGGAGGCGGTGATACATTCATGCAAGGCGGCCGGAGCGTTGTCGAGACAATGGCGAGAAGGGAGCATGAAGTTGAGATGCCCAGCATGGAGTTGAGTTGAGTTGGCGATGGACCTCACAGAGCAGGAGCAGAGCAGAGGCGGTACGAGGCAGATGGGAACGTGACTCTTCAAACTGCCGGGCAGAATCAAGGCGCTACCTCTGCTCCCGGCACGAGCTCACGGCAATCTCAGGTACCGCAGTAATCTACAGCAGCAGTGCGAACATACGAGCGAGTCACTCGTTGACCGCCTAGACTATGTGGATGGGTGCTCTCTCTATCGCCATCAACCCCTTCATCTTCTCTCTCTTGTCTTCTGTCTCTCCCCCTTGCGTACAACAAACTTTCCGATAAACAACAACAAGAAACCTGCGATGATTATGTGTCGCAAGAAAGCAGAAAAACTACAGCAACAGCAGAAAAAAAAAACAGTGGCACCAGCGGCTGGCCCAGCCGGGTCGAGGTTTAATGACCGGCTAGACAGACGCAGATGCAGGGGCCGGTTCACGTCCACTGCAGCGCGAATAGAGCGCGCATAACCACCCAAGCAGAGAAGCGCCGCTAAGCTGCTGCAAGGGAAATGCAGGTCCGGGTCCGGGCTGACGATGCGATGCGATGAGATGCAATGCGACAGACGTTGTGCCTCAGCGAGAGACAAAACAAAACAAGCACAGAAAAACAAGAGGTCGGGCGAGTTGAGGTGAGGCCCTCTTGCGATGGACGCGGTCAAAGAGACTTACTGGCGGGTTAACCAGATCTGTCACTAGCATCGTCTAGCATTGAACTTAACGGCAAGCTACGACATGTAAGATTTCAGGCACCAGAGTGGCTCCGGCTCGATGGCCTCTAGCGGAACTGTGCCTGGGATATCCGTGCCAGACTAGCAAACGTGCAGCATTGAGTACGGGCTCAGTTTAATTGAGCTTATGGAGTTGCAGCGCGGAACAGGTTTGCGGCGACGAAGCAATCTCGACGCCCGTTCCTGAGAAGCTGGAGAGCTTGAGCTCGGATCGATCGCGATTCCAAGTTTTCCGGCCTTGTGTGTCTCTGCGGTATTAATTTGCGGAGCTACATGTCCGTTGCGCTGGTGATTGAGCAAGCGAGTGGCGCAGGCGCTTTGCCCTGCATGTCCTGAAATTACCAACGTCCGTTTCTGGCTGCTGATATGCACATGCAAGCGCAAGCAGTAGGTAATATGCATATGCACAGATATGCACAGATACAAACAAGTCGAGCTTCAGGACGCTCTGCTCTGCTCTGCTCTGCTCTGCTCTGCTCTGCTCTGCTCTGCTCTGTTTGGTGCTGCCACGCCGGACCCCTTGCAGAGGCGCCCGCTTCGATGGGAAGCGCTCAGTCCAACTGCAGTACTGCATACTATGTGCCTAGGACTAGGAACTCTGCTCCATACCCAGATAGCATGCAGGAGATGATACCAACTCGCTGCGTAGCAATGGGAGTTTCTCCAAGGGAGAAGATGTGAGCGAGTGGATGGTGCGCGCAGCCGATTGGCAAATATTGGACGGACAAAAGCGCGGGTCTTATGCACGAACACATGGACGCCTCAGATTGGATGCTCGCGGACGACGCTAGCCGGAGGACATCTGCCAGCTTTCGGAAGGATGCGAGCACGAAACGATAGGCAATTGATGGTGGTGGTGATATTTTTGGGAACCATGTGCGCTTACAGGCTATTCATCCACCTGAAGCAATTCGGAAGATGCGGAGCGATAGGGCATGCATGGTGGTGTGCGGCTCCATCGTAGCGTCGATTACGGTTCATTTCGTCTTCTTCTTCACGTCATTGCGTGCAAGTAGGTCTGCATCGATTCCATCGAGCTGCTCGTACCGGGCTGGCCAAACACCCCTGGCTCATACAAGAGGAACCGTTGATTACGGCGCGCCCGAACCCGCTTAGTGCCCACATTGCAGGACCGGCTAATGGGAGAGAGGGTGCCAGGACCAGGGCACAAGGCTGGGGAAAACTCTCTCTCAGCCTGGCAGAAACAAAAACCGAAACAATTGGCGAATAGCACGCAGCACAGATGGATTAGAGTTTGACTGCCAAAAGAGAAGCCAGCGGCGAGACGGGCGTCTGGGATCGAATAGCCCTGGACCTTAGCACATGGCACTCGCATTGAGTTCAATTAGAGCCGCAGTAGGGGCGGAAAATGTAGGGCATTAAAAAGCATCGAGGTTGCGCAGTACCTTGGGCTACTGCAGATTAGTGCCTCAGGTACTTGTACCTTGCTGTATCTTCATGCTATAATAGCCTCTAACCTGGACTAACACGTTTTCGATCACATTGTTAGTGCCATCTCGCGCCGATTCAATGCCTCCATTGTCTTTTAGCTCGCGACTCCAAAATGCCATTATCTCATCATCGAGTGCTCTTTTTGCTTGTGTTTTTTCTTCATCGCCGCGTCCAACAGCCTTTTGCGCGTTAATGCCTCGTAATGCTCGCCGCGAATAAATAGCCGGTGCTGCTATCGTAGTTCTCCTCGCGCCTGCTTGCCTAGGGTAGCTGGATTTTCATTCCCCTCTTTTTTTGCATGCAGCTTCATTCGCTCTCAAGCTCCCTCGTTGGCGACTGGCGCGCGGCTGTTTGGGCTAAACGCTCCTCCTGCTCCGGCCTGTATATCGTTCGGCTCAACCGCTCTTTGACGCTGGACATACGTTTCAGCCCGTAAGACGCTGCAGTTGTGGCTGTCTGCTGCTGCTTCGTGCTGCACATCGCATAGCACTACTGCCGCCATTGCGGTGACTCCTGCTCCTCCACCACCACCACCACCATCACCATCAACCCTCGTATGATGGATCCTCCCCCATCTGGCTCGCTCACCGAGGCCCAGGCCTTTGGCCTCCTGGTAAGCCAATAGTCCAAAACTCTGTTTCAAATAAGACACATCGGCGACCAAAACCGCTGATCACTCTATTATGCTTTTCTCCCCCAAAACAACAGACGGCGTACACCTTTGTCTACGTCCTCCCGCTATACGCCTCCTCCAAGACGAGAGCGTCCCCAAACCGATCTAGAGACGCCCCCGAGGCCATCCGCGCCAGGATCTTGACCGTCTCGCTATCCACTACTGCATGCTCTCTCGCCACTTTTTTCATCCTGCCCTATGTCTGCACCACCACCACCTCCAACAACAACAACACCACCACCATCTCCGGCAATGGCAGTGGCGGTACCTGCATCCCGCTGCGTCTGATGGGCTATTGGCCGCCGGGCCTGGTCGAGACGCTCAAAACATGCTTTCTGACGGGCGTGCTGTTTGCCGCGCCGCTATACGAGTGCCTGCTTGTTGATGGCGTCTGGAGAGAGTGGGCGAATGGCCTCCAGCCTCTGCGGCATGTCTGGGCTGAATGGCCCGCCTGGCGAAACTACGTTGCTGTGAGTCTCTCACTCTCACTCTCACTCCTCTTCTCTCCTCATTTCATTCTCATTCTCATCTCATGCCGGGCCCCTCCCCAGCAACCAATGAGATGAGCGAACCCGGTTCTCCGACGATGATCCCAGTTCCTCCCACACCGGCTGTTTTTGATACTTACACGGGTTTTTGTTTCCCTTCTTGTTTAGGGTCCCATCACTGAAGAATGTCTATTCCGTGCTGCCGCCGTCCCGCTGCTGCTGATGGCCGGTTCCAGCCTCAACAGAGTCATCTTCCTGTCCCCCGTCGTCTTCGGCCTCGCCCACGTCCACCACTTTTACGAGTTCCGCGTCACGCACCCGGAAACGCCCCTCGTGGCCGCCGTTGCCCGCTCCGTCCTCCAGTTCACGTACACGTCCCTCTTTGGCGCTCTCGCAAACTTCCTCTTCCTGCGGACGGGGTCTCTGCTGGCCGTCGTTGTGGTCCACACGTTTTGCAATTCCATGGGCCTGCCTCGCGTCTGGGGCCTGGTTGAGCCGTACTGGCTGCCGCAGGCGGATGCTTCGAAGCCGCGCCATGCGCTTTTGTGGTCTGGCATTTACTACGTGCTGCTCTTTGGGGGGGCGTTTGCTTGGTGGAAGAATCTTTACACACTGACTGAGTCGCCGCTTGCTCTGGCGGAGTTCTAACGTAATACCTTTTTTTTTTTTTTTTTTTTTTTTTTTTTTACATCTGCCTTGTCCAACCTACCTTATGCATGATGAGCTAGTAAATCCCAGCTCTGAAAAAAAAATATCAACATGAATCCCATGGGCATGCCCGCTGTAACCATCTGATAACTCCCAAATTGAGGCCTCCTATTAGCATTATCGTGAGATTTTGATGTTGCCCTTCCATGTCTTGCTTGCGCAAATCTTGCTTATTCAGCTCGCATAACTATACATTTTCTGCATTGTCCGTCTCAAAACGAGGCTCTAGATCCTCGCATCCCTGCTGAGACTGCGTAGTGAGCCTTCTATAGAATACTCATCGTCCCCCAGTGGTCGGCGGTGTCGTAGAGTAGCCTGATCCCGGGCTTCGCCTCCGACTGAAGGTTCTCTCTCCTTTCCCTTGGAGCCCGTGCTTCCTTCTGCCATGGCGTCGTCTGGGCCTCTGGTGTTCTTTTTCCTAGGCCATAGACTGGGCAGTGCAATCTGCTGGAATCGTGGCTCTACAGCTCGTTCATCAAACCACCTGTGCAGCCGTGACTCGATAAGCTGTGCGATTTTGGGCACGTCTTGTAATCGCGAACGGCTTCCGAGCAGACTCCTGATGGAAAAGTCTAGCCTGTAGTCGTCCAAAAAGTTGAAGGCCATCATGGTTGGCGTCGACTGAGAAGGGTTGCTCGGAAGAAATGATATGGACAATGTCCCGCTGAACCGCACGACGGAGACGGACAAGGCGACCGGAAGAACCGCAGATAGCTTTTTCGGGTAGTTGAGAAGAAGCTTCGTCTCGACTGCCATGGTGAGCATGTCGCTCAGATCCACGTCCATGCGAGCCTGGAGGCGCGTGCCGTCCCGGGCTGCCGTTGCGGGATCGAATTTCACGTGGCTGCCCAGGCTGATGCCGTCTTCGTCCACAGGGATGATGCGGCAGTTGCTCAGAATGGGAAACTCTTCGCCAAGGCTGAGCTCCGTGACGCGGATCTCATCCACAAAGTCGGGCCGGGACGTCCCGTTGAGCGTCTTTGTGAGTGAGTTGAGGATGGCATCGTCGTGCTGGGCATCGCTGCGGAACTGGGCAATGGTCTGGGCTATCAGGACGTTGAACCAGTCGAGGCTCTCCGGCTGGTGGCTGTCGACGTTGTAGTACGTCTTGCTCAGGATGGATCCGATGGTTAGCGTTGGGGGGTTCCTGAGGACGGTGGACTTCTTCCGGTTCAGGGACTGGCCGTGGCGCTGGCTGGGAGAGCGCAGTCTTAGCAGGGATTGCTTGTGCGCCAATGTCCTGGATCTCCGCTCTGTGGCTCGTAGTGATGCGGCTACGTCCGGCGACGGGGCATCGCCAAAGATGAAAAATTTGATAAAGACGGCCAAGATCAGAACAACGGAGAGCTGGCCTACGATGAGTCCATGTGTGAAGGAGAATCTGTTTTCCCGGTGAGTGAATATGGAGGAAGCCAGATATAAGTGATGCAGGTCAAGCTGTCATATGATGGGAATGGACTTGACTTGAGGAGAAAGGACAAGCAGCTTACGTTGGTTCATGCCGCGCAGGGCAGGACTCTGTCGACATTGTCGAGATGGGCGGAGCTCATTCGCCAGAGTGAAGCAGATGATCGGTTAGAGGCTGCGGCAGGTACCCATTGGTCAGGACATGAGATAGATTGCACCGTCGAGAGGTGAGTTTGATGCTGATTTGTGGTGTAAATCGATACCTTAGGTTGGATTTGGAGAGCTTTGGAGAGAGCCGATGAGCCAATCAGATGCGGCAAACTGCCCACTTTCTTGGGGGATTTTTAGCGGCTACTGACGCAGAGGTAATTGGATGCCGGATATGGCCCGAGATCCGGCTCTCTTTTGACGACGAAAATGCATGAAGAATGGGAATAGAGGAATATCGTGAGTTGAGTAATGGCCAGTATGCAGAGATACATCTATTTCTACATATACATATATACACTTTTCTGTCTTTGTTATTTTTTTATTAGCTCGTAAAACGATACCTACATAGAACATATGACGTTGAAACCTCCTACTGCTGCAGAGCGCAAGCATGGCTTATATGTCTTGAGATCACGAGCATGCTTGTATACAACGAGCTTCCTTTTTAGCCGAATAAAAATTGTCTTTTCCTTCTAATTCTTCCATACATTTCCCCCCCTTTGACTATTTTAATATTCATCTTATAGTTCCTTTCAAAAAACTTACTGGCTGAAACCAACTGACAGCTGCGTGCGGAATAGGCACCAGCAAGCTGTATAATCCAAGCCGCGCTAGTCTTAACTGGGCACTAGTTTGCACAGCTCCCTCATACCTGTTCTTCCGAGTGAGGTCACCACCTCCATATCCCGTAACGACGTCTCCAGCCCGGCTCCAGCTTGTCGATAGGAGCGAATCTTGGCCAAACACGCGCAGATCGGACATCCCCAGCACAGCTTCTGGATTGCAGCCGGCGTCTTGGTCGCAGCGAGCGAGCCCCGGATTGTGCGCGGAGTGATATGATGTAGCCGGCGACCCAGCGATATTTTCGTCATCATGGATGTCTCTCAGGCCGTCTCGGGCTACATCTCCAAGATGATGTTGGCCTCTGGCGATGCCTCATCCTCGAAAATGAAGGTCCTGTTGCTGGACAAAGAGACCATTTCCATCGTCTCAACGTCCATCACGCAGTCCGCGTTGCTGGACTATGAGATCTACCTCATCGACCGCCTGGACAATGCTGCCCGTGAGAAGATGCGCCATCTTCGCTGTATATGCCTGGTGCGGCCCTCATCGGAGACCATCCAGCTGCTCATAGACGAGCTCCGGGAGCCAAAGTATGGAGAATACTACCTATTCTTCACCAACGTAGCGAAGAAGTCTGCACTCGAGCGCCTTGCCGAGGCAGACGATCATGAAGTTGTCAAGGTGGTGCAGGAGCATTTCGCTGATTACATCGTCATCAATCCGGACCTGTTCAGCTTCAACATGTCTCTTCCGCAGCAAAGGATATGGGCCGGCAGCCCCGACAAATGGAACCCTGATTCACTGCAACGCTGCTCCGAGGGTCTCATAGCGGTTCTTCTCTCCTTGAAGAAGAAGCCATTGATCCGCTACGAAAAGAGCAGCTCTCTTGCTACAAAACTAGCCTCTGAAGTGCGCTACCTAATGACAAAGGAAGACCAACTGTTTGATTTCCGCAAAGTTGATACGCCTCCCTTACTGCTTATTTTGGATCGCAGAGAGGATCCGATAACACCCCTGCTTACCCAGTGGACTTACCAAGCAATGGTTCATCATCTGCTTGGCATTAAAAATGGCCGAGTCGACCTGAGTGATGTTCCAGACATTCGACCTGAACTGAAAGAGATTGTGCTCTCTCAAGATCAAGATCCTTTTTTCAAGAAGAATATGTTTTTGAACTTTGGTGACTTGGGCGGAACCATCAAGGAATACGTTGAGCAGTACCAGTCCAAAACAAAGAATAATGCCAATATCGAATCCATTTCCGACATGAAGCGGTTTATCGAAGAGTATCCAGAGTTTCGGAAGCTCTCAGGAAACGTGAGCAAGCACGTCACTCTCGTCTCCGAGCTCAGCCGCAGAGTTGCTGCGGAGAGCCTACTGGAAGTTAGTGAACTCGAGCAGAGCCTGGCTTGCAACGATAACCATGCCTCCGACCTAAAGGTAATCAAAACCTCCATATTATGACTACCCATGATGAAGTATTACGTTTACTGATCATTCACGAAGGCCATACAAAAAGTTATTCAAAACCCTAATGTACCGGCTGGGAGCAAAGTCGGGGTAGTAGCTCTATATGCCTTGCGCTACCAGAAGCACCCTTCAAGCGCACTCCCAATGCTCATGGACCTTCTCGTTGCGGCTGGCAACGTATCTCCAAGACAGTCGGATTTGGTCAAGAAGGTCTTGGCCTATCACTCCTCATTACATACTTCGGAGTCTCGAGGTGGCATCTCGGACATATTTGACTCAGCCGGCATATTTTCGGGCACGGCAAACCGCTTCAAAGGCCTCAAGGGCGTGGAAAACGTCTATACACAACACAGCTCGCTGTTAGAAGGCACTTTACAGAACCTCATCAAGGGTCGATTAAAAGACCAGCAGTATCCATTCGTCGAAGACAGCGCCCCCACTAGAGATAAGCCGCAAGACATTATCGTTTTCATGGTGGGAGGCGTTACGTATGAGGAGGCAAAAATGATTGCTGGAGTAAACGCTACCATGCCTGGAGTGCGTGTGGTTCTTGGCGGCACAACAGTTCACAACACGACGACGTTTTTGGAGGAGGTTGAGGACGCGGTATCCTCTTGGTCTTGAGGAGGGATTTATAGAATGGGTAACAAGATATGAGACGCCATACGGCCATGAACAGCATAATATTTGACAATAGTTTAAGATCTTATCGATTTTAGATGTAAGACACAGCAATGATTGGTAGCTTTTGAATCATCGAGAGGCGCCCAAGCCAACTACATATAGAAATACGTCATATGCAGCTAACGTAGATATGCACGTATAGGGAGCTATCGATAAAAATTATTGCGACACTGCCTCTAGTGATTCCCAAGATAAGACTGCCAACCCATGATGATTTCTGCTGGGGAGTGTACGATATAGGTGACTGACGATATCGCGTGAAATGAGTGCTTTATTGCGTCCACGATCATTTCACTGGCGACCAATTCTTAGGCATCGTCGGTTTGCCACAGTCACAGATAACCACAGGTGCGAAGCGATCTTTTTCGAGAGACCATACAGTGAAGAAATGCTTTACTAAACCACCTTTCTTCTTCTTATAGAGCCTTTGATGTTGTCGTTATAGGTGGTGGCCATGCCGGTGCAGAGGCATGTGCTGCTGCTGCGAGAGCCGGTGCGCGGACGGCCCTCGTTACGCCCAAGCTCGATAATCTGGGAACATGCTCCTGCAACCCGAGCTTCGGAGGAATCGGCAAGGGAACAATCATTCGAGAGATTGATGCTCTAGATGGTTTGGCTGGGAGGATCATCGACAAGGCTGGTGTCCAATTCCATCTGCTGAACCGTAGAAAGGGACCGGCTGTGTGGGTATGTGATTATGATTTTTGCCACATGAGAAGTACGCTTTGTTCGAGTCGAATGCTAACGTATTTCGCTGCCATTAGGGTCCACGAGCGCAGATCGATCGAGACTTATACAAGAAGTACATGAGAAGCGAACTCGAATCATATCCGAACTTGTCAATTGTCCTCGAAAGCGTATCGGATATCGTCTTATCGGAGAGCAAAGGCTCTACTGAGGGATCAAAAGGTGCTATTGCTGGTGTCCGATTAGAAAATGGCGAAATACTCCAAACTGGAAGAGTAGTCATCACTACGGGAACATTTCTGGGAGGCGAAATACACATTGGACTGGAGGCGTATCCGGCAGGCCGCATTGGAGAGGCGGCGACAACGGGCTTGAGCAAATCACTGCGAGACGCTGGCTTCCAGCTGGGACGGTTGAAGACAGGAACCCCACCACGACTTGATAAGTCATCTATCAACTTTGATATACTCCAACGCCAGTTTGGTGACGATCCTCCAGCTCCCTTCAGCTACCTGAATACAGAGGTGGCCGTTCGAGATCAACTCACTTGCAGCATTACGTTTACGAATGACGCCTCGCACAAGATTGTTCAAGACAACCTGGACAAATCTATTCACATTCGAGAAACGGTCAAGGGACCGCGATATTGCCCCTCGCTAGAGTCAAAAGTCATCCGATTCGCAGACAAGGAACGTCACATCGTATGGCTTGAGCCAGAAGGCTTTGACAACCCAATCATATACCCTAATGGACTATCCATGACAATACCCGCTGAAGCCCAAGAGCAAGTACTGCGCTCAATACGAGGCCTGGAGGAAGTCAAGATGCTCCAGCCTGGCTACGGAGTTGAATACGACTATGTTGACCCTCGAGGCTTGAAGTCTACCCTTGAAACAAAGGCGATTGATGGGCTTTATCTAGCAGGACAGATCAACGGCACAACAGGCTACGAAGAGGCTGCCGGCCAAGGAATTATTGCCGGCATGAATGCCGGACGATCTGCTCTGGGCTTACCCGGCGCCTCACTATCTAGATCTGATGGTTACATTGGTATCATGATTGACGATTTAATCACCAAGGGTGTTACAGAGCCCTACCGCATGTTTACATCTAGGAGCGAATTTCGGATGGCGGCTAGAGCGGATAATGCTGACCTTCGACTGACAGAAAAGGGACGGGAGTGGGGCGTCGTCTCTGATCACAGATGGAGCGTCTTCTCAGATGAGAAGCAGCAGATTCTAGATCTCACAAAATCGCTTGGTGCCGTATCTCTGGCGCCAGATGAGTGGATGCAAGCAGGATTCCAGGTGAAGAGGAGTTCTCAGCGCCGCACTGGCATCGACATGCTGAGGCTCTCCAACACCGGGGAGCGAGTCCAGCTTGACCAGCTCAGCTCAGTCGTGCCCGAGATCCTCAACTACCCGCCGCGCATTCGAGAGAGAGTCGTCATTGAAGCGGCTTACGCCCCTTATATCAAGATGCAGGCAGCCGAGCGCGGACAGTTTGTGAATGACGAGAACATCCGCCTCCCGCTAGACCTGGACTACGATGGCATCCCGGGCCTGGCCTTGTCAGAAAAGGAAGTTCTTAGGAGGACGCGGCCCGAGACCCTCGCGCAGGCTCGCCGTGCAGAAGGCGTAACCCCTTCCGGATGCATTCGATTGCTTGCTTACATTCGCCGCCAAGGCTCGTCATCTACAGGGGCGGCGACGCTTCTTGGATCTGAGAGAAGCCCATTGGAAGCTCAGTTGCCATGATTAAAGCAAAATTTTTTTTTTTTTTTTTGCTAGGAACTAATTCAAGCCGTGCGTTTGATTTCCTCTCTTGTTCCTCGGGAAATACTTGTTATACACGAGCGATTCCTTCACAAGGAATCGCTGTAAATATTGAGGCATATAAAACTCTTGTTTATACTGCACTTCAAGGGACTTATCATGTACGCATAACACATCCTCTGTAACTAAAATATGATATCGAAACGCTGCACCAATCGGCGTTTTATTCTCGCTTAACCTTGATACCAATCCTACACCGGCTTTTACACACATGCATCTCGTAATCCACTCTCCTGTCAGACGTTATGTTGCATTGCATCTGGCCGTCAGCCGTGAAGGTAAAAAAACTGTCGTTCCTCTCACTCTGAGTTGTGAATCCTACGTAAGCAAACGGGCTCGGACAGGCTCGGGATTCTCAGCAACGGCCATTGTGCGAATTGAATCCTGGCTAGGCATCGATGACGAATTTTCCATCAAGTTCTATGCATTTAAGACGACGTTTCCGGGTTCTTATATAGGTACATATTAGCAGGCCAAAGACAGCACTGTAACAGAGGAAAGTATCGATAGCAGTAGGTAGTTGACAGACGCTTATTGCTAGTCTGACAGGCCTGTCAGTTGCAGCGATTTGCACAGTCCACCACCTAAATTTAGCATATTTGCCGATATCGGGTGTGACTCGATGAGCTGCATAGCAGGTCGGCACCTAGGCTAGACTAACAAGCTCACCCCACCAAGATTTTCGAGGCTTGGCCGGACTGACGAGAAAATTCCAGCATCGCCATTGCGTCTTCCTCATCTCTGCGGCGGCCTTGGAACACCAGGAATCGTCCTCATCCGACTCGACTCCGACACAGGCTCTCGAGGCGGAAGCGCCCCTCGAGCGAACCCAACAATGGCGGACGCAGCAAAAGCCCCGCACGCGATTTCCATCCTGGGCGAGCCCAACATCGTCGTCGACCATGCGCTGTGGCCCAACTACATTGTCCAGGACCTGACGCAGAACCTGGCGTCGTCGACGTATGTGCTGATCACCGACACCAACCTCTTCGACACGTACGTGCCGGCCTTCCAGCAGCGATTCGAGACCGCCAAGGCCACCAAGAATGCGCGGCTGCTCACCTACAAGATCCCGCCTGGCGAGGCGTCCAAGAGCCGCGAGACAAAGGCCGAGATCGAGGACTGGCTGCTGTCGCAGCAATGCACGCGCGACACCGTCATCATTGCCGTTGGCGGTGGCGTCATTGGCGACATGATTGGCTACGTCGCGGCCACCTTCATGCGCGGCGTCCGCTTTGTCCAGGTGCCGACGACGCTCCTGGCCATGGTTGACTCATCGATTGGCGGGAAGACGGCGATTGACACGCCCATGGGGAAGAACCTCGTGGGCGCTTTCTGGCAGCCGCGGAGGATTTTCATTGACCTCGCCTTTCTGGAGACGCTGCCCGTGCGCGAGTTTATCAATGGCATGGCCGAGGTTATCAAGACTGCCGCCATTTGGAACGAGAAGGAATTCACTGTTCTGGAAGAGTCGGCAGCGACCATCTTGTCCAGCGTTCGCTCCAAGGGCCAGGGCCGCCTGCAGCCCATCAAGGATGTGCTCAGACGCATCGTCATTGGCTCTGCCGGAGTCAAGGCAGAGGTTGTTTCTTCGGACGAGCGCGAGGGCGGCCTTCGAAACTTGCTGAACTTTGGCCACTCCATTGGCCACGCTATCGAGGCGCTGCTCACTCCCCAGCTGCTCCATGGAGAGGCCGTGGCCATTGGCATGGTCAAGGAGGCTGAGCTGGCCCGATTCCTGGGCGTCCTGCGACCAGAGGCTGTTGCCAGACTGGAGAAGTGCATTGCCTCCTATGGACTGCCCACGTCTCTCAAGGACAAGCGAGTCATCAACCTGACTGCCGGCAAGAAGTGCCCTGTCGATGTGCTGCTCAAGAAAATGGGCGTTGATAAGAAGAATGACGGTGCCCAGAAGAAGATTGTGCTGTTGTCGGCAATTGGCAAGACCCACGAGGCAAAAGCCAGCTCTGTGGAGGACCGGGATATCAGAATCGTCCTCTCCGACTCTGTCGAGGTAACGCCTGGCATCCCCGGCGATCTCAAACTCACCGTCACACCTCCCGGATCCAAGAGTATTTCCAACCGGGCTCTGATTCTCGCAGCTCTCGGTACCGGTTCTTGCCGAGTCAGGAACCTGCTCCACTCAGACGACACCGAGTTTATGCTTTCTGCAATTTCCACCCTCGGAGGCACCTCTTACTCATGGGAAGAGGGCGGCCAGCTCTTGGTTGTCGAAGGCAACGGCGGTAAGCTGAAGGCTTCTGATGAGCCTCTCTACATCGGTAACGCGGGAACCGCCTCGCGTTTCTTGACCACAGTTGCGGCTCTGTGTGCCCCTACTAGCACTGCCACTACCACTGTTCTGACCGGCAATGCCCGAATGAAGACACGACCAATTGGCCCGCTTGTTGACGCCCTACGCAGCAACGGCGTTGCCATCGACTATCTTGAGCGAGAGAAGAGTCTCCCGCTGCGCATCAATGCCTCGGCTGGCCTCGAGGGAGGAGAGATTGAGCTTGCAGCCACTGTTTCCTCTCAATATGTGTCTTCTATCCTTATGGCGGCGCCCTATGCCAAGAAGGCCGTTACTCTGCGACTGGTTGGAGGCAAGCCCATTTCCCAGCCATACATCGACATGACCATCTCCATGATGAAGTCCTTTGGCATTGAAGTTACTCCTTCTGCGGATGAGCCGGACACCTACCACATTCCCCAGGGTGTCTACAAGAACCCCGCGGAGTACATTGTTGAGAGCGACGCCAGCTCTGCCACTTACCCTCTCGCGGTAGCCGCCATTACCGGAACCACTTGCACTATTCCCAACATTGGATCCAAGTCTCTTCAGGGTGACGCCCAGTTTGCTGTCAAGATCCTCGAGCCGATGGGATGCAAAGTTCACCAGGACGACTACTCTACTACCGTCACAGGTCCCAAAGATGGAGCTCTCAAGGCCCTGCCAAGTGTTGACATGACGACCATGACGGACGCTTTCCTTACAGCTACTGTCTTGGCTGCGGTGGCAACTGGAACAACCGAGATTATCGGAATTGCCAACCAGCGGGTAAAGGAGTGCAACCGTATTCTGGCCATGAAGGACCAGCTGGCTAAATTCGGCGTCCTCTGTAATGAGCTTGAGGACGGTATTCAGATTATCGGCAAATCTAGGGATAGCCTGGTTACGCCCACCGAGAGCATTCACTGCTACGATGACCACCGTGTTGCCATGAGCTTTAGTGTCCTGTCTCTTGCCGCACCTGGCCCTGTTTTGGTCACTGAGCGAGAGTGTGTTGGCAAGACTTGGCCTGGTTGGTGGGATGTCTTGGCTCAGTCGTTCAAGGCGACGCTGGCGGGTGTTGATACCGAGAGCAGCCGCGAGACCAAGCCCAAGACTTCTGCCAATGTTCAGCGCTCCATCTTCGTTGTTGGCATGAGAGGAGCTGGAAAGACAACTGCTGGCAAGTGGGTTGCAAAGACCCTTGGCTGGAAGTTTATCGATCTGGACCACGAGCTGGAACGACGGAGTGGCACAACCATTCCAGAAATAATTCAGGGCCCCCGAGGCTGGGAAGGATTCCGCGAGGATGAGCTGGCGCTTTTGCGCAACGTTATCGAGGCCCACCCGAAGGGACATGTCTTCTCTTGCGGAGGTGGCATTGTCGAGACCCCGGCTGCCCGAGAAGTCCTGAAATCGTACGGCGCCAATGGCGGTCTTGTGCTGCTGGTTCACCGTGATACTGACCAGGTTGTCAACTACCTGCTTCAGGATAAGTCGAGACCGGCTTACACGGCCGAGATCCGGGAGGTTTACGAGCGCAGGAAGCCCTGGTACAGGGAATGCAGCAACATGCTCTACTACAGCCCGCACTCACAAGATGCTGCTACGTCTGAAATCCCCGATGACTTTTCGCAGTTTATTTCGGTGATCTCAGGAAAGTCTAGGACTCTTGAAACTGTCTCCAAGAAGAAACATAGCTTCTTCGTGTCTTTGACATTGCCTGATCTCACCGCCGCGGTGGACATATTACCTCGTGTCACTGCTGATAGTGACGCTGTAGAGCTCCGTGTGGATCTCTTGCAAGATCAGCAGCCCGAGGCCGTCATGAAGCAGGTATCATTGCTCCGACATGTGACAGGAAAGCCCATCATTTTCACAGTCCGAAGCGAGTCTCAGGGAGGAAAGTTCCCTGATAACGACAACGAGCTGCGTCTGGAGCTCTACCGCCTCGCTCTTCGCATGGGCGTGGAGTACATTGACCTTGAGGTGACTTCGACCGATGAGATTATGCAAGAGGTTAGAGATAACCGAGGCAACTCTGTCATCATTACGTCTCATCACGATCCTGCTGGCGCTCTGTCTTGGAAGAACGCGTCTTGGATTGCGGCTTACAACCGGGCACTGCAGTATGGCGATGTGATCAAGCTGGTTGGCACTGCCCGAAGCGTCGACGACAACTTTGACTTGATCCGATTCAAGTCTAGGATGCTGGCGGCTCAGCCAACGCCCATCATTGCCCTCAACATGGGCTCTGCTGGCAAGCTCAGCCGTGTCCTGAACGGGTTCCTCACTCCCGTCTCTCACCCAGCTCTTCCGTTCAAGGCTGCTCCCGGACAGCTGTCCGCAGCTGAGATCCGACAGGGCCTGTCCTTGCTGGGAGAGATTGAGCCGCGCAACTTTTACTTGTTTGGCAAACCAATTTCCAAGTCTCGATCACCGGCTCTGCACAACACCCTCTTTGGCCAGACTGGCCTGCCGCATCATTACCAGCGTCTGGAGACGGATAAGGTTGAGGATGTTGTGGAGGTGCTCCGCGCTGCGGACTTTGGCGGTGCTTCGGTCACGATCCCGCTGAAGCAGGACATCATGGCTCATTTGGATGAGTTGACGGATGCCGCCAAGGTCATTGGCGCTGTCAACACTGTTGTTCCTGTGGCTGATAAGTCTTTGGGACGCCAGCGACTCATTGGAGATAACACTGACTGGAAGGGCATGGTTCACGTCCTTCGCAAGGCCGGTGTCCAGACGCAGGCCGGCGATGCCAGTGCCGCTGTTATTGGCGCTGGAGGAACTAGCCGAGCTGCCATCTTTGCGTTGAACTCTTTGGGCTTCAAGCCCATCTATGTCGTTGGCCGAGACGCCCAGAAGGTTCAGGCTCTTGCGTCGAGTTTCCCGTCCGAATATGACATCCAGTCCGTTGCTAGTGCTGCTGATGCCGAGAAGCTGGCGAGCAAGCCCGTTGTCAGCATTAGCACCGTTCCTGCCGACAGGCCGATTGATGCGGGCGTTGGAGAGATTCTTGGTGCTGTGTTCAAGCCTACTTCTGGTCAGGATCAGAGCAGGGTTCTGCTGGAGATGGCCTACCACCCTCCCCAGACCCCGGTGATTCAGATTGCGGAGAAGGCTGGTAGCTGGACGACGATTCTTGGGCTGGAGGTTCTTGCTGCTCAGGGATGGTACCAGGTATGTTAATGCACTCACAGTTTGATATTTTCTATATCGTAGAGACTAACGTGTTTTCTTTTTTGCAGTTTGAGACTTGGAATGGCATTAAGCCGCTCTTTAGCGATGCTTTAGATGCTGTTATTGGAAAAGAGTCAGTAGCTCAGTAGATTTTTGTTGTTGTTGCTGCTGTAGGGTAGAAAAATAGTATAAACAAAAAGTTCATATATTCTTCGTTTCTTTGGATAAAGATTGAGGAGACTTGGAGCTCTCTATTCTTTCTTTTTTTCCTATTTAGGACATTTATCAACAAGAGAATGTTGTTGTGCTTAGGGGCCCTATCTAGATTTGTGCTTGTGAATGTGTATGTTTTTGATATGTCTTGAGTAATTGTTATATACATCCTTGTTCGCAGCATCAAAGCTTCACTGCTAAAGGCCGTGGCTTGATGTTATGAGATGTATTTGTCGAATATCTAGGTAAACAGCTGAGAGAAAAATGAGTAAGACACCCACTATGGTTTGCTTCCATTTCCAAGGGGCTAGATTGCTGCTTTTGCGCGATTTCGAGAGCACTACGCCTCAAGAGTATTGCTTGGATAACTTGCAAATATGATGGTCTTGAGTAGTTGTGACTGAATCATTCGTATCTCTTACCTTGATATACCACAGTGCTGTGTTGTTCTACTAAACTGGTTACTAGGATCCAATGTCTTGTTTGTGTCAGCATGGTAGCACAAAGAGATGTTGCATTAACTATCATTTCTACGTCTACTACGTCTACTATAACTACCTATACAAGGCAGCAAGAAGTAGGATCCCTACTAGGTCAAATATGATTGCCGTCAAAAGCGTCCATCTATATAAAAGAATAATATCTCTATTGAAAAAAGAAAAAAACAAGTCAGATAGGTTATAGTTCTATCAATGCCATCTAATTACCAATTTGTGCGTGTGTCTACCCACTGTTGTTGTTGTTGTTGTTGTTGTTGTTGTTGTTGTTGTTGTTGTTGTTGTTGTTGTTGTTGTTGTTGTTGTTGTTGTTGTTGTTGTTGTTGTTGNGTTGTTGTTGTTGTTGTTGTTGTTGTTGTTGTTGTACTACACCAGATATTTAGCAGCCTGTGTCCAGTATGCCGGCTTCTTAGAGGGATTATCGGCTCAAGCCGATGGAAGTTTGAGGCAATAACAGGTCTGTGATGCCCTTAGACGTTCTGGGCCGCACGCGCGCTACACTGCGCCTCGCTGAGATGTTCGCGCCCCAGAACCCAGAGCCATCCGCGCTGCTCTTCTGAAATCGTCTTTGCTTTCCGGCCAACTTGATCAAAATGCTTGTGAGGTGGCGGCCAGGATTAGAAATCCAAGCAGAGCTCTCTTCATGTTCTTTGGCCGCTCTATCACCGTATCATAAGCGTATTCACCATCGACGTTTCCTCTCCTATGTCGATCAGTAAACACCAGCAATATAAATATCTGCGTATCAAACAATGCTACAAATGGTGTATTGAATTGGCAAGAGTAATTGATACCTTGCTTGAGTATGGTATTGGCGTTTGTTTCTGTCTTTAAATTCTGTTCTCATTCGCCCGTAAGTTCGATGAACTCGGTTTCATTGTCATCATCCCGCTTTAGAACTTGGCTTTGTCAATGGCGGAAATTGTCTTGCAATCAAGTCCGCTATTGGATCACTTTGACGGTCGGTATAAAGTAAACCTTGTCGGCTCGAGCTTTGTTGGATAGAGCTGTCACCTCACTGCAATGTCTGAGGGTTGTAGAGTGGAGGAGGCATTTCGAAGTGCCACAAATGGCGTATCGAATGCTCAGGAGTGCTTCGTCGAATGAATGGATGATGGATAGTTCAATGCTTCATAATGCCATTAGTTTTTGTAGTGGTGTAGGTGGGCGATATAATGAGAGGAAGAAAGGACGAAAGGTCACGGACCATGGCCACTATCAAATAGGAGAGTATAGGAGGTAAGTAACTGTCTAAGCACGACTGAATGTAAATAAAAAGGAGTGTTACTTGGCGCTGAACGTTATTTTGAACTGAATTTGAAGCGAATTGGTATGAATCCTGCTGTTGTTGCGCCGCAAAGCCGCGTGTTGCCGTGCTTAGAGTTTGAGGCTGATGTGCGGTGAATCAAGCTGACACAGACCGCCTTGTTTTACCGTAGATGGAGAGATTATAGCTGAGATGTCGAGAAAGGAGCTAGAATGTATTTTGCCAATGTATTGAAATGTTAGGATGCAGTACGGGTAATAGAAGTAGGAGAAGTAGGAGAAGTAGTAGAAGCAGCAGAAATAGTATGCGGAGATGGAGATGGAGGAAGAGGCAGTGTTATGTCTTTCCTGTTTGTATACTCGCCAATTTTTGCAACTTCCATCATCATCAAGCTATCCAAGACATTGACATTGCAAAGGTCTATATATCTATTGACAACACGAGAGGTACTATACACGGATGACGACAACATGGGAGAGCTGCTTGCAATAAGAGCCTGAAAACAACGGCGCAAGAGGTTGAGAGCTTCATGGCAAAGTCCCCTGCCCCTCCTCCTGAAAAGTTTTAGAATCAATTGGATATGGGTTGATGTGAATTTGTGTTAGTGAACTGAAGATGATGATATTCTTTCAAGAGGCTGGCCATGCATATACGTACAGATGTGCAAACGTAGAGAGGTATATCTCTTTTTTACCATTCTCGTTTCTGCACTCCAGCGATTTTTCTCGTCAATAATTGTGTAAGTCCACGTTTTGCATGTCAAACTTAGATTTAAAATGGGCAGATTGTTTTCACAATTCTCCCCTCCCTCTTCAAATGACTCTGAATAACGTTTAGAAATGTAAAGTTTTGCAAAAAAATTCATTTATTTTCTCAGTAAATTTGATTTCGCAAGATACTACACCCACGTAGATACAGAGAGAAGCTGCCTCGAACGGAAAGTATCTTTGCTGTGGAATCTGCAGTGGCCTGCTCTACTTAGTTTCTGGCGTCGAAAGTACTTCTTGTCCTTGCTCGCATGTCAAATTGACCCAGCAATAGTACAATATCTTCTTCTCGTAGTTTCATGGGCATGGCTGAGGAGCTTATATGGCAAGTGGCGTCACCTAATGTTTGAACAATGATAAGGTTAGTGTCGCACGTATATTATTCATTCTGTGATTCCTATGTGGAATCTGATTCTGGCTGCTAGCTGCTGGAGTCACGAGCTCAGCTTTTGCCGTAGACGAGTGGGGGTCCTTCACTTCGAGATGATGCTAGACAGTCACATTGATGGTGCCGAATCCTTCCGCTCAGCTGACAGGCGGCACTTTCTGGAGCGGCGTGATTACAAGCTCATGCTCATCATTACTTAGATGATACATGACAAATGCCCAGCAGGTCAACCGAAGTGATCGCTTGGGAATGATATGATCAACTGGTGTCGGTATGAAGGAAATCAAAGCGAGTTAGAAAATCAACTCTTTGCGACCTTGGCGCATTGAAGTTGTGTTGACAGGCACTATGTATTGTAGGTGTGTAGGTGCAGTCACTCCACTACAGGCCAAGAAAAAGGAAGCTTACATTGTCCGTCTATCGAAGTAGTAGAAATGATAGAGGCAGCAGAGGCAGTAAACAAGCGGTTAGTAATGCTTTCAGCGTCTAGCTATACTAAAATAAGACATAACTAGGGAACAATGGATGGATACACAGGTAGTATATCTGGATGAATGAACTTATATTTGCTGAAATTTGATTCTCTGTTTAATCAATAAACAGGCCATCCAAAAGCTGCTTGTATCACAACTGCTCATTGTTAGTGGGAAATCCGGGGTACAGGGTTCTTTATTAAGGTGCTGAGTGGATCTTACTGTCTATAAGATTGTTCCTTACATGGGAATATATGTGAAGCTGTTGGTTTTAGCATACTAATATCCATATAGTCTAGCCTCAGCTAGGCAGCCATCGATCAAATAAGCCGAATAGGCCGAGGCGCGTTGAGTGCTGGCGTAGGTTAGATTAACGGCAGTCATCGTTGTACGATGCTTGCCTCTTATCACTGATATGAAAAGGTAAGCTGGGATGTGTACGTTGAGACAATGACCTCTCAGTTATGTATGAGGCTTGCGGAATGAGGAACAGAATTCACCATCATGGCTATAGACCTTGTTTTATACTACTTTTAAAGCCGTTAACCTAAATTATTATACGCGAATGGACACAGCTTATGCCTGCCAACGAACAAGCTTCTGAGTCAGGCAAGGCGGGGAATGATGCGGCTCCTTGCTCGCATATGAAAGGATCATCATCCCAGCATGCTCCTCTTGCACCAGATGCCGGAAAGACATTGCGATGTGACGGGCGCCGAGCCATGTTGCAATGAACTAGGGCTTCTATTCGACTGCCTCGATGCATGCACCCCGACCTCTCCCTGCATCGATCTCAATTATTGTTGCTTTCTATGGAGTGATCGCCGTGGTTCCTTGTGAGGCTGACTCCATTCCCCGCGCATCGGCGCCCGTTCCGAATGTTGCTATCATCGGTTGTATCATTTCGGCAGTTGGAAGAGCTGGAATCGGCCCTTGTGCCTTTTTATTAATCACCATCCTCGCTCCTTTCCTCAGAAGCGCTCCATGTTGATTGGGCCGCTTAGAGAAATGTTTGGCAAATCGCTCATCTTTCGGCCCATTCACATCTATGTCTTGGCGTTGGTGTTCCTAATCCACAAAAATTTAACTGATGTGCTAGTTCCTGCGGCTACGGCATCAGCATACAGTTCTGTTGCTCCCTAACTGTGCCCCTCCCGCTAAACTATCTCTTTAGTCGTCAGGATTGTCTAGTTGTATTTTTTCTGTTGGGCAGATAACTGCATAAGTTGGCATTGACCTTGAAGTTGTTGATTGTAAAGATTCCATTCTGCTACATGTGATAGATGACATGTGAATAGACTCGATTGTACTAGCTGCAGTCGGCTGACTTTTAAAACCTACTATACTTTTCAGGCTATTTACTTGGCTAGCTATGAGACTTATAAGTGCTCCTTTGGGCTAGGTTCATCTTATGCGTGATCCCCTGCCATGTCTCAAAAAGGCAGTTTCTCATGTGCTCCAGATGAGCTAGAGCGAATATGGACCTCATGGTGCCAAAAGGAGTCCATAGTAGTAGTAGCTCAAGTGGAGTAGTTTCAATTACATGTATCTTGAATACGCTTTTTGAGCGTTCAATACGCCCCCTTTTGATATTCGGCGCGATAGGATCACAAGGGATCAGGAAGATAGTCATGAGATATGAGGGCTGAAGCCAAGGTTAGTAACAATATTGGACAAGAGAAACTTGCTGAAGGTTGTAAATACACAAGTGGTTGTCGCCTCATTGCCAGCCCACTTTATCGATATATGTGGAATTAGCGAAGCAAACGCACATCTGAACTGGGCTGCCATATCTAGAATGGACTAGGACACGGAGATGCTGTCGGCCTTATACCATATTATACTATATTATATTGAGGGATTCTTTGTCTAATTGCTCATGGCGTGACATATGTAGTATCATTCGCTGATAATAGCAGCTAGATGCAGCTTAGTAGATGTAGGAAGGACGAGGAACTGCAACCTTGAACGATTCCCAAAGGCAAATCATGCTTTCGAATTCGGTTAGGAACTTCGGCTTCCTCGTTTAGGATAATGGATTTTGTCCCATGACTTTTCTAAAAAAACTCGACTATCAACTATTAATATAAAAAGGCCGTATAGGTTTCAGAAACTGACCTCTGGTCGAGAGTCCTCAGCACCGAGGCAATCCCCAAACAGGCCCAAACAAAGATGAAGACCTTCAGCGTGCACATCTTTGGCGCCGCCGTCATTGTCTTTTCAGGACGTTCTACATGCACCAACTTCCTGAATCATAGCCAGCTACTTGCCGGATTCGAAGATCCTGACTGGTTCGAGCAGAACATCCCCTTCCTTGATGTTCCCAACCAGCAGATCCAAGATGTCTACTACTATCGCTGGCAGACTTACAAAGAACACCTCACCTACACCAGTGCTCAGTATGGCTATATGCTCAGCGAGTTTCTCGAACCAGCTAGCTATGGAGCGCCTTACGGAGGTATCGTAGCAGCCGCGGGACACCACATCATCGAAGGACGTTGGATAAGAGATCAGAAATACGGCAGGGATGAGGTGAATTACTGGTTGGCTGGCCCTGGGCAGTTTAGCAAGCCGCAAACCGATGAATACAATCTCGATACCTCTGACTGGGCACATGAATACAGCTTCTGGGCAGCCAGCGCCGTGTGGCGCCAGTATCTTGTAACTGGAGATGGCGACTTTGCCATTAGTCAATTGGATAATCTTGTCAAACAGTACCGGGGCTGGGATAATCACTTCAACTCAGACCTCGGACTCTATTGGCAAGTTCCCGTCTGGGATGCCACCGAATGCACAGCTGCATCCTACCAAACGAGTGATCCTTATCATGGTGGTGCCGGGTATAGGCCAACCATTAACGGATATCAGTATGGAGACGCTCGGGCTATAGCATCCTTGGCCACCTTGAAGGGAGATACAGCCTTGGCTTCCGAATATACGAGCCGGGCCAACGCCCTGCAGACTGCAATGCAGAATCATCTTTGGGATAGCCAGCGTCAGTTCTTCATGCATATGCAGCGAGACAACAACACCTCTGAGCAGCTGCTCACCACTCGTGAAATCATGGGTTACATACCGTGGATGTTTGACATGCCGCAATCCTCTAATATCGCCGCCTTTTCCCAGCTAAAGGACCCCCAGGGCTTTGCGGCCACCTACGGACCTACCACTGCTGAACGACGAAGCCCGTATTACATGGACAAGAATGCAAGCTGCCTTCAATGGGATGGTCCATCATGGCCCTACGCTACCTCACAAACCCTTACCGCTGTGGAAAGTGTACTACACGACTATCCGGTGCAGTCATATATTTCTACGGCCGATTACTTCAGCCTTCTTCTTGGCTACGCCGCCACCCAGTATAAGAATGGCGTGCCTTATGTCGCTGAAGCTCATGATCCCGACGCCAATACATGGATGTACGACACTTATAACCACAGTGAAGACTACAACCATTCCACCTATATCGACAATGTCATTGCCGGGCTCCTTGGTCTACGCGGGCAATCCAACAATACTCTCACAGTCGATCCTCTCGTGCCGTCTTCGTGGGATTACTTTGCGCTGGAAAACGTTGCATACCATGGCCACAACGTAACAGTAGTATGGGACAAGAGTGGTCAGCGCTACAGCCAGGGCTCGGGTCTGAGAATCTTTGTCGACGGGGCTCTCGCGGGCAATCGTGATACAATAGGCTTGATCACTGTCGACGTCGGCAACACAGTTGCCCAAACCATCAACTCGCAAGTCAACATCGCAGCCAACAGCCAGCAATTCTCACAGGGAGCAACGCCATTTGCATCCTACACCTCGCCGTATGACAGTATCTGGAGGGCTGTCGATGGCATGGTGTTCCGCACCGCCGTGCCCCAGAACACCCGTTGGACGTCGTACAACAGCCCCAATGCTCAAGATTATTTCGGCGTAGATCTTCGACAGCCGCAGGCAGTTTCCAACGTCCGGCTGTATTTCTACACCGATGGCGGTGGCGTCCAATTGCCCTCGAGTTACGATCTCCAGTATCTTTCTGGAAGCACCTGGACCACAGTCCCCGGCCAGCAACGCAGCTCAGCATCTGCCACGTCAAACACATTGACTCAAATCACCTTCCCAACAATCACCACATCGCAGCTACGAGTCGTGGCCCCCAACGCCGGCGGCGGAACGGGCTGGGGTCTTTCCGAGTTTGAGGTGTGGACCGCAGCCATATACAAGATACAGAACAAGAACAGCGGCAAGCTCATGGCTGTTCAAAACGCATCGACGGCCAACAGCGCCAACATCCAGCAATTCGATGACAACGGCACGCGGGACCATCTGTGGGAGTTTGTCAAGGCGCCTGGTGGGTGGTACAAGATTAAGAACGTTAACAGCGGGCTCTTGCTTGCCGTGCAAGGGGCGTCAACTTCCAATAGTGCGCAACTTCAGCAGTATCAGGACAATGGAACCGACGACCATCTCTGGCGGGTGCAGTCCAACAGCGATGGGTACTTCTTGATACAGAACAAGAACAGCGGGCTGGTGGCTGGAGTTGATGGAGAATCGACGGCTAACAGCGCCAATGTTGTCCAGTATCAGGATAATGGGACTCCGGACCATTTATGGAGCTTGCTTGCAGCTGTTCCTGCTAGTTGAGATCCAATCTCGGTCTTAGATTAGTATCATCAGAGAATCGAGTGTACATAACATAGGGTGCTGAGAGAATATATTTATATAATTTGCTCGCAATATCTGTAGCTAGAGCTGAATTCTTCGTTGCCATAATGATGAATGGTCACTGCCATATATGTGCCGATCCTAAGCCCTTGCTTGACAGTGGGAAAAATTGAGGCTGTAGAGAGTTGGAAGATGCTTGCCAAATATCGATGCCGTTTTGCCGAGAATTCTGTTTGTGTCGGGCTTATATATGGAGACAGCTGGAAAGATTTAGAATATATGGATGTCCGGTTTCGTTACCGTATTGGCCGGTATGAAATACTTTGGGTTATTCACATCTTGTGGTCTGGTGTCACCCGAAACTCCTAGTACGGGTTTCACCTTAGATTCAGTCAATAATCGAGAGATGAGCCAAATCAGGAGTTGTGAGGTTACAGAATAGATGGTTGCAGAACTGTGCGCTGGATTATAAAGCGTTAGCACGCTGCCAAGATTGTAGGATACACTCACAAAAGGTAGTCAAATGAAGTGACATTCACATTCTGGCCTGATGGATGATTATTATTTAAGCAGCCATGACGGCACTCGAGTGCCGCTAAATGATTAAAATACTTTGATTTCGAAAGCCTTTGAAGGTGGAAGACGAAGTGATCGTAAAACCACTGATATGAGTGGCCACCGCCAGATTCCTCCTCTATTGAATTAAGTCTGAGCTCATGACTAAGAAAAGGGGAGTGGTAGGTCACCAGTATCCAGATCAATTCCAACCATTACAGCATTTATGAATGGTGGGGAAAAATCAGGCAAGACTTATGTTTGTTCCATACAGTCTCCTGAAGATGGAGGTATTCTTATAGGAAGTTGGACCTGCAATCCCATTGTGATCAGAATGTAACTGGAATGCGATTTGCGCACAATTATGGGCGTATTATACTTAGATAATAACAGGGATAACAACAGGTGTAGAAGCCAAAAACTCAATCAGTAATACTCGAGCTGTGGAGCATATAAATAGGATAGGCTTCCTACAGATGGCATTCAAGGGGCCGCTGATTTAGGCAACAACCCAGTTGTTTCGCCTTTGTAATATAGGAGTAGAGGATGATATTCTTAGCTTGGCGCTAACCCTCCAGCTAATTGGAAAGGCCACTTAGCTCTATAGCAGAAAGCCATCTCACCTCATTGTGAGCGCTTCTTGTACGGGGGCGATTCCTTAGTACGAAAGATTATCTACAAGGACTTCTGCACAAAGCTTGATCAGTTGCGTGGTGGCAATGCCAGTGCGTATGATCCATCAGGTTATAATGCGAGCAGATACGACCATAGTTGGAGAATTCGGGATCTAGTCTTTTAGCACTTGGCCATGTTTTCAGAACTTCTATTTTCGGCACCCTAGCATTTAGTAGTATTAGCTAATCCAAGTCAACACCTTGTTATGTAGCCTCCCCGTCTATGCAAGATGTATTGTATACTATGTTCTATAACCTCCAAATCAAATTCCGAAAGTAAAAGCTGCGGATTTTGCTACCTCGCACCAACCGCTTGGCGATCTCCCGGGCCGGTGACCCGATAGGGACCCGTCAAATGGGCAAATGGAGAGCAAAAGCAAAAAGGGAATTCTATAGCTTTTGGCACACGACTATACTGTTATTTACTATTAGTCATAATATGCATATCCTTTTCAACAGCTGCTGCTGCTACTTATATTTTTTTTTTTGCTTCCATTACATGCAGTGTTTTATTATATTTGCTTTTACTAGACACTTGTATCCTAACCATACAGCATAATTGGACTCTTCTACTCCGTATAATTTTAGTGTTTTTTAAGCTCTCGTTTATCGTTCCCCCTTGCTCGTGTCATTAAGATACGAGCTCCGCTTTCTCCCCGCATAATCTGACTATATTTCGAGGTCAACTTCAAGTGAGCACAAGTAAGCGATGGAAGTTCTCTGATTGGTCCACTAGACTATCATAGAGCTCATTGTGCTGAACCAACAGTCGAAGCTTGAACAGTCAACTACCTACCTGCTGAAATTGGAGCGAGCTAGTACATGGTACCTTCCTTTCTTTTATAAGTGAATACTTATAGCCTGGTTTTATGTTGATTCTAAATAGCAGCCCATGAGACTTACTGGATATCGATCTTGCCGGAGTCATCCCGGACACCGCAACTTCAGAAATGCTTGAAGTTTAAACTAAAAGACATTTCTGGAATATACAAAGTATAAAGAGGGAGCTAGATTCTCTTTCGCAATTGGAATATTGGAAAAGACACCATCATTCACGACAACATCGACAAACCCGTCCCTTAAGCAACAGGATAGAAAAATCTCCCAGCAGTAGTATCCAATTTTCATTATGCTCTTCTCACGAGAATTTATCCCTACTGTCTTGGCCATGGCCATGTCTGTGATGCGTGCTGAGGCCGCTATTGCGGTCGGAACTGCCTCTGGTTTTAACGGTACGTTCTGTCTTCCATCTAATTTCACCACCGTAACATCTCTTTGAATAGCCTTACAAAACTAATACTTTATGTTTACTAGTTATGTGGATTGATGGTGGTGACCCTTGCCACTGGCACAGGATCAACGACATAGGCCAAAACCCGTGTAATGTCCCTCTCACCAGCCCGCTTGACAACGGGTACAAGTACACTCTGCAAGGCTGCGGTGGTCCTCTGTGGCTGGACAATGAGGATGGTTCCTTCAACAGCAACTGCCACGACGCGTCGGCCGATTTTGACTGCGGTGTGCACCGGAACTGGGTTTGCTCCTAGATCTCTTTTGCCTAGTGAGGGGGTATTTCAGGTTACATCCTAGATACTTGCTGGAGTTTATGCAATGAGAATATATTCTAATGGAAGAAGTGAATATCGAGTTATATTAATAGTAGGGATGTAAATATTAAGAAAGTCTTCGAATAAAGCACTCTTTCTTGTTTTTCATTATTTCTTATAGATTCTCTTAACTAGACTCGACATGAATTCTTGTTCTTAGTTTCCATATTTATAGATGCCCATTTTCTCCAACTATGTAAGCAAAGCTCTCAGACTTCCGTCAACCATTCAGGCGCTTCGCTGATAGAAAGCAACACCAGGAGAAAGCACGAGCTAATCATATGAGTTACAAGAAGCAAGTCCCTATAACGACTAGTCTACTTTACGATGGCCTAAACGTCAATGCATTCTCATAGATCTAACAAGTAGGTCTGTGCATGCTGTTGGATATCGGGGGTGACGATAAGAGAATGAATAGTTCAGAGGCATTTTACAAAGTGGCCTGCCTCTCTACTCTGCCTATGATAGTGGCATAAAATTACAGCGCTTATTTACTAAATTACAGCACACAGTTATTAAATTATAGTGCTTTTCATTAAATTATAGCATAGCCTTATTATATTAAAACATATATACAGAGTACGTAACTCAGTTGTTTCGGCACCTTGGTAGCGGAAAGGTTCGACTAATATACTGTTTCACACATATCTTCACTAGTGGATAGCTCAGCTAATACGTGCCTTATCAATAGACTTCTCTATAAAAAGACGCTGGCAGATGATATGCATTCGCAAGGTAAGCTTCTGGGTGATTATATATCTCCAAGAGCATTTTTAAGCGATTCTGATATCGTCCCGGAGGGAACTAACATTCAGTTGGACACTCTTTTCAACACCTCGCAACCGCTGCCTCAGTGTACGACCCAACTTCTCTTACATTATTCTACTATTCATTGACTCATTCAAGCGATTTACCAATGCTGCCCGCTTTTTTACATGCATATAAACTATTCATACTATGCTTCTATCTCAACTCGCATTACTCCGTGCACAGGGATAGGCATATGATATCACTTATCTATACGCCGCTAATACTATCGTCTACACGGCTAGTTTAATTACATATACATAATGTGGTATCGTGAAAATGTTGCATTGGCTGCGTTCTAGCTGCAAAAGGCTAGAATCCCGCGCTCGGTATGCTAACAGCTGTTGTGGCTGTTGTTGGCCACAATCACAGGCAGATAATTTGAGGCGCTGTGCCCCCCGCACCACGGCAGCGCATAGTAACGTCCACGAACCTATACCTATCAACCTTACCCTCAGCGTTCCAATAGCAGGAAGATAGGAAAACGGAAGATTTCGTCATGGATAACACTGGCTGTGGTCCTCTGAGGGTTCCTGGATTTGGGGATATACCCCTTGAAGAGGAGCTCAGATGTGAGGAACGATTCGCTCATGGCATCCGGGAATGGAAGCAAGTGCCTGCCGTGACCATGCGCGAGTTTGCCATGGTGGATGTGATGAACACATTGACTGATAAATTGGATTGGGATATCGACATATTTAACGAAGACATCGTCGCAAAGTGGCGTAAAGACGCTCTCGCAGCAACGCCCCTGATGAGTGAAAAAGCTTAGGCTTGGTGTGTAGCTGAGCTACGCGATAAAGCAAACGAATACAAGCAGAAACAATACGTCCGAGTCTTGCATACTGGATCATGCGTTTGCAAATCCAACATACTAGTTCCGGTGACACTCGGCGTTGATTTCAAATCTGAACTTGGACCACTGCTCCCAGTCCGAAGCACCGGCGACCAGATCTCCAACATAGTTGATCCGTCTCTATACCCGTTGGTCTACGGGAGAAGCCCAGTTCTACTAGATGGGGGAGAGGTTGTGTTGGAAGATGTTTTTGGCTCGTAAGACAAGGTAAAAACGGCACCTAAACATTTGGATAAACGAGTCGATTCTCTATCTCTTCAGTTCCATATAGAACAATGTCGAACTGACCCCTGGAGGGTCGCTTTCAATGATATTCGAGGTCTTGATAATGTCATGGCATATTTTTGGTCTTATAATTTCCAATGGCTTCCATGCGAAGTCAAGTTCATTGGAGACTCCGGAACTAATATGCAGATTACGTCTTACATTAACAATCTGCATCCCACTCAAAAGCGTCTGTATCGCAATTTGGAGAAGCTGATCTCACTCGCAGTCAAGCCTTGGAATGATTGCCTTATCAAAGGCAAACGAAGTTGGGGAGAGCGATATGGTAATAACAAGAGTCAACGAGGACCAGTGCCTCTGCGAATCATTACCTACGGTGTCGAGTGGGAAGATGATTTCCCGGAGTGGGCTTTAGCTTTCAACAGTGTTCGAAGATATCAGCTAGACAATTATCTCGCATCTGTGGAGCTATTACGTAGCAACCAAGAAAACACAGACGACCCAGATATGAGCAGGCGCCTTCGGATAGCTAAAAGAAACGTCAAGTTGTATCACGATATGGAGGGTGCGCAACCAATACCAGAACCAAGTCCCGAAATGTGGAAAATCTCTCTAGAGTATCTCCAACGTCCGGATATTGCTAGCGAACCTGGCGTTGTAATGGCTCAATCGTATCGCGAACACTCGGATATCGGATCCAGCACGTCCAACGTTATTCCTCAAAATTGGAAAGAAAACGCATATAGGCTATTGCGGAATAAAAACGACACGCTTTTGCGCTTCAGGCATCCTGAGCCAGGCATAGCATTTTCTTATGACGAATGGAAGTCTGGTACGAACGACGATAGAGCGGTTGTAGAAATGGTTACTGAGAGATTTGATAACCCTTGCCATTCACCTACAAATTCCTATCATGACCCATATGTTATTCAACTGGAAGAAACCTTTCGCAACCAAGGTCTCCAGGTTATCATTAAGATTAGTACTATCGAGCTTACACCAGAAAACCCAAAGTATCATGGTAGTACTTGGGAACTTGACAAGCTTCCCTCCTACATCTACAGGTACCCCACCTTTTGGGTGCCTAACCATTAAGAACCTCACTCCGTTTGACTTACTATTAAACAAAAATGCCTTTAATATTTACCTTTACAGCCCCCTTTAGGGACTTTAGAGAGATAGGAATATCTATAAACCCTTTAGATACCTAAAGCATAACCATTACCGTTGCCCTTAGGCCAGCGACAGTACTATAACCCTAGAAAAAGGCAACTCCTTTAATCCTAGAAATAAAGAAAACTACTGTACTCTCTTTTACTTTTAAAAAAAAAAAATGCTTTAAAGAAGACTTTAAAATAAATAATATATAATTATTTAGCTTTAATAAAGTAAAGCTAAGTATAATTATAACTATATAAAAACTATTAAAAGGCCTTACCTTCTCTATCTTCAGCAGCCTAAAGGAAGCTACTATACTTAATAAAAAGAGAAAATCCCTTATTAAAAATAAAATTATAAACTAAATTAAAGAGATTAATATATAGTAATAAGCTAAATAGAATATAATATTAAATATAGCTATAGCTATTAACTTCTATTTAATATAATATATTATTAAACCTTCCTCTGCAGTAGCAGAATAAATATAAGCTATCTTTAATACTGCCCTTAAAACCTTTATTGCCTTTTATATAAACCCAGCAAAAAGGCCTAAAAACCCTAAGAAAACAGGCAGTAATTTAAAAAATGCCTAACTAACTAAAACAGCATTAGCTAATATACCTTACAGCATAAAAAATAAATTAAATAGCCTAAAAAACCTTACTTTAATAAAAGCTCTTATACCTACTAGAAAAATAAACTATAAAAACGCTAAAGTTATATAAGTATAGGTTATATTATAAAATACTACTTATAATAAAAAACTATAAAAAAGCTCTAACTCCTAGAAAAACTTTACTTTTAATAATAAAAAGCTAACCCCTGCTGCTATAAATAAAGAAAATAAAACTATTAAACCTTAGAAAAAACCTAATAACTATATCTTTATTTAAGTTCTATTAAACTATATATAAAAAAAGCTAATAGCTATTAAGGTTAAATAAAAAATAATTAAAATAGTAAAGATTATTAATAAAGATATTACTTACTTTAAAGAAGTTTTAATAAGCTTTACCTTTAAGGTTAAAAATTAAAATATTAAAAGTAAAATTATTATACTTAAGCTAGAGGTAGAAAGTAATAATTTAAAAATTAAAAAAGTATATATATAAAAAATCTTTTTTTTATATAGTATATTAAAAATATATATAGATTTAAGTAAGATTTACTTTATAAATATACTAGTCCTAGAGGAGGTATATATTAAGTCTAAAGCTAAAGATCTTCTGGTGGCCTACTATAAAGCCCCCTTTAAAAAATCCTTAAATATATATTACTACTTTATCTTATTTAAAGAAGACATTAAATCTAGCTTTAGGCTATTTAATAACTTATTCCTAGCAGAAGCCTAGATCTAGAAACCTAGAATTATATAATGCTAATAGTGCCTTAGTTTCTATAACCTATAAAGCTATACCAGGACTAAAAGGTGTCTTAAGTACAGCAAGCCCTTAAATAAATATAATAACACTATTATTAACTGCCCTGCCCCTTTATAATACACTAACTGCAATAGACTGCATAAAGTAAACTCCTTTAAATACCCCGCTTAGCTAACTATAAAAGACAGTAAAAAGGTTTATGCTATTAAAGAATAGCTTAAGGTAATTAAAGACCTAAGACAGCAAGAGTTTACTAAAGCTAACCCCACTAAGCCTGCTTAAACCTTAAGCTCCTCCCTAATAAATAAATCTAGCATAAATCCTAAAGCCCCTTAAATAAAACTAAAAGTCTAGCTCCTATTATTAAACTCTGCTCCTATACCCTCTACTAAAACTCTTACTTAAACCCTTATAATTAAGGTTAACTTTAATAAAAAGAGCTCTTTAATAAAAAGCTCTTTAGCCAGGTTAAAGATTTATACAGTAAGGTTAGACAATAGCAAGGAGAAAAAGGATAAAAATATAAATAAAGCCTTAAATAAAGAAAATAAACCCTTTAAAATAAACTTATAAATAATAAGCTTTATTACAGCTACTAAAGAAAAACTAACTTTAAAATCTTTTAAGCTAATATTAAGAAGAATAGCCTTTATTAGAATATTGCTTTTTTATTAATATAAGAAGGTGGCTATAATATTATATTTATTTAAGAGCCCTATGTTAAATAGAATAAAACTTTAAACAGGAGGTAGATTAAAAATTACCCTGGATTTTAAGTATATAACCCCTTAAATAACTAAAGAAATACTAGACCTTTAGTCTTTATATTTATTAAAATCTTATTTAACCTCTTTAGTAAATAACTCTCCTCTTTAAGTCTAGAGAATAAATACATCTGCTGGGTAAAGGTTTATAGCTATATAATTATAAACATTTATTAAAAAGCCTTAAAGAATACTATAATAAAAACCTTTATTAAATAAAGCTCCTCCCCTCTTTATTTTATTATTATAGGTAACTTTAATGCTACTTATTAAACCTAGTAATTAAGCAGGAGACTAAATATAGCAGGCAATAAAATAGTAAAATAGGCTAATAAAAGTAATTTTCTTCCCTCCTTAGTAAACTCTTTTATAAAAGACTTAAAGAAGTGCATTAACTTTATCTTTATAAACTGCTTTACCTTATTATAGGTAAAATGCTTTTTAAATATAGGCTTAAACTATTATATAGTTATTACTACCTTATTAAAACCCACCTGCTTTACCCCAGGAGCTAGGAAAAAATACCTTCTTTTTAAATAATATAAAGCTTTTAATTAGCTAATGTACTCCTTTATATAAACTCTTTTTATAATTAACTTTAAAGAATTATTAAAAAATAATTTAAATAGCTGCACTAAAGCTCTTTAGAATTTCTTTAAAGATATACTAGAAGCTATAAGTAAAATAAAACACTAGAATAAATATAGCGCTCTTTAGTAGATTAAAGAATATAAGGCAGCCTATAGAGCGCTGGAAGTAAGCATTAAAGGCTTCTTTAAAAAAGCAGAAGCTAAAAAATAATTAAATTTTATTATTAAAAAAAGTAAAAAAGTTTATTAAAATAAAATTATTATAGAAGTAAGTATAAATAAAAATATTTAGTCTTTAATTAAATAGCAGAAAGCTACTAATTATTTTTAACCCCCTTTATTATTAAATAAAAATAAAAGTATCTTTAACTTTATTAAAAGGGCAACCTACCTTAAGGATAAGCTATTTAAAAAAAAAACTATAAAAGAAAATATTTTAAATCCTTAAGATAAAGACTTCCCCCTTAATAAAAAAATTAAATAAAATATAGAAATTATAAAGAAAAAAGCTAGAAAGGCTATTATAGGCTTTAGTAATACTGCTTTAAAAGTAGATAAAATATTAATAATACTTTTATAACTTGCTTAGCTAGTAGTTAATAACTTTATTATAGACCTTTTCTAAAGGTACTTAAGCATTAAATATTATTTACTTTCCTTTAAAAATATTAAAGTAATTATTATCCTTAAGCCCAGTAAACCTAAGAAGATATATATTATATATAAAAAATATAAACTAATTTTACTACTATTTTATATTAAAAAAGGGCTAAAAAGACTTTTTACTTAAAGAGTATTTTTACTAGCCTTAAAATATAAAAGACTATTAAAATAATATTTTAATGCACTCCTTAAATAAGCAGCATTAAACCTAATAGCCTGCTTAATTTATAATATTAAAGCAGCCCTTGCTAAAAGATTAATTACTTTATTGCTTACCTTTAATATAGCCAGGGCTTTTAATATTATTATATATAATAGGCTAGTTTTTAAACTTAAAAAATAAAGCTAGCTAAAGCTTTTTATTTTATAAGTAGACTTCTTTATAAGTAATTAAAAGGCATTAGTTTACTATAAATATAGCTTTAAGCTATAAAGCATAAGCTTAAAATATAACGCCCTATAAAGGTCCTCTATCTCCTTAATTATTTTTATACTATACTTCTGCCTTATTCTTTAGCTTAATAACCCTAATGCTAAATTTAACTATATAGATAATATAAGCATTATAGCTATTAGAAAAAATATAAAAAAAACTACTAGAATTTTATAGTAAAAACTAAAAGATACCTTAGACTAGGGCTAATAAAATATAGTATCCTTTAACCTAAATAAAGCTAAGCTAGTCTACTTCTACTATATATAGAAAAAGACCTATCTTAATAACATTAACTTTAAAGGCTAATTTATTTTTTTTTAAAACTTAATAAAATAGTTAAGCATATACTTAAACTTTAGGCTTTTATTTAAAAAGTATATTAAAGTTATAATAAAAAAAGCCTTAAAAGTAATTAACTTCTTAAGATCCTTTAATAAAATAATTAAAGGGTTTTTACTAAATGCAGTAGCTATAGTAGCTAAAGTATATATTATTTTAATTGCTTTATATAGGCTGGATATATAGTGGCTAGAGGAAACTAAATAATGCTGGTTAGATCTCTCCAAGACTACAAGCACTAATATAAATAATTTAATTAAAAAATTAAATAAAGCCTTTAAAACTATAGTTAAAGCAGTAGTCTTAATATAGAAAACTATTAACTTAAAAGTTATATATAGGGAATTAAGCTTTTTAAAGGCCTTACTGGCTATTATATAAGTAAGGGTTTAGATTAAGGCTAGGTTTATATATTTAAATAGAAACCACCCTATAAGTAAAAAAGTAAATAAAAAAGTTATAAAGGCTTTAATAATTAAACTTTAGTAAATAACCTTACTGACAGACTGTATAGTTAGGCCCTCCCTTTTTATTTATAATAATAGGGCTGTCCTCTTAGGCCTAGATTATTAAAGGTCTATAAAGAATAAAGCTGCTAAAAAATATATTAAACTCCTAGATAACCTCCTTAGCTTTACCTTTATTATATACTTAAATAGTTTATAAAATAAGCTAGATAATACTAGATGGGGAGTGGTTACTTTCTATAAGGCTTATGCTATTAAAATAAATAAATGCCTCTTTAATGCAGAGGTATATAATATAAAAGCAGTTAAAGCTTTTAAAGCAATTAAACTTACTAAAAAATATATTTAATTTAACTTAAATATTAAAAAGCTTATCTTTTTTTTAAATAATTTAGCAGTTATAAATAGTATTCTTAAACTTACCCTAGCTTCTATATAGAGAGCCTATATAGACTTTAGAAAAATAACTAAAGATCTTTTACTTAATACTATTACTAAGGTAGCTTAAGTGCTAGAATATAAAGATATTTGTGACGAACCGTACACTAGGTAGTTAGTATAGGGTAGATTCCCAAGGGATAAACCTAGAATGAGTTCTTCAGGTTTATGTTAGCGGATGGGTTAGGAAACCTATGGGCAATAATATTACAATAATAGTCACCAGTAGGGATTGGAAGTGCTTTTCAATCTATAGGTATAAAACTGTATTAACAACTGGCTATTTAAGTTATTTAAATAAGCGTAAGAATTAAACTTATATATTCAGTTAGTATCTTTAAATTGTAATAAATTAATATTAATTCCCATCAATCTTAAGTATACGTCAAGATAGATTAAATATAATTTATGTTAAGCCATTGCTAATTGATGCGCCAGGCCTAAGTTAATCCGGCAATGCCTACCCGGTAGGCCTATAGTTGCAACCATAAGAGTTAGGTTATAACACAATACTCCCCCTCTGTTAGTCTTATCCTCAAGACCTGGTTGTTTAGTATATAAGTACCCACATCCTTCCTGGTAAGTTATTTTCCTTCTCCATATTCTTCTTCCAGTGTTCATTATGTCTTACTATATCCAGAAATCGAAAATTCCTGATTCTTGGAAATGAAAGAAAGTTGACAAGAGTGTAGCACTTGCTGCGTCTATTCTTTCTCATCCTACCGAAATGAAGCCTTTATTTATTCTCATGCTTGTTCCAAACTTGTCTTCTATAGTGGATATTCCTTAAGATACTGTTGTTTTTCTTCTCGTTTTTCTTCTTCTTCTGCCTATGCTCCTAAAACATACATACAGTCGTATTCTTTATCCATTAAATCACAGATATCGCATCCTTTGCAGTCATAATCAAGGTCCTAAGAGTAACAGAGATTACATTAATATATATAAAATAGAACTAATCTATCTAACCTTTATAGTTTCTTACAATAGTGGTTTATATTTTATAAATAACATTATAGGCATTTATACATTTTTCTATTAAACTCTAGGCAAGTTTTATTATATTATAGTTCTTAAAAACTGCATTAATAACATTTATTATTATTAATGTCGTCGCTGTTATATACATTTTTAAAAGTAGCTTTATATTTTATAAAGGGGTATATATTTTTATTATAGATAATATTATCTTTACTAGTTTTTTTATTTAAGAGTTTTTATTCTTTTATAAATTATACTTTTCTTTATTCTTTAAAGTACTCCTTAGCTAATTTATCTTCTTCTTTAAAGAGTTTGCATATGGCTTTTATGTTTTATTGCCATTTGCCTTTGCAACTGTATTAATATCCTTCTATAGATCTGCAGTCCGGGCATCCTTGGCATTTATAGTCTAGGTTTTATAAGTAGCAATTATTGCAGTTATAGTTTTCCTTCTATATTACTGCTTATTTTCTATTACACTTATAAATAATATTAGTAGATTTACAGTATTTACAGATTAATTTTATATTAAAATTTAAGTTTTTATTATTAAATAGCTTATAGGAGGTTAAAGTATTAATTTTAACTTTCTTCTAAGGTTTTATTTTTTTTAGTTTTTTTAGGTAGTGTTTTAATCTATCCTTATTACTTCTATATATAAGGCATGCATTATTATAACAGGCAGTTTAACTAAGGCTGTTGTAGGGTAGTTTAGTAATAGTGTTTATTTAGGCTTTATTAGCCTTATTATTTCATTCAGGGCTTTTTCTATTTCCTTCTTGCTTTTTCTTAAAGTAGCAATATACTTCCTTATGGCCTAGTTTACTATAGAAATAATATTTTCCTTTAAATTTAATTGCTTTAATAGTGTTAAGGTTTATTTATCTAGGTTAGGTTCTATTGTCTTTTATAATATATTCCTTTTGTTTCTTGCTTTAGTTTATATAATATTAAAATTTTTATTAAGAGGTTAATTAATAGCTATATTTCTTTAGTTTATATTTTTGGTTTCTTTTAAAGTTATAGTTATTAATGTTAATAGCCTTTTAGGTATATTTAATAAATTCAATTTTACTCTGATTTTCCTTAAATAATTTATCTTTAACTTTAGACTTAATGCTATTATAGTAAACTTCTTTCTTTATTTCTTTAGTCTAGTTAACTTTAGTAAGCAGGTATAAAAAGGTAGTAATATACTTAAATAAAGCTTTTTTTTATTATAGAAACCTAAGTTCTCTTTCTGCTTTTTATTTTTTATTTATAATTCTAAAGGATTTTTTTAATTAATCTTTAAAGGTTTTATAATTGCTAAAAATCTTGCTTATTTAAATCTTCATTTTAGTGGGTTTTTTTTTTATAGCATTATAGTTTATTAAAATAGGCCTGAACTATTTAGCAGCAGTTCCCATAAGGCAGTTAACTGCAAAGAGGACTTGGTCCTTATTGTCTCCTAGGTTAATTAAAAAATAACTAAAATAAATGTCTAATTCAGCAAAGAATTTATTTATCTTTAAGGTATCTCCGTTAAAGTCATTAAGTCGCTTAAGCCTAAGGATTTCTCCTTTTTCCTTTTTCTTATTCTTTAGTTAATCCTCTAGCTTTTTAATTTATAAAAAAAGTAAATTAATTACTATTTACTTTAAAGTAAATAGTAGATATTATTCTTAAGTTTCCTTATATATAAAAGTAGTTCCTTACTAACTATTACCTGCTATATTTTTATTATTGCCTATAGGTCTAGTAATTATTTAAACAAAAGTTATTAACATATAATAAACCATACACTAAGTAGTTAATATAAGGTAAATTCCCAAAGGATAAACCTAAAATAAGTTCTTTAGGTTTATATTAGCGGATGAGTTAGGAAACCTATAGGCAATAATATTACAATAATAATCATCAGTAGAGATTAAAAGTGCTTTTTAATCTATAGGTATAAAACTATATTAATAACTAGCTATTTAAGTTATTTAAATAAGCATAAGAATTAAACTTATATATTTAGTTAATATCTCTAAATTGTAATAAATTAATGTTAATTCCCATTAATCTTAAGTATACATCAAGATAGATTGAATATAATTTATGTCAAGCCATTGCTAATTAGTGCGCCGGGCCTAAGTTAATCCAGCAATGCCTACCCGGTAGGCCCATAGTTGCAACCATAAGAGTTGGGTCGTAACAATATTTATAATAATAAAGTAGTAAATAAACTTATAAAAAAAAAGTTAAAGCTTCTAACACTACCCTTTAGGATTGCTATAATAATCTATATTAAGAGGTAGGCTAGAAGCAAAAGAAAAAGGCTCTAGAAACTAGATTAAAATTAAAACCAACTGCTTTATTATAGATATTGATAACTAGACGCCCTCCTTAAACTACTAAAACTACAGTTACTAAGGGCTATACTTTATAGGCTGTATATAAAAAAGATAAAATACAAAGACTTTATAAAGTACTATAAAAGGTTTAAATATAACACTAGGCCTACCTATAAATGCAGTAAGCTAAAAATATAAGGCTACTTTATAAAATGCAGAATAGTTAAACCCTTTTTATTAAAAGTCCTTAAAAAAGACCTTTAAATAAGCATTACCCCCCTTACTTACTTACTAAAACCTAAAGAATATAAATACTTTTAAATATTAGTAAAGAATATAAGCCTTTATAGCCCTGCCCCCTAAAATATAGATTAACACTAAAAACTTTCCTTTGTTTTATATAATATATAGTAAATACAGACTCTAAACCTATAGCTCCTACTGTCCTATTGCCCAGCAGGGATTTATGTAACTAGCTTATTTAATAGATGTTAATAATAAAACAAACAAATAAACTTGGGAACTTGAAGGCCAAATGAACGAGCACATTGTTGCTGCGGCTGTGTATGCTTATGATGTTCATAATGTAAGTGAAAGTCGGATTACATTCCGCCAGGAAACGGATATGGCTGCAAATTTCTATCAATACGGACCAGACATCAATCAACAAAGAGATGGCAACGTATGGAATCAGCCAGCAAAACGATATGGCAGGTCATCAGTGGAAGTGTCAGCTATTGGGGAGATTTTTGGATTCACATGGGATCAGTTGTTAAGGGATATCATTGATGATACCCTACCTCTCCAGGAGATTGGCCGCCTCACAATGCCGCAAGGTAGGTTAATTGCTTTTCCCAACACGATGGAACATCGGAGAGAGCCATTCGAGCTATTGGATCCTACTGTCTCTGGCCATCATCGATATGTAACTCTTCTGCTTGTTGATCCTAATTACCGGATATGCTCAACCAGTAATGTTCCTCCGCAGCAACAGGACTGGTGGAAGCACCGTACAAACGATGGCTTGATGGGTACCCATGGTTCTCCAGGAGAAACGAGGGACCATCGTGGGCCAATGGACCTCTCGGAAGCAGATGTCTTTTGGCGGGACATGATGAAAGAGCATACATGGAAGCAACAGGCAAGGTATCATTTAATGAAACCTAACCTCTTTGAATAAAGGCTATTTTAAATTTAGAAAAAAATCACAGTTTATAATGAGGTCTGAAAACCATGGTCTCCTAGTTGATAACTGAAAGGATGACGAACGGGTAGTTAATGTCAAAATTAATTAGGGAATGAGATAAATGTGCTAATCTTCATTTAGCCGACGGTAAAATTGTACGTATTCGAGAAACTGAGAATGAAGAAAATATTTATGTCGTTGCTAGCAATCAAGCGATCCGATCTTATAATATAATACTTTTGAATTGATGAATACACGCCTGAGGATCAAATTTACCTAGAAAAGTAATCAAGTAATACATGTCCAGTACTACATTAAGCTTTAGAAGGTGCGGTTGCCGACGCACAATATGATGTTTCAAAAGCAATTACAGCTCCTGAAGAATGGGAACGTCACAAAAGGACCATCGAGTACCTATACCTCAAGCAGAATCTTTCTCTCACGGAGACCATTACAGAAATGAGAGCAACGCACCAATTCCACGCAACGTAAGTGTCATATTGCTACCGTCGATATGCAATGAAAAATTGCAAAGTCTCCATCTAACATATGTCCAGAGAGAAGATGTATAAAGACATGTTTAAGCAGTGGAAGTGGTCCAAGAACTTGCCAAGGGGCATGGCTATTGGCATACTCAATATGGCTAGACGGAGGCAGCCAAAGGAATCCATCTTTCAATGGGGTAACCAAACGTGGAACATGGCAAATATATCGATCGGCGGGATCTCAATAGCTTGGAGGGTGAATTTTCCTCGTGCTCTCCCACAGCTATGCGAAAAGTGTAGTCAGGAATCACGCAATTTAACGTCACATGCAAGATTTTCCCACGCATCAAGATGTGGTCTGTAAGACTCCAGAAAACACTAAGGCTTCTCAGAATCTGAGCGCTTCAAAGAAAGCTCAACAACAGGATAGTAAATATGGACCGGCGAGAGGAGCTGCTACTAATGGTCCCGGGAGTGTAAGTGGGATCATTGACGAGGGACCGTTCCGCCCAAGCCCCAACCAGTCCTCTGCTAAAGATCCGAACCTTTCTGTCAAAGCATCTCTGGAAGCTGAAACAGATGATAATGGAGGAGAGAAAGAAGAAGAGGAATTGGGATTTAAAGATGCGTCGTCTTTCTCCAGCCGTCTACAATCACCCACCCATGTAAAGACAAACGAGATTGGGTATAAGCTTGCTTCCTTCTATGCTACAAAGATACGCTTTGCTGACCGCTATGACATTCTCGTTTGGATGACCGGCAAGCACCTTGGAGATATTGAAGGGAGACATCTTGAGACCATGGAAAATGTATTTCGCATCATTTCTCTCCTTCGCCACCGGCTAGGAAAAGAGGAAGGTGATCTACCAATCTATCGTTTCATAGAGCGCCTACGAAATCCAGTGGAGCATCCTGCTATATCACAAATTCTCATTGGACTTGAAACTGTTTCGGAAGAGATAATTGAGGAGTTGCTAGCTCCAGGTGATGAGGGCTCTCTCTCCCTCTTCCTAGTTGCCCTAGAAGATCTAGCCAGCGATTCTCAAACTCACGAATTTCTCCAACGAGTCATGCCTCGAATAATTGAGAAATGCGACGGCTTCCAGCAAACAGAGAGCAATCTTGCCATTCATTCCAGATGCATCCTAGCAGAGATTCTGGTAGACAGCGCACAACACGAGAGAGCCAAGAGTGTCTTGAGAGGCACCGGGCGACCCTTGAAGAACAAAGTTGATTCCAAGTCTCTGTTAGAACTTCCGACTATCAACTTGGTTCGGCGCGTAGCCATCACCTTCTTGAGAGCAAATGATCTAGAGATGTGTGATAAAGTGATAAAGCGAGTGGTAGCGATATTCGACACTGGTTTCGCAGCCGAAAAAGAGAGCTTCCACTACCTAATCTTGATTGACTTCCTTATCTCTACAACATTAGAGATCCAGAAGAGATACGAATGGGAACGAAGCCGCCCTTGGGTTGAGCGAGCTCTTTCTTTATCTTACTCTCTATTTGGTCTAAATCACTCACGAACGAAGCGGATAGAAAAAATGCTTGAAACCCACAAGGTGGAGCAACTGTTTTCGGTGACAACTATGCGCGCCTTGCTCAACTATCTTTGCACTTCAAATACGTCTAATGCCTGATTTGCACTGGAGCAATAAGCAAAGCAGTATATGCAGACTTTGCAACTGGAAATACTACATTGTTATAACCAGAGAGCATATGGGCGAGCTAACAGGATTATACTCTAAATAACGGACAAACATTGTATATTCTAGGCCTTAAATACCAATTCATCACAGTTAGTTGCTGCTATTCATTATGTAATGAAGAATAATTGTTAAGTAATGCTAAAAATCTACCTCACGCTGCAGTCCCTGTGGGTTTTGATCTCAGTTGCCATCTCACGACGCTGCCAAGCGTATGCCTTAGCCGTCATCCAAATTTTGCTCCCTGGTCTTTAATTAGACGACGACAATACGTAAAATTTACTCTGTATCTCTTAGGAACCAGAAGGGAAAAGAGCGGTTGGTGAGGCATCAGTTAAGCGCGCGACGTAACAGATCCATCAATCGACTATAGATTTAGGACTCTGCTGTGAGAGTAGTCGTATTACTAATAACTACCGAAGAAGATGAAGCAAGATTTAGCTTGGGTGCAGCCTCGGTCCTAGATCAAAGCGCTATACGCTTGGGTTCAACCCGTCTGCTGCTGATCTTCTGATTAGCAAAACGGTTATTCTTACGATTTAAACGAAATATTAGCAACTAAATAGCTGAAATACAATGAAAAGGCTAAGGTAGAAGGCACCATGTTGCAAAAGACAAAAAAGGGTCAAGTTCCCCAATATCTGTGTTCATAGATGCTAAATTCATGGCAACAAATTTTATCAAGACAGTTCTTTATGTTGAGTGCGTAATACTACCATGTAACAGATGTAAAATCGAATTTGAAATTTAGAGAGCCATTCACTAGACTAATTTTTTCTCTCTTTTAGTCGCAATATTTTAGTATAAGGTTTCCAGACTCTCCGGGCGTGGAGACTTAAATCCCAGTTTGTTCTTTGCCTTTGAGATCCAATACTTCCTGTTCCTTTGTTCCTTGCCTTTGACATCCGAGACGGTAGGTCCAGAACATTCATCAGCTTTACTGTCCTCTTTAATATTCGTTTGTTCATCAGCTTTACTGTCCTCTTTAATATTCGTTTGTTCATCAACTTGGCTGTCCTCTTTAATATTCGTTTGTTCATCAACTTTACTGTCCTCTTTAATATTCGTTTGGGATAATTTCGTGCGTATTTTCTTGATCTCCACGAAGACTTTGTAATCGCCTTCAGGTGTTACCTCTCTCGATTCACTTCTGTATATTTCTTGGGTGGTCTCAATAAAAGTCCCGTCTCCCTTGCCACCAAGTCCCCCCAATGGTGGTTCTCCCAACAGGCTATGCAGCTGAGAAGCTATTATATCAGGGCTTTCGCTGATCAATATCCTCGGCCTCGCGCTTTTAACAGAGGGAGGTGAGATAGGGGGCCCCATGCTGCTGGAGTTATAGACAGATTCGAAAGAATCATTGTATGATGTCGCGCTCCTCGGTGGAGTTACTGGCCGAGAGCTGGAGATGGCTGCTTTCCGCTGTACTTTCCATCTGTTAAGCGCTGCAAGTGCTTCTTCGCGATGATAATTTGCGCAGTGTGTAAGAGAGATAAATCTCTGCATGTCATCATAGAAGTCATTGGTGTCGACACATTTTGTCATAGCTCGGAACTGAGACAAGAGGTCATTAACTTCATTAACTTCATTCTTCTTTTGAGCTATGCGGTTTTTGCACCGGTCTTTATCTTTCGTTAATGCCCGACATATTCTGAAATTAGGGTCATTAAAGTTTAGAGGATAGTCGATGCCTTTCAGTATTGCGGCAAGCTCTCTAATAACTGGTGGGTCCATTACGGCAGTCATATTGAAACAAGATAGTCCATTAACTACGGTTGTGACCCGCGTGTTCTGAAAGAATGAATGGGAGGGGTTATCACTTGTTAATAAATGGATGGGGGAGCTGGGGGCTGTGCCCGATGAATAAGGAATCGCGTTCATATTGGTTGCTGATATGCATGTTGGCTGTTGGTTTCCCGCACCGCACGTGTTCGTGGGTGCCGTGCAGTGAGGTATCGATATGCGACTGATGATAGGGTAAATCCATCTTGGTACTTAGCAAACCCATTTAACTAATCAGAAAAAGGCAGCTCACTTCGGGGGACTGAATACGGGATAACCCAGCACAATAGGACCTCCGTGTTGATTGCGACGGCCTGCCCGTGATTGGCTCGCTCACTATCGTTTCCTTATTGGGAGTGCTGCTTCGTCATTGCGTAAATAATTTCATGATTCTCTGACTATTTTTAGACATCTCAAAGCGTGTCTATTGTCTCTAATACTCTTGAGTTAATTCTGAATAACTCTTGTATAAGGAAGCATCTCTTACTAGAGTGGAACTCTGGGACAATCCAAGGAATAGATCCCAGATTCCTTTATGAGGGAAAGGCAGTCTTCGATATTTTAGTTGGTAGAGCAAACATGCAAACCAAAAATTTAAATACGCATGCAGAGAGTCTCATCCAATGAGACATATTGTTCCAAGCTCACATTGTCACGATGAGTGCCTATTCGCCATAAGAACAGTTCAGCAATCATGTCAAGTGCATTCCTTCTCGCCGAAGCTGCCCTAGCACGTTTGACAAAGCATTCAATTTTTAGGAATATTGAGCGTGTGTATATATTTAGCCATATTCGGCGATGAATTTGCCAGTTGGCCGAAAACACTGATGCCGAGGTAGTGGCCACCGCAGCAGTTAAGATGCACATGAACACATGCACGCCATTTCCACATATTGCGCACCACATATCCTACTCCCACATCAAAACCTGATGCTGAATCCATTTCTCCTGTTCCTCCATAATTGCCTGTGCGGAATCCCGAAGGTAGTACGGCCCGCACCCGCCGAAGCACACTAAGTGTCAAAACGGTCATCAATGATACCTTAATCAAAAGTGTTGTTGGTTCGACCCTGGTTCAGGCAGGCAGCGCCTGACCAAATATAGATTACAGAGGAGGCATTTAATGAAATTTAGACATTAAAAGGCATAGCCCATATGCAGAAAGTCAGAAGCAGAATCCTTCAAGGCTGCCTGGAGTCCTACCCCCAACCTTGCTCAGCAAGTTCGAAAGTCCTACCGTCTCTGGTTCTCGCCCAGCTCTCTGTCTTTTTTGAGACCTCGCTGCTCCTTGTCTTGTGCGGCGATAGCGATTTCAGGACTTGTTCTGCAAACTAGTTGTGTTGCTCATTCGTGGCATTCTTACGAGCAAATTCTTTGGATTGTATTTTCGGCTGGCAACATATTGATGACACTCTGCGATTGCTGCAATTATTACCGTGTTGGATATTCCTGTCACATGCTCTATGCCTTCTTTTGCTTTCACAAAAATCTAATAAATATTGCGACATTTGTTGTCAGTGGTCATCGCCTTTTTTCTTCTTTGGTTTAGGCTACGGAAGAAGGAGAACGAGAGTCGACTAATGCAAAATCCTTGGGAATCATGTAGGTGCCTTTGCTCTGCAGTAGATACGTACCTTTCTGCAATATTAGTCATTGGTCGCATTTTCTGAAGCAGAGCAGTTCTATCTGGCTGAGGATTGAGTTGACCTTGTTGGTGATGGTGAATGTATTAGAGCTGCGTGGCAATATGAGCTATGTATGAAAAGCAAATTCTGAGCGAATGAACACCCTCTGTCATTTGACCTTGATCCTATGTGCCTCTTTTATCTCTCTGCTTCTGCTTCTGCTACTGATCCTATTACTTTTATTCGTTCTAGTTCTACTACCTATGCCTTTTTTATTGCTCTGCTTCCGTTTGTTGGAAGGAACGAACATTGATACGTTCATCATTTAGAGTTTGCTTATGTAAATTGACCTATATAGGAACTTCGTGTATGGCACACTGTACAGAACGAACCTAGACTTCTAGATAATTCCAATGCACTCTTTTACGTTCGTTTTCTTCATTCTTCAACACCGTTCAGGTGCTGGTCTACTAGGAATTTGGTGCACATCCCGTGTATTCCAATGGATATGGACATCAAGAACACCCTGCTAAGTGCCACCAATAATTTTCTTGGCCTGACTGGCCAATGGATAGGCTCTTGCCATCTGCTACATCTCAACTAGTGCTACCTGATCTATACTTATCCAGACCATCTACACCCCGAACGACCGGGGAGAAATAATTTTTAGTATTCAATATGGCGGCTACCGGCATTTGAATAAGTGAATTGAGACAATCAGAGGCGTACTGAATTGCGCCGCTGGTTAAGGGCAAACGCAGAGGGAGTAAGACAATATCGCCACATGGTTATAGGGCCGAAGCTCGCGGGAGGCAAAGGTGGATGGATGACAGCGCTATTACTTAAGGCAATAGTGCCTTCTTTAAATACCTGTAATATAATTCAATGCCTTAGGCTTAGTATTTATCGGCGGAGAGGTGAGTTTGAGCTAATGCCAGGAAGAACGCCAGCTGTCGGGGCTGGTGGCTGGCTGAAGCGCCTGGAATGTAATGACAAGATTTCTATTCAGGTCTGCTAAAGGATACATTGACGCTAGTCATCGGGCCTATTAGTATGCAGTCTCCATTGCTCCAGACTCAGCCTCATATGCTTGTTCTGCAGCATGTGATTGGGGGATGAAGCAAGAGTACGGCATTACACGTGAATATCATAAGTTCAGAGGGTTCCGACTTGGCAGCTTCATCCTTGGGTTTCTGGGTAGAAGCTTATCCAATAGAACAAGACTTGTGATAGATGGGAGTAATTGGGTAATAACCAGACGCAGACAGCATCTGGGAGACAATATGCTATAAATAGCACTTAATCATAGACTAAGGAGATTGGTAGGAATATATAATATTATTTAGGCTTTCTTATAGAGCATTTATATTTTATTATTTTTAGTATATCATTATTCCAAGTAGGACTCTTAATTCCTTCTGTAATATAGCTGAAGACAGGACAGTGTATTTTGTTTACTATAACAAGGTGGCTTTTCTTACCCCCACACTTTCCCCCTTCACTAACCCTCATCTACCGATCATCTCGGATAGCGGCTGCTCGGGATACTTTACATGCGATTAACTTTGCACTATACTACATACATAGCCACAAGCACCCCGGGTACAGCGTATGTTTTGCGCGGAGAATCTTTTAACGCGGAATTCCCGACATTCAACTCAGCCACCACTGTTCTGTAACTAATAAAATAGGACGCTGGATTATTGAGTACACCTGTAAATTGTTGCTCAACTGAATCTTTCGACACGGAATTACCGACATTCAACTCAGCCACCACTGTTCTGTAAATAACTGATGAAATAGGACGCTGGATTGATGAGTACACCCGTAAATTGTCGCTCAACTGAGTGTAGCCGAGATCCTTCCTCGCCATTGCCTACGAGAATGTCCCCAAGGAAAGCCATGTCTCGCCACACATCATCACAATTCTCCGTTTCATCTCAATAGTATTATAAACTTTATAGCAAGCCACAGTAGGTAATGGTTGGATATTTTGCTAGGATAGAATGCCATGTTCAGAAAGCACATACCAGCAACTTCATGTATAAATAAAGGGGCATGTCCTCGATGAAATGGAAATTATCAACAACCATCCTCACACTCGTCAACAAAGCATCCAACATTCTTAACACAACACCACTCTGCTCTTGCAAGCTGCCAAAATGTTCAGCCTTCTCCTCAAGTCTGCTGCCATCATGACTGCCACCATGGCCCTCACTTCCTCCGCCGCTCCCCAGTGCAAGACTAATGCCGACTGCCTCTCTGGCTTCATCTGCGGCCCCAGCGACATTGGTACCTCCACTGATAATGTGTGCGTCAAGACTGGAACCTGCAACAACAAGCCTGATCCTCAATTCCCCAAACTCGGACCAAAGTGCGGCGATTCGATCTTCTGCAACGTCGGTGGCTACTGCGGGGAAGGATATTATAAGTCGGGCGGTGACACAATCCTTGCTCAAGTCTGTGTTAACGCTGCCACTGGCGCTAAATGCGCTCAGACTTAATGTAACTAGAAAACCCCAAGAGGCTGTGCACGGGATGCCTTATTAGTCAGCAGCGTCTGCTATAACACACCGCTGTATATTTCTTCTAGCTGCCCCTATAGCTAATGTATCTTTCTGTGCTGCTGCTTTTATCTCTTACTATATACATTTTTGCTCCTCTTCTATGGCCTTTTAAATGGCATTTGCTACAGGTAGATAATTTTTTTTGCTAGTTCCCTTTCTAGCTCTTTTCCCAGCTTTCTTTCCAGCTCTCTTTCTGGCTCTCTTTCCGGCTCTTCTGGTAGGTATAGCAGCATCTCTTCTAGTACTAGCAGCTGTTTGTTGTAGCTGATGTAGCCGGCTTGTCGGCGGGTTTTGCGGCTGTTACAGCTTCAGGCAGCTTGGCGGCTAGCTTTGCGGCTGGCTTTGCGGCTTGGTTAGATGATTACTGTCTATATAATAATGAAATCGAGCTTCTGATCGATGTCGAATAACCCAATCGCCATCGCGATTTTCAATAACCCAATCGCCATCGCGATGTTCTATGACGTTTATTAAAAATTAACAGCCTTTGGAAAATTAATTGCAAAAAAAAACTATTTTCCATTGAGGAAGACCAATGTGTATAATAAAATTAAATCTTTAAATAATATATTATAACCACCAATTTTTGCAAGATAAGTTAAATCAAGCTCCAATTCCTCTCTTGATAGATAGGTTTGTTCAAAAGGAAGATCCATTATAACATAGGCATTGATGTAAAGAAAATAGCTATAGGGTGCAGGTTTAATATTCATCTGGAAACACTACGAATTAAAGCGGGAGACAAAACGGTGAAGTAGACGTGCACTTAACGATACTGAGTCAAAAATGGCGAAAATGGCAAAACCTTGGTTTAGGTTTAAGTCACGGTAGAAATCCCGTTGCTTTTTTGCCCCGTTTCAATATCAAATTTTCCTTGGCTCAAAAGCGTTGCGCTGATGTATGGTGTGGCTATTGAGTGGTTGTGTTAGGAATGAAGCAAAGGAATGAAGTAATAGTGGGGTCTTCTCCAGATCCCATCAAGTTCTACAACGCGATTCAATGTCTTCTATTTCTGGCTCCCTTGGCTTCCAAAATCGGAATTACCCAGCTGCTATTTTGTTCTTCTTTTTTTTTTTATAAAATGAAATTTCAAGAGTCTGACCTTAGTTAACCACAAAACATGGAGCCTTTGCTATTTTCACTCCCTCAAAAATACCCTTGCCACATCCGCCTCCCCTGACGCTACATGTCACATCTTAAAGCATCGATTCTATCCTGACGAAGGCTACACACAGGTTCCCTCCAAAGCAACTTTTGTTCCTTGGTTACCTAATGGAGCTTTTGCCGCGTGATGCAAAGAACTAGGCCCTTCGTCAGCATCGTAATTTACATCTCGCCTGAATCGCCACAGCGTGTGCACTTATAAGCAAGATACTTGGAAATTAGCTCTTTAACGACTAGAGACGGCAGGACTATTGGGTTATAATGAGAATAAGCAGGGCACCGGGACGTTCCATGATTGTAATGCATAGCGGTGTACTGTGTCTGCGCAATGGTAACTTGCATGCATACAATACCCAAGAGCGGGGTTGGCGCCTGATGCGGTGCAAGGCTGCAATAACAAGGCTCGCTAGATGTTGAGAGAAACAGGCCGCATCAAGTCTATCAAACCAAATGCAAGCCAGCCTTCACTGCCTAGAAATAGTCCTGCGTACAAACACCGGACAGCTCTCAGTCCACTGAACGAGTACCTGCCGCGAGAGCCCATCCCATCGTCCCAACCGCCGGTCCCTGCAAATGGCCCGCCGCGAAGACTTCGAGATCGCGATAGTCTGCGGCTTGCCGCTTGAGTACGATGCCGTCTCCCTCATTTCCGATGAAGTTTGGAAACAGGATAGAGAGAACAACGACTGCAAGACAGGCCGTATTGGCGAGCATAATGTTGTCCTGGCTCTGCTTCCCGGCATGGGTAAAGCAAGTGCCGCGAGCACAGCAGCCAACATCCGTTGGAGCTATCGCCATGTACGGCTTTGCTTTCTTGTTGGGGTCTGCGGCGGTGTGCCCCAAACTGGCAGCAAGGAAATTCTTTTAGGTGATGTAGTGGTTGGCAAGGCCATTGTCTCATACGATTTTGGCAGGCAATATCCCGACGGGTTTACGCTTAAGGATGGCATCGAAAGCAATATGGCGAAGCCGGACAGATATATCCGCAAACAACTAGCTGTATTTGAGACCAGCAATGGCTGTCTCCGACTTCAAGAAGAGATTGCCAGTTTCCTCAAAAAGCTTCAGGCCAAGGCGACACAGCAGGGGTGCGGAACGAAATACAGTTATCCTGGAACGGACGAAGACAGGCTTTTCATGCCAGGGTATCGCCACAAACACCATATATCACCTACATGTATCTGCAGTAAATGCGAGAAGGGATCCGACCCCGTATGCGAAGATGCTGTCAAGTCCTCGTGCCATGATCTAGGATGTGCGGAGCAATACCTCGTTCCAAGAACGCGGCTTAAGAGGAAGCGGGAAGGCGATATTAAGAAGGCTCAAGATCCAGCCATCCACATTGGAAGTGTTGGATCGGGAGACAGAGTTCTCAAATCTGGGGAACATCGTGATAGCATTGCCAAGCCAAAAGGCATCATCGCCTTCGAGATGGAGGGCGCCGGGATCATGGAAGAGATTCCTTGCGTGATAGTCAAAGGAGTGTGTGATTATGCAGACTGCCACAAGAGCAAGAAATGGCAAGACTTTGCGGCGGCTACTGCGGCCTCTGCGCTACAGGCCATCTTGGGATACATACCACCAGCCAAGAGCCAAGTCCCGCGACAAGGCCACTTCCTTGTCCCGTTTGGGCGGAACGAAAGTTTCACCGGGCGAGAAGACATCCTGCAGCGGCTTATCATGAGAACCAACCCAGGTGCTAATAAGGACGACTGCCAAAGGACGGCCGTCGAAGGCCTCGGAGGCATTGGCAAGACGCAGATCGCGCTTGAAGTCGCGTTTCGCCTTCACGACGCCTACCCCGACTGCTCCATCTTCTGGGTCCCGGCCGTGGAAGCCACCGGATTCGAGAACGCCTACCGTAAGATTGGCCAGAGCCTGGGGGTAGCAGGGATCGACGAGGACTCGGCCGACGTGAAGACTCTCGTAAAGGCTGCTTTGAGCCGCAATGATGCAGGAGCATGGCTGCTGATTGTTGATAACGCTGACGACACAGATCTCGTCTGTGGTCCCACAGGAGTATTTAGATCTCTTCCATTTAGTAGGATGGGCTCGATTCTCTTTACGACGCGGAACCATCAGGCTGCAGTCGGGCTAGATATTCCGGAGACCGGCGTCGTCCGTATACCCGAAATGAACCAAACGGAAGCAACCGAGCTGCTACAGAGGAGCCTGAAGAAGAGTCAGACACAGGATGCCGCAAGCTTGACGAGCCTCCTCGATTTCCTCGCTTACCTGCCTCTTGCAATTAAGCAGGCGTCGGCCTACATGGCTAAGACAGGAATGGCGATATCGAGATATCTTCAGCACTGCCGGTCTAGCGACAAAAAAATGATCAAACTGTAGAGCAAAGACTTCGAGGACCGCGGCCGCTACAGCGGCATCGAAAATGCAGTGGCCACGACCTGGTTAATTTCCTTCGAGCAAATCTCGCGGGATTACCCACTTGCCATACAGTACCTGCGATCTATGTGTTTTCTTGCCGAGAAGGAAATCCCTGCATCCCTGTTGTGGACAGCCGATGATGAACTGGAGGCGGACGAGGCGATCGAAGCGCTGAAGGCGTATGCATTCATCACCGAACGAGCAGGCGAAGAGCTGTATGACATGCACAGACTTGTCCGATTAGCAATACACAGTTGGTTAGAAAATGATGGAGACTTTAAGTCATGTGTTACAGCTACACTATATCAACTCGACAAAGTGTTTCCTTTTCCTGAACATAAAAATCGGGCTGACTGGGTGCAATATTTGCCGCATGCGTTAGCTGCGTTAAAGTTCGGAGACTATTCGACTGACAATATGGCTAACTCAAATCTTCTCCTTAAAGTGGCTTGGAGTAGCTTTCTCCTTGGCAAATATCAGGATGCAGAGACTTTCTACTATCAGGCATTGGAAATATTGCCTAAAGTGCTAGGCGCCGAGCATCCTCACACGCTTACGAGCATGAATAATCTCGCAGGTGTGCTTTGTAGCCAGGGGAAGTATAACGAAGCCGAGGTGATTTATCGGCAGGCACTAGAATTACAGACTAAAGTACTAGGTGCCAAACATCCTATTACACTTACAAGCATAAATAACCTTGCGCTTATACTTCTTAATCAAGAGAAATATAACGAGGCTGAGGCAATCCATCGGCAGGCACTGGAATTACAGACTAAGGTGCTAGGTGCCGAGCATCCCTATATATTTACAAGCATAAATAACCTTGCAAGTGTGCTTTATAGCCAGGGGAAATACAAAAAGGCCGAGGTAATTCTTCGGCAGGCACTGGAATTACGGACTAAGGTGCTAGGCGCCGAGCATCCTGATACACTAGCGAGTATAAACAAACTCGCAAGCATGCTTCGTAGCCAGGGGAAGTCCGACGAGGCCGAGGCGATCCGACCATCCTGACAGGCTGACCAGCATGAACAACCTCGCAAGTGTGCTTCCTAGTCTGACGAGGCCGAAATGTGTTCACCAACTCTGCCAAATAAGGTAGACTTTACCTTTTTACGGCTTGATATTAAGACCGTGTATTACTGAGACTAAATGTAATATCTGAAGATGTCGTTCCTTCTCCCTCGCTCTTTTTTTATCCCTTTGCCCTCTTGAGGGTTGAAGGGGCCGTGGTTGTTTTATACCTCTTTGTTGTACAGTATTGAAGAAACTATTTGAATTCGCTGGAACATACTAAGTCGAACTGTAAGCGGTAAAGCAGCACTACATATGTGTGTTAGGCGCCCAATAGGGCTACGGGTCCGTATATACACGGGGGTAATGACTTGGTCAGCAATCTCCCTTCTTTACCAGCTGGCCGCCGTTAATCTTACAACAAGCAATCTAGAAATTAATTTCCAAAACGGCTTCGTTTCCTGATGATAGTCTCCCTCCTCAATGTATATGTTTACTACAACACGGCTTTTTTTTTTTTTTTTTTTTTGGTTTATTAATACCTGGCCTATTATTAAAGGTTATGCTTTTTATAATTAGAAGATCTACTATTAATGAGTCCGGTTGACGTACAATTACTTATTCATGCAATCGATTTCGCCAACCTTAAGAGAGCGAAAAGGACATATAACTGTAATTCTTGAGGTACCGGCTGTCAAATTTCTATGATAGCTAAAAAGACCTGGTATGGCCTTTGGGTTCTTAAGCATCGTATGGAGCTCAATTTCTCTACATAACCACGAGTCTAAGTATCCTTCCTCATCATACTCCGCAGAAGTTCTCCAAATCTCGTTTGACGTAGCTCTTAGCGAGCTGACATGCAGACTCTGTGCAGAGATGGTTTTCTATAACTAAACCAACGGACGTTAGTTTCGAATTCTACTGTGCTATTCCTTGGTATAAAATAATTAATATAAAGCGCTCTTTTATTGTATTGAGGATTATGTTCTTACAGGAAAGTTATAATTTTCTACTCTATACCATTCAGTAGTCCACTAAAATGCACAGATGCTTTTGTGACTTGTATTTGCTGCCGTTAGTCACAACGGAGTAGCGGAGTTGTAGCCAATCACATCATGTATCCCGGACGCCTAGGTTATAAGACATCCTGCGTTTTATACAGGGACACATGACCATAGGTAGTGGAAAACTCAGGGTTCCGCCAAGTTCTAGCACACCTCAATTCTGTTTATACTTAGTCATAAGTAGACCGAATTCGATCTTCAACCTGCGTTTCACGCAAGACCATTATTTCTGATGTCTTGTCCATCACCTGCTTGTGAAATGTGGCTACGTCTACTATCTAGGCACGAATCTAATTTTGGAGCCACTGAGCATCGTCCAGAACTGGGGCGGGTAATTGTCGAATCCTCCTTTGGGCACTTTGACATGGATATCGAAGTTTCTGAACAAATGCGGTACGACCGAGCTGATAATGAGTTTTGCTAGGTTTTGTCCAGGACAACTACGACTTTGGCCGCCAAATAGTAGGCTATATCTTTCCATCGTTTTAATCTGGTCTTCATCGTCGCTTAACCACCTTTCAGGCTTAAACTCTCGAGCGTCTGGCCCAAATAGATCCGTATTTCTTGCAAATGTGGTCGGGTTACAACCAAGAACTGTCCCCTCAGGAAAGAAATAGCCATGGAGTTGAAGGCCATCTCGCGGTGCCACTCGGGGCAAGCTGATGTTTGTGACGTGATGCAGGCGCATCGCCTCTCTCACGCATGCAGAAGTGATTGTGCTTGGCCTGTCTTCAAACCCCACTGGAACTCGCTCGCCTCGGCACTCCTGCTCAACACGCCTTTGGAGGTCGGGGCTGGCACAGATTCTGCATAAGATGGAAACGAGGCTAGAGCCTGTAGTGTCGTGTCCAGCGGCTACACAAGATCCAGCAATGCCTCTTGCGTAATCCAGGTTGAACTTTGGCTTGTCAATGTGGATTGCCAGTAACTGTTCAATGAGGTCTCGGCCGTTCTCAAAACTGGGATTCTCAATAGAGCTGATTCTATGTAAAAGCTGCTTGAATAAGGACTGGATGATTTTGCGTGTTAGCGGCCAGGGTTTTAGACAAACATTATCTCACTTACGGGGCCAACATGGGCTGGAAGTCCAATCCCTTGACTGGAATAGCTGGTAGGGAGGCCAAGAATCTGGAATACATATTTCCTCAGCATGGGCATTACGTCCAGCAAGACGCATAGAGTAGGTAAATGGCCCAAAACACTTGTTCGACGCCAGAAGGTCAAGTTAAGCTCGAGATCTCCATAATTATGGCCTTGTTCAAGAATATCCTCCGGTGACCCGGACCAAGTGATGCTAGTTAGACATTCTAGATAGTAAGTATGATGATGTTATCTCAGCCATCTTGGGACTGGAAGGCTGATCTTACCTAGAACAATAATATGCATCCATTCGCTGGTATCGACTTCTTCTCCATTTAGTCTATGTAGCCTTTCACAGACCCTTTGCATGACTTCAATGACTTTGGGCTTGAACCTCTTTAGATTGCTAGCCGTGAACGCAGGTCCAGCACTTCTCCTAATCAGCTGGTAGCGCATCATATCTGCTTCAGCTAGAAGATGAACACCATCCGAATGAGGACGCCTAATAAACAACTCTAGCACGCTGGCTGAAAGCCTTGTCCCATCTAGGCGCAGTCATTAGTGGCATCGTGACAAGTTTGCGGAACTAGAGCGACTCTAGCCACATACCATACCATGGTCCCTTATCCTGAGATGCACTGGACTCTGCACTAAAGTCAGTTAAGTTTAGCTTCATCAGAAAAATTATATTCATACTATACAACACTTCAAATGCTTCTTTGCTATTGCACACTACTTCATTGGGAGCAGTCCTGACGATTGGACCATATCTGTCGTGAATGCGAGCTCATATGGTTTCCCAGCAATGATCTTTCGAATCTGCCACCAAGATGAGAGAGCAGCGAGCTTAGGGCCAGGTAATGCAGCCAAAGGATGGAACAGCAGCCTGTATATTGGTACTACTAAGATGATAAGAAAGGCACATGTAATGAAGATGGTAACCCATTCTGTAGATGCTGTGTCACTTATAAGTGCCATTTTTGACGTATTTTATTTGATAGGCTTTTTAAGTGTAAGAAAGCAGTGATTTATATAATTTAGTCTAGCAAGTAAAACGTTCAACACTCGGATTCCATACATGTTTAACTCCAAATGCTCACGCTAGTTGTAGCGTATGGGGAAGTCAGCAACTACCCAAACAGTCACTAGTGGGACTGTGGCGGAGGAGTTCTAAATGAGGGATGCACCCAGCTCCTCTGAAAGCTCACGTTGCTTACACTCTTCTTCTTATCTTGAAGATACATCTAGCCATGCTTTTATCTGCTTTATAAAACCGAGGTCGGCTATTGACTCAAGGTCAAAGCCAACTGCCGACGAAAGCTTCCCCGATTTGACAGATATGCCGACTGAAGGCCGCTCTCAGCCAAGCCGAACTCGGCGAAGCACTCTTATGATATGAGTTGATTGATAATATGCTCCATTATGTTACTGATAGGTTATCAGGTTTAAAGTTTCCATAGTATTTAACAATTTAAATGTCAAGGTATTTCCTCCTTTCTTATTTCTGCTATATATTATGAGGTCCGAGATTTTACTGGCTTTATAAATTTGGTAAAATGCATCATAAAATCGTTGCATTAGATGCATGGCATGTGCCCATCCCCTTGGATCTTTTGAAACTACCAGCATCACACTCTTACGACTTAAAACTCTGCGAGACAAAATCGGCATCGAATGAGGAGATTCATGATCGCGTGAAAGACGCTACTATCATCGCCGTCACACTCACCCCCCTTGACTCTTCAACGCTCTCAGCAGCCGTGACTCCAAACCTTCGTCTGGTAGTGGCCATTGCTTCGGGTACTGATGGCATCGATAAACAACAATGCAAAGAAAGAGGCATCAGGGTGCTGAACGTACCCAACGCAAATACTGACAGTGTTGCAAATCATGCTATGGCAATGTATTTTGCTTGCCGCCGCCGTCTGTTGACGATGCATCACATCATGTTCAGAACAGACGAATGGAGGAGACGGGGAACAGTTGCGAATATGATGCATTCTAGAGATCATGGCTTACCATTGTCTTGTCAAGAGGAGGTAGTCGGCATTATCGGATACGGTGCAATAGGTAGGTACCTACGCTTAGTGTAAACATGGCTGTATCTGACACCATAGGGAACAACAGGTCAACGCGTTGCTCAAAAATGCCGTGGCCTTGGAATGACTGTCTTACTTGCTTCTCGAAAAGGCGCAGCGTCGGATGCCGTTCCAGCTGCCACTGAGCCGACGTCAATTGGTACAGAAACTCCTAATGGTAGAACGCCGTTCACGGAGGTTCTGCGCCGATCATCGGTGATTGTGCTATGTTTGCCCCGGAATTTGGAGACCCTCAATATGATATCGGACGACGAGTTCCGAATGATGTCTCAAAAGACCATCGTGATAAATATCACACGTAGAGGTATCATCGATGAGCATGCGCTACTCAGGGCTTTGAAAGGTGGCTTGATAGACGGGTGCGCTACGGATGTGTTTCTCAAAGAGCCTTCTGGAGCAGGTGATTATTGGAAGGAAGGTGATAGCCCAATTCTTAGATTGAGTGAAGCTGAAGCGGACGAGATGAATTTATTGGTTACGCCTCATGTGGCGTGGTACGCAAGCGCAACTATAGAGAACTACTTGCGAACTTTTAAACAAAACGTCGAGGACTGGTGTTCCGGAAAGTTGTCAAATATCATTGTCTAGCAAGGACTGGGGGGATATTGCTAGATAGCCGTTGATTCTTAGAGTGAAACTTATTGACTCGCTACCTAGTAGTTGTCTCGAAAATGGGAATTGGTTTGTTAATGCCCATTTCACAGAACAGCATATTACTCAAGCTGTCGAAAAGAGAGAGGACGCAAATGGTCACAGTAAACGATATCCACCCTAGTCTGTACTCCGTACTTGTCCTTAGAGTTCCACATTATGCCGCCCCTAGAGTTGATAATGGTAATTGCATGATTATTGCTCATCCTGAAATGGATAATGCTAAAGTTCAGCGCCCCACAAAAGCAACCTGGAATACGCCACAATTTTAATGTGACTCTAGATAGGTCAAGTATTCACCTTATAGGTATCAGAATATGATAAATAGAGGGAAAAAATAAAGACTTGTACATTTTCAGCGATCCGGAGACAGGTTGATTAAACTATAATATTTCTTGAAACTACGCTGAGTTTTCTGCTTTAGTGTCACAATTCGAATCTTATTTACAACTATACCAACAACCAGCCGTTGATTGTCTTTATTTACTATGGCCTCAAAATTATTACTCGTACAATCTCTATTTGAAGCAAAATGATTAAAAATATGGTACTGAGAGATTGGTATTCCGACATCGGACAATTCTTTTGGGTTTGAGCTATGGTTGCAATATGCTGTAAGAAGTAGCCAGACAGAGCTACGCGTATTTAGAAGCGGGCGTTCAAAGCGGGGATTCAGTCCCTCAAATCCCACCCTATTTATTTCCCTTTGCGACTCAAAATCTCTCAAGTTATGATGCAACAATGTCTACAGCATCCATATAATTCCTGTCATTGGTTGGATTCTAGAGGTTTCGTTGGAGAATGCTAAGCTATGAAGTCCATGCATTTTTATCGCTAATTTTTGCTTATTTTCATCTATAAAGTGAGTGTATATCCACTACCTATCAAAGACTCTCAGGTAAGCAGGAGGTATTTCCATTGCCAGCGCTAATTCTTTTGTACTTTAGTCGCGTGCCTATATTAAACTCACATATATGTACGATTGAGTGCATTCCGCGATTTTACGGATAGATTCTGAGAGCGGAGGCAATTAGCCAAGTATCATCTACGATTGAGCACGTTGTAGATTGGATTACATTTGCGAAATTAGCTCGTATTGCTCGCGCTGTTCATTCTGCCCTTTGTGAAGCAAACTCGCAGGACGATTGGGCAAAGCAAGGCACTAATATTAGCCTGCTAGATTAAACACTCCCGTCTTTTCTATACCCACCCACCTGTAATCTGTCAGTTTTACTATGAAATTAAAACGTAGGAAATTAAAGTTACCGTATTCATTCAATAATTGTGTAAGATAAGCACCACCGATAGAGGTCTGAAGGTAATACTACGGTGTATGAAGGCAGCGCACATTACAAATCTCTCGATAATGAAGATGAACGTTACTTGGCAGTTCTGCGATGGATAGACCTGCTGAAGAAAAGACACGAATCAAGCAAGCAATTCGTTGTCTTTTGAAGGAGTGGTATCAATGGATTCTGGAGGATCGCAACTTTAAGCAGTGGTGGCAATTAGGTCCGAGTGTTGTAGATAACTGGTAATACAGGAAAGGGAAAGACTCTAATAACATGCGGTATAACAAACTGACGAGCAAAACAAAACCTAAGGACCCGAATTCTAGTATATTACTATCTTGCTTCTTCTGTCAGAGCACCGACTCGCGTATCAAGACTGCCACAGCTACACTACGCGGTCTTCTATACCTCAACATTGACCAGCAACTGTCGCTCATTTCACATTTGCAGACAAAGTATGATGTTGCGGGTAAGAATCTTTCGATGACCCAATTGCCTGGACGCTACTATCCCAGATACGCATTAACCTTTTACACGATTCGAGCATAGGAAATGTGATAAGTATTGAGGCACTGGATGAATGCGAGATAGATCAAGTAAGCGTTTAAACTTTAATATTCGTCACTCGTAGTTGTCTCGAGTCAAGTGGATTGTGACCAGCCGCGGCGAAGAAAAGCTTGAGCAGAAACTGAGTACCGTAGTTCAAGGCCGTTAGTTAATATTGCATTGGAGGAAAATGAAGATTTGGGTCCTTAAAAGGTGTGGTACCTGTAGATGTAGGAGGAAAGCTTATATAAATCTCTTGCCAGGAAATATTTGTACTAGTTGGAAGCCCTTAGCTTGCTGGGACATACGTCATGTAGCATTGCAGCGCTCTTCACCCTCGAGGCTATATTTGTAAGTGTCTCTACTTTCATCCGGTATCATTACAAAGAAGGCTGGTGATTATCAAGTCAAAAAAGAGAAATTGTTCTTGATATAATAGGGATTATGAAAGTTAAGGAGCGCTTGCTCCGGCTGCCTCTGAATTATCGAGCCATGGCCTCGACAGTGTCTGTCGCTGCTATCGGCACGATAAGCTGGCAGTGAGATAGCTTGTTGCTGCTGCGTTTTTTTACTGAGCCATTCAAGTAGATTTAAGTTATTTCAGTCTTTCAAGATATATTAAAGTTTTAGATATTTTCAGTTATTAATCTTTTCCCCCGAAGTGAAACAGAATCGCAAAGATCACCAGCTTGGGGCTCGGGTCGTAAACACATTGTATGCTTCCGCTTAGCGAGTATCTACCAAGCTAAACCAAGTATGCAGCCAAACGACTTTCAATATGCCCGGCTGCATCTTTCGAGTAAAGCTAGGCATAATCTTGGGCTGTTCAAGTGATCTGTAATTGCAATGCACCGGGAGGAAGAGCTGCGCAAGGCTCCGGATGACGGTGGTTTTGTGTTCCGGAGCCACGTACATTGATTCGGCCCCGATTTTAACCTGATAGGGAAATCCCATGCGAGACTGCCGTGACGCCCTGGTATCGTATCCACCAGCTACGCCGCCATGATTTAGCGTAACCAATAAGCCCATTACTCATGTGAACCAACTTATGGAGCATATGCACGCTCTCTTGCATCTCACACATCATGTTGTAGCTTTATCTTATTGCTGCTATGCGAAGCGGTACAAGGAGTCAGTGCTGTTATTGATTACTGAAATGAATATTTGGCTTCTTCTCCCTACTACTATCTAGGATTGGTTCGCTATCATCACTTCTGCTCTCCATCCGGTCTTTGTCTACACCATTCTTGTCTAGTCAACTCCCTTCTAACAATCCCCATTGGATCATGGATGTTCACAATCTGCCAAGGCTCTCTTTCTCAACCCCCTACTAACGTCGACGCTGTTGTTGGTCTTGCTATTATTCCCACTTGTTAGTCCCCAAAACACGTCTCGTGGGTACTGCGTAGGATGAGCATATGAGGGTAAACCAACCTGGCCCGCGGCCTGAGTCTTCCTACTAATGTAGCTAGGCTGGCTACTGGAACTGAAGGCGGACTGTCCAGATTGTTGAATCGTATCGCGGTTCACTTTCTCCTTTTCCCGTTTGCTTCTATACTTTTTGACAGCGGCGTAAATAAACATCTTCAAATTCGTTCTGTCTTAGAGCACAAAGTACAATATAGTTCTCTATCGTTCCCACGGCCGAGGGATGTCGGTATCGAGTTGTATAGCAAATTTGAGACGACTAATTGATAAACTAATAAATTCCAAGTTGGTTTAGAAGAAGGGCGGGCACTCAATTTATAGCCAAACTTCTGAAAAGGTCGCTGTTGTAGTCGGCGCAGCCATCAATCACGAATCAGTAATGAATGCATGTAAGCGAGATTCCTTCATGAGTGTCATCAACACAGCCTTAAACATTCTCCGTTTCTCCACTTGGCGCGTAGCCGCTTTGGATTATGATGAATGATAAAAGGAGTCGGACATAATCACAGGGCAACGCATCTCTAGAAGAGGGTAGTGGGCCTCCTGGGCTGATTGTCGGAGCGTCGGCTCTTATCATATACACGTACGAGAAGTATGGGTGCTGGCATTCGACACCTTCCTTCGGTAATACTAGCAACGATGTAAGGCTCCGGCTACCAAATGCACATCCAAAAAGGCCTAGATCGACGGCGAATTGAACCAAGAGTCGTGCTAGCTATAATTTTCTCCAGAAATAATATATACCGTATTTCACATCAAGGTCTAGAAATGAGAACTCGAATTAGTGGATTAGGGATGAACTACACAATAGCATAGGGCGAGAGAGATTTTTCTGCTTATTAATTGGGAAAATAGATGGCTGAAAATGGCTTGTAGTAGTGGATGAATAGTTCTTAATCTATTCTAAACACCAAAAAGGAGCTTGATAGTAGCATTTCCAGTTTACTGTGGTGCTGGATCTACCAGAGTCGCAGTGAATCTCGCTACTGAGCGTAATAACATTATGAGTATAATTACCCGAACGCGGTAAATTTTTATACGGTTTACGATCATTTCTACGTATATACGACTATAGTTAGCAGAGAATTTGGGGACCCCGTCAAGTTCTTATCGAGGTCCAGGGTTTGCACTTTTCGAAGTTTTGGGGTTAAAAAAAATTCAATCACAAGTTGCTATTCTTTAGTCGCGAATGGTTAGTATGACGGACTTACACCGCAGGCTTCGCTGCTACACGCACAAAGTCACATTCTAGCCGCTACCAGTACTTGCTCCGCAGATCTATGGGTCTGTACGGGATATAACTGTGGAATAGAGCTTAATACTACTGGTCCATATCCATATAGAGTATAGCAGAGATAGAACGCCTAGTCACATCTTTGGCGTATAGTGTAGGTGCCTTTGTAAGACTTTGTTCTACTTTTGGGACAGCAGAAAGAGTGGAATTAGGATGTAGCAATGACCCTTGCCTGGATCATTAAGTGTAAATACAGGATACTATTTCGCTTGTTGTATAATGTAAATACGAGTAAACAGAGTTACTAAACCCCAGAGGCCACCGCAGGCTCTAGCCCCCCCGTGAGAATCGTATCCCGACGCTGCTCCTCCTGCGTAGCCCGAAACACCTCATACTTGACATCATGCCAGTGCTGGGCAGTAACATGTGCCCCATTGCTATCAATAAACGACACGCGGTTGTCCGGCCGCAAGAAATACGCGATTGTATACCGATCGCTAGTCTGCCCGTCAACGGGAACCACGCGGTGGAGGCAAGACTTGAGCTTCTTCTGCGACAGAAAACGCAAGGAGTCGCCAACGTTGATGATGGCGCAGTTGCGGCGCGGCGCCACCCACTGCCATTGCTGCGAGTCCGCCGCCATCACCTGCAGGCCCCACTGGTCGGTGAAGAGGACAGTGATGCTGCCAATGTCGGTGTGCTTGTTGTGGCCGACGGTTTTGGATTGCTCTGCGGGCGGCACGTATGGGTAGCGTAGGAGTACCAGCACCGAGTTGGAGTCTTCGCTTGTTTGGTGGAAGTTTTCGAAGCGCTCTGCGGGCGGGAGGCCGCTCGCCGTCGAGAGCGCGCTCAGCAGCTGCCGGGCGATGCTGTTTGCTCGTGTGAGATAAGCCTCGAAGAGGGCTCGCTCAGACTGAATGGCGGCGGGTACAGATGCTTCAGGTGCCTTGATACCCTTGTGGGAAACCTGGCATTATCTTCAGTCATGGGGGTTGCTAACATGAATACATGTACACGGGCTACTGGTGGGAATGGTGGCAATGAAAACACCTACCTTGAGGCTTTCGTACGCGTCACGAGTGCCATCGTAGGGCCCGGCAAAGAAACCGGTCGCCTTATACCTGCAATCAAGATTAGTTCTAAGCCGTTTCGCTTTTCACATGGTTGGTATGTGGTACCCATCTGTGTAATTGGATTGCAGGTCCTGCAGCTTAATCTCCAAGTCCTGGTTGAACCATGTGCGCATGAAGTTGTATATTTGATCAATGTAGCCGCATGTAGTTTGCGATACGTCTTCATCTTCCAGGTCGAGATAAAAGAAGCCTTCACGGATCGAAACAGACAGGAGTTTTGCCATCTCAGCTTCATCACAATTCAACAGCAGCCGGTAATTGATTGTTGGGAGCGTGGCAACGGGGACATTGCCCGCAAGGCCAGGGAGAGATGTCCCGAATGAGCCCATAGTGCCGTTGAGCGGATGTAGCAAGAGGTACGATGAGAGAAGGAGATGTGTAGTCTAGTTGGATGAAGATGGAAAGTGGGAGAATGAGGTATGAGAGAATGAGGAACATTTAAGGGAAACGAGTTGACTATGGCCTTGGGTGTCTTGAGGTATTGAGGCTCTAATAAATACGATGTCTTGCCCGGGTGATGGACACACATAAGCCCCGTGTTAGCCGAGGAAATAATTTTAAATGTTGCCAACGTTGTCTCCCATCTACGTGACCGTCAAACACTTCACTTTTGGTGAGCGTTTGGAAAAGTACAAGCCTACGAGGTAGATGGAGCTTCATCCCAGCCATCCCGGAGAAGGGTAGCTGCGTTGACGTGTAGATGGCTTCAAGACATTGGATCGCATGACGGCCAATCAGCCGTCTTCAGCTTCCTCTCCATGGAAGAGGGATGAGACACGATGAGACGAAACATGCAGTATGTATGCAGTATTATTTCCTAATTGGAGCACTGACTGTACGCCGTATTACTAAACGATCTCGTGCGGCTGGTATTATTACGTATGGGCACACAGCTTATATTACTACATGGGTAATACTATGTAATAGCCTGAACTGCGACATTACATCGCCCCACAGAGACGGCAGATGTTCCAGGCATGGCTCTCTCGGCCCAGCCCGCGTCGGCAGCTCTTCCTATTGGCGCAGATCCATCGGTTGCTGGCTTCCAACAGACTCGAGCAGCGTCGCCACTGCGATGGAGCCGCCGCAGGACCCGAGACGCCTCAGCAGCTCGACAAAGTCGCGGAGCAGCGCCGCCGCCTGGGCGTCGCCAATGAGCGCCGAATGGTAACGCATCTCGAAGCGGTTGGCCCCGGCCAGCGGCTTCATCTCCAGATAGATGGCGTACTGCGACTCGCTCTCCCAGCGCTCGAGGTCGCGCCGGGGGGCGAGCGTGAGCCCGTCGACGCGGGTGGGCTCCATGGCCGACGCGCCGAGCTTGATGTTGACGTACGACTGCAGCAGCGGCCGGCGATCGCGGTCGCGGAACGGCGTGCTGTGCTCGAACTCGCCCGCAGACACGAGGTCCTGCTGCACCGCGCGCAGCACCGACTCGACCGTCGCCGCGCGGTCCTGGACCCGGAGCCGGAACGGGCGGTCCTTGACCAGCAGGCCGGGCAGGCGGTCGATGCCCTCGTACGGGTACAGCCGGCCCAGCGTCAGGATCGTGAAGGCAATGTCGGTGGCTCCCGAGCGGCGCATCAGCGCCAGCGCCCAGGCCGCCGTGATGGCGGAGGCCAGGTGGATCTGGCCGCCCTTGAGCACATCCGCGGCCACGGTCTCGTACAGCGACTGGTCGAACCGTCTGGGGGCTCCCGGCGGGCCGCGATGGATGGTCGCGACGTGGGCGCCCTCGAGATACTGCCGCCAGAAGGCCCTGGCGCTGGCATCGTCCAGCTCGGCGTCCAGGCGCCTCGCAAAGTCGCCGTACCACGGCCGCTCGGCCTGCTGCGCGAAGCTGTCCGGGCTCTCGAGGGCGGCCACCAGATCCTGCTCGACGAGGGCCCGCGAGAAGCCGTCGAAGAAGCCGTGGAAGATGGAGAAGACGAGGAAGCTGGTCCCGCCGTCGTCGACCAGTGCGTAGTGCGCCGTTGCGTCTCCTGCGGCGAGCACTCTCATGCTGGCTTCCTGCGTGAACTGCTGCACCCGGCCGGATTGCACAAGCAGCTTGGGGCGGGCCTCGGCCAGGAGCACCTGGTAGTACGTGCCGTCGAGGTCGACAAAGGTTGTGCGCAGGACCGGATTCTTCGCCGTCAACGCTTCAATGGCCTGCTGCAACTTGCCAACGACATCTATCCCGTGTACCTCGTAGATGAAGGCAGATGACGCTCCGATGGCACCTTTGGCCGTCATCTCGACGAATTCGACTGCAACGAGTCAGCACAAACTCGCAGTTCCTCGTAGGGCCATCTATACCTTGATCCTCTCGTAGCTTTGCGGCGCGTACGGCCTGGGATTGTGGGATGCCCAGATCCTCGATCCTGAGCCGGACACGCTGCAAGAGATCATCGCTGGCTGATATGCCCTTGCAGATGCCAATCTTCTGACGGCTGCTGCTCGCCTCAGGCCCATCAACGACAGCAGCCAGGCTGCCAATGGTCGGATCTAGTAGACGTGAAGCTGTAAACCATGGCCGTAGGCTGGGATTAAAGATTTGCATTCATATTCACGGCAGTACTCACTAGCATATAGCGTTGCAATGTCAAAGTACAGCCCATGATCGGCGGCCCGACCTATGATTCGAATTGCTTTAATCTGCGGAGGTTGCGATTAGTGTTCCGGCATCCGATCCGCTTGATCTGCTGTTGCGCTTACCGAGTCTCCCCCTACTGCGTGCCGGTATTAGACGTGAGAATGCTTTCAATCTTGTCATCTGCAAGGCTGGCGGTGTCTTACATTCAAACAGATTATCGTCCGTCTCGATCTCGTCGGGCTCGAGGAAGAGGACATCGGCCCAGATCTGACGCAACTGCTCTTCCATGATACACAATGCGAGATGGCAGGGAGGAAGTTGAGGGTTATCTGGTGGCCCCTGGCTGACGTGCCATCTGCCTATATATATAGATATTTATGCAAGCTCACTACATTCTAGGACGTCATGGATATGGTGGAGCCCTAACGGGAGGAGGCTGCCAGCGGTCACAACACCGTCGCACTGATCCCGCCTCTATACTACCTTGCGTGCATGTAGGTAGGGAGAGAATCCTAGTAGTAGTACTAACTACACCACGGAGTACATGTATGCGCTTCGTCAAAGGCTCGGATGGATCCACCCGATCTGTATTGGTGCCACGTCTGTGATGACACTCGTGCTGTTGCAGGTGACGAATGCCTCCCCCATGGCCATTCATCTAGAGCTGTGGCTCGTTCCTGGCAAACCAAACATTCTTGAATCAAAACCGTACTAACCCCTGCCCCTTTCACACACACACGATCAAGTCAAAATCATTCACAACAACAACAACACCACCAACAACAACAACAAGCACGCTACGTGTCGCCAGTATGCTGCAATCTGACGTGATCTTGCTGCCCTCTCCAGGCGCCGACGCTCCTGCGGTCATCGTGCCGCCCACCGAGGGAGCGGCCGGCGATGGCCTGCAGATATCTTACCAAAGTCTTGGGGATCTCGTCATCCGCGCGCAAGAGTCACTTGCACAGCTGGGCGTTGCGGCCGGGGCCCGCGTGGCCGTTGCGCTTCCCAACGGCGTCGACTTCGTCGTCTTGTTTCTGGCTCTCATCCGCCAGCGAGCCGTCGTCTCGCCGCTTAATCCAGATGCCAAGTTCAACGAGCAGGCAGAGATGCTTGAACGCATCCAGCCATCCTGGACCATCATCTCGCAGAATGCCGTGCAGAGCCCCGTCGTCGAGGCGTCCACGGCCCAGCACATCGCCGTGGCCGAGTTCGTCTGGGGAGAGGCCGGCCAGCAATTGCTCCTGCGGCGCATCACGCAGCTGAATGCCCTCCCCTCGTCGCCGGCAGCCCTCGTCGCTCCCCACGAGGTCTGTCCAAACGACCTTGTGCTCCTCCATTACACCAGTGGCACCACCGGGCTGCCCAAAGCCGTCGGCCTGACTCATGCAACGATCCTCGCTTCGGTGCGCATTCTGATCAAGGCACACGATTTACGTCCGACAGATCGCACTGTCATCGTCGCGCCATTCTTCCATGTCGGGGGTACGTGTTCTTCGCTGCTCTGCACCCTCGCCTCTGGTGGCTGCATCATCCTCCCTCGCTCATTGTCTGGCAAGTTTTGGCACCACTTCAGCGAGTTTGGCGCAACCTGGTACCACGCCGTGCCCACTATGCACCGGTTGCTGCTCTCCTTCCCGCGTCCGGACAAGGCAGTTCCTATCCGATTTGTGAGGTCCGGTGGCAGCGGCATCTCCGGAAGTCTGATTGCCCAGCTGGAGCGAGACCTATGCTGTCCGGTTCTGGAGGGATATGGCATGACGGAAACCGTCCAAGCGGTGTTCTGCAACCGGATTGGCAGCGCACATCGCCAGGCCGGCCACTATCCGGTGCCTGAGGAGATGGAGGTGAAGATTCGGGTTCCGGATGGAGAGTCGTTCCAACTCATTGATCAGCCGGACCGCACCGGAGAGATCTGCATTCGCGGCCCTTGCGTGATCTCGGGCTACCTTGGTGACCCGGATGCCAGTCACGAGGCCTTCCATGATGGCTACTTCCGTACGGGGGATCTAGGCACGCTGCACAGGGATGGCCGGTTGCAAGTCACCGGCCGGATCAAGGAGATGATCAACAAAGGTGGCGAGAAGATCAGTCCCCTGGAAATCGAAAAGATTCTTCTCGCCCATGAGGCGATCCAGCAAGTCGCATGTTTCAAGGTGCCCGACGACGCGTATGGAGAAGATATCGGCAAGTTCCCTTGGCGTTCCCTTTACTCATCGTCCTAGTTGCCTAATGAGCCTACAATCCAGGAGTTGCCGTTATGCTTAAACCAGAGCATAATCTGAAGCCCGTGGATATAAAACGTTTTGTCCGGCAAGAATCGGTCAATTTCAAGGTTCCAAAGATAGTCAGTTCCCCTGCATTGACCCCTTACTGGACTAATAAACAAGGGCTCTTCATCTCGACTAACTAGTTAATCAGGTTGCTTTTGTTGACTCGATTCCGACAAACCGATCTGGCAAGTACATGCGCTCATCGCTGGCGGAACAGTTTGGGACGGTGGCCGCACCGAGGACGGCGACAGTTGCCTAGGCACGCAAGGCTTGCTGGGCGGCTCCTCGAAAGAGTGAAGAGGATGCTGATTGAGTGGTGATTGATTAACATAATACGAACTACATGACAACCTAACATAAAAGGTCAAACAAAATAGATCAAAATAAATCTAATTTGATTAACCCTCAAGTGTGAAAATTATCACATATTCGTAAGTAAGTAAGCAGCTAATAGCAAACACCGACTATTCTATATATATATATTGTTTCTTTCTTTCGATCTTTATGGTATAATACCGATTAGTTAGTCTTTATCTCGATTCTTTTGAATATTCAGTTGTTGCTCCTAGTCAATCCTACCAAGTCCAGAAAATTCATCACTGTCACATAATGGTTGACTTCCTTCATGTAAATACGTCTTGCCGGTTAACACGGGGTCGATATTCATCAAATTAGTTCCTAGCTGAAATACTAGGTACTAGATCTCTAAGTAGCTATCCGCCACAAGAGTTTGCTCAGCAGTAACTCGGTTTCTCTTTTATCCGACCAATAAATCGACTACTCTGTAATGTACTCGAGAATTTCTCGGGAACCCTTTTCCCCGCTGCGGAGTGTCTAGACCACTCTTTTCTCTCTCCTTTACTCCTTTGTTCGGCTTTCGGCATTTGTATCAACATTCTGAAACCCCGAAGATATCGAGATCCCTAATGTCACCGCAGATAGAGGCACTGCGCATAGGCGACAATTGACTTTGATCCCTATTCATTTCCAGGTTTTGGCCTAATATCATGTTAAGCCGCCAGTTATCTTTTCCTCTCTAGGAAATATATTTGAGTTTTGTGACGTCAGTCATGTGAAGCTCTACGGGAATAGTTGCTCGCCATGTTCCATCTCTCCACTCCCAGTTAGTATATTAAATGGACGTGCCCTTGTGAGACTCTTGCATTGATCCGTCACATTCAACTCAATACAGACACTCTTCATCTATCTATACATCAACCATGGCTGCGCAGAAGGAGAAAGTCGTTATTGTTGGAAGTGGCTGGGGTGGCTATCGCCTGGGCTACGGTATCGACCACACAAAGTACGACATCACCTTAATCTCACCAGAGAATACTTCCGCCGTAACTCCTCTATTGGCCAGCGCTGCTTGCGGACTGTTTGACCCCCGATTGGCGCATGAGCCTCTCCGGCGAAGGGATTTCCATGCAAGGTATATTAAGGCTTTGGTTGTCGACATCGATTTTGACGCACAAACTCTCATCTGTCAACCAGCATTCGATGAGCTAAAAGATGAGCGTTTTCATGTCAGCTATGACAAGGTTATCCTAGTACCAGGGTGCCGTAGCAACACCTTCGGTATCCCCGGCGTGACGGAGCATGCCATCTTTGTAAAGAATGTTGCCAATGCGAATACTGTTCGAAGCCGGTTGAACGACCTTCTTGAGATGGCCTCGCTACCAGAAACATCGGAGGACCGTCAGAGGCAACTGTTGCACGTTGCCATTGTTGGCGGCGGTCCCACTGGTATTGAGATGGCGGCTGAGCTGACGGATTTGTTTGACGGAGACGCCAATGTCCTGTTTCCACACTTGAAGGGCAAGGCGTCTGTCTCTGTTTACGACGTAGCCCCGAATATTCTGGCACCATTCGATCAAAAACTAGCAGAGTATGCGACTAGTGCCCTGAGAACTGGCAAAGTCAACATTAAAACGAATGCGCACATTGTCAAAGTTACCGCGAACACGATTGAAACTCGGGAGGATGGCGCTACCGGCTATGGTATGCTCATTTGGGCCACCGGAAACAAGTCAGTTCCTCTAGTCGACAAATTGAACCTTCGTAAGACGGAGAAAGGATTGATACGCATTTTGACGGATGACCATCTCAATGCCTTCTCACCAGATGGCAGTGTCTTGCAGAATGTATTTGCAATGGGAGACGCCGGAGATATCGAAGGCGGCACTCTACCAACAACCGCCGAAGTTGCGATTCAAAAAGCAGATCATATCATCAATGTGCTGAATAGGAATCAAAAGTCCCCCTTTGAATACAAGCAGCGCTCTCTAGTCACATACACAGGAAGATGGGATGGTGTTGTCCAGGGGAAACGTGAATATACAGGCTATGGAGCGTGGCTGAGTTGGAGATCTGGCAATTTCTTTTGGACGCGGTCATGGCGGAGGAAAATCTTGATGTGCTATGCATGGTTTATGGACTGGTTGGATGGAAGGGAGATTATCCGCAATTAGCACCAATAGTGGAAAAGTTTTGGGGGTTATATATCAATAAAATATCTATGGCTTACCAACGAGAGGATTTGCGAGATCTGCAGTGATTTGCGAGAGGAAACACTTAATGTCGGTTTCTGGATGGCTGTATACATTATTTACCATCTCTGCCCTTTCAAAACAAGCGCAACTGGGATCGCCGAAATTCTTGACTTCGTAAACCAGTTTACTTAAAGTCGATGAGTACAAAAGTGACTTATCATTGTTTAATGTAGCACGATCCCTCATATATCGCTGCTCGATACTTAGCCTCCACCTTACATTGTGAGTACCGGCGGTGGTAACTATTAATTCTATATATGCTCAAAATAGCTGAGTCTGCACATGCGCTTTAATTATTGAATTGACGCCCCATATACTTGTCAATCACTAGCGCCAGCGGACTAGACCATAAGCTTAAGCTCGTGAGTGTACGTCAGCACGTATCTAATAGCCTTGAACATCATGTAGGCCATGCGTGCTTGAGCTATTTGAGCCTTTTGGAGTAATTTCCGTACCAATTTAGTCTTCAAAGATGGTAGGCATAAGAGCATAAATATATAACGGGGCTAAATTCACGAGTTAGGCATCTTTTACCCTGCTCTCATCGTGAAAAAGGCATGAATAGCCTAACTATAACTCCTCATAATTCCAATTGACATCTCGCTGTAGACATTGGTTTATTAGATATATAAAGAAATCTAATAAATAATGTCATAACCAGTAAATCTCGCAAACTATTAACCAACTCTCCGGTTTTTGACTGCTTTTAGTGCTGTTTATTAGATATATTTGTACATGGGAAAAGCTGGGAGTGTAAATGGCGTTATGCCTCCTGCCCACAACCCTGCACACCCTGACCAATCTATATTCACCACCATTAGCTTGGATACTAGTCTCCATATGAGGTATACTTACAGGCGCAAAGCGCTATCAGAAAACCAATAGCATTCCCAGCTGTTAGCAGACTGGCATTGTCAATCATATAGCCTGTGGCAAGAAGTATTAATTCGATATTGAAAAGTAAAAGGGCCATGAATAATGTCCAAGAACTCCTCAACGCGGCGACGGTAAATATCGCATTCAGTATGAGCCAGCTGAATAGGTACATGGCGAGCGCTTGGTTGAACTCGGGAAGGATGTTTCCCTGGGCGTCACTATATGCTATTGTTGCAGTTAGGAAACTTTTCTACATTCGCTAATTAGATGGGAGGAATACCGTCGATGATTCCTGATCCTGGAATAAAGACTGCCAGTGAAATGTATGTGTTAGCTTTGCCCATTAACACCGAGAGTTGCAGCTGAATGGATAAAGACATGCGTACTCAATGCGAAGCTCAAGTTCAAAGCCGCGTATGATGGGAAGACTGTAGCTCCAAACTAGGGAAACATTAGACGCGTTAAAATTCCTGGTTGCTTGTGTATAGCTGCCTACCGTGTTTCCTGCAACAAATTCCATAATTCCCGAAATAAACTGGCATACACCACCAAAAAATACAAATACTCCAACTAGTATATTCTTCTCTACAATGCCGCGTGCGTGGACACCAAGCATTGAGAGCAGAAAAATTCCTGTGGCAAAAGATAAAAGACCCAAGGGTGCAGGATTCGCGAAACTTCGATGAACAACAGGTAACGAGGGTTGATCGCGGTTATCAATGTGGCCGCCTTTGGTTCGTAGCCTTTCAAGGTCCGGCTCATTTGAGCTCACAGATTGGGGCCGCTCCTCATATTCGTACTTTTGGCCTTGGTTGGTCATATTGACAATGATTTGTATTTATTTTGAGCAGGTAAAGTTCTGATTCTGTTTGCTGAAATCAAGCTGATAAAGGCGAGTTCCATCCCCCTTTAAATAGATCAAATCAAGCCTCTACATAGCTACCTAAAGTTAGAGCTCATAGTTGTCACCACCATCTCTCTCCGCAAGTTCTACATGTCAAAGCTCCCTTCGGCTTATTTGGAGAATCCGGGGAAGTGACGGGGAAGTGCCGCGGCAATGGAAAACGCGGGGTCCCCAGACCGCGATATCTTTCCGGGGACGGGCCATGAAGCGATCTCCATGGCGCCAAACCCCACATTAGGCTCAACCAATCCTTTGTCAGAATGGATAAATAAAGTTGGCTCTACGATAAGTAAATTGCACCAAGCCACGTCGCTAATACTAGAATGAACAATAGTAGTTAGTTTACGGCTACTATTGGCGGCTCTTGCTGTCGTATCTATTCATACATATTATCTACCGTTTCGTCCACTCTACTCCCGAGCCCATTGCCGTGATTTTAGTGCCAGCTGTCTCATATGCCTATCTTTTTCATGACTCAGGACAAAGCTCCTCGGGAATTTCCTAAGCCTTTGATTGCTCCAGATCACCATGGGGCTGCTGCTCAGTTTCTCTTCTTCAATTCTGAATGGACAACCATGTAGCCCCAGGCCCAACAAGTGGGAATATTGCCCCACAGGAGAGTCTCAGCTCTTGATGAGAGCCCACTATGGTTTACTTCATCTGTCTCAACAATCTCGGTTCTCGAAGAGATCCTGCCACGTCGTACCACATCTATCTTTACCCATTTGATGCCATGACACATTCTTATGCGTCAGTGGTTACTGTGGGTTAGAGAATATGGCAGCCTTCACATTGCATGAATCAGTTGATAACGAAAAAGCCACGTACAGGGATTATTACTCGTTATCATATAATGTTGAAGCTGGGATGCATTGTACACGTATGGTAGCATTAGTGCCACTAGTTTTACCAATAGCGTTTCTGACAAAAGATTTATAAGTGTTTGGTACGCTGAACTACTGTCCCTTTCCTTTCGGCACACCTACTCCTATGTTTGATGCTTTCCATTCTGCGTAACCAAAAAGTCGGCTAAGAAATCAAAATCTCCGTCCACCATGAATTCCCCCAAATCCATATAAGATTCCAGTCCACTAGACTGGAAAATATCTGAAGAGTGTTCCACTGGAAAGTTTAGAATCCTACTATTACTTGGATTTGACTCATTTCGGTCTATCATTTAACCGTAGTTAGGTACTGTTCGTAAAGTATAATATTTTGGAGAATGTTATGTTCATTTTCATGGAAAAAAAGGGCACAGAGAGGATAGTGTATCGTATCCCACTTACCCATTGCATTCAATATTAAAGAAAGCTGTGAAAGGTACTCCACACAGCGCTCAATTACTCTGTTTCCAGAATCAAGCCGCCGTAGCGCTTCAATGGCGTTTTCTATATAGGGACGTGAGTGATTAACCTTTATCCCCACGGACGTATCATTGAGGGGCTCTTTGGACGCTGATATTATCATGAGAGACGCAAATATAACAAGCGCGGCATTAAATGCTATTGAGTGGTCAGATACCATTAAGTTTGTTAAAAACACGACGTGTTTAAGGCTTTACGTACTGTAATAAAGAGAATAGTTCCATGCGCCTAGCAATTCACGTCGCCAGCTACTGGATAAAGTTATACAATGAACTATCGAGATGATAGAAATAGCGGATTCAACGCAGGATTCAACACTGTTAAGACTCATTTGGCGCAGAAGCCTTTTTTCAGCATTTCCTGAATTATCATCAGAGGTCCCAAGGGATTTTAGAAGACTTTCTAAATGTCGACGATGAAGCAAAATCCGAAGGTTATTATAGCGCACTGAGAGAACAATACTGAACCTGTGGCAAATGATTAAGTCTTTGTCCATTTTCTCAACATCCTCGGGGTTCATTAGAGTATCCCAAATGCGGAAACCCAAGGATGGGACGAGTTGAAGTCGCCAAAGATCTAATTGATGCTGTCCGTCAAATACGCGAGAGATGGCGCTGGAAACAGACGCGGGGTCTTCAAAGCCAAGGTTTTGCCCATAGCACGAATCCAAAACATTATAGAGTATGGTATAAAGTTTTCTAGGTACATGTACCGTCAGCAGAATAGTATGGCTCAAATTGTTTTGAGTGCTTACATGGCAGCCGTAAAGAAAGCGCCGTCGAGCTGAGGGCATGGCTCCATCTCCAAAGATGGCCCAAGCATTTGCATGTCGCTAAGGGGCATATCAAGCTTTATGTACGATTCAGGAATTGTACAAGGGCGACCAAATGTCATGCTCAGGGTACTGGATCGCGCAGTTTATCAGCATCCGCTTCATCGTAGAGGATATTAAGAAACTAACCGATCAAGAAGAATACACCCATACCAGGTTCGCTTACGAATCTCACATTCTAAAGGCGAAAATCCTTGGTTCGCGTCAGGTGAATGTAGTCCCAGTTGATAAGCCGCCGAAATAGCTAGTCCATGTGTAGTCCAAGCCTGTACGGACTTTTGGGTTCCCTGGAGATATTGGCCTAGAATCAGTAAATACTGTACTATAGAGAAGAAGAAGAAGAAGTTAGTAATATATTAATGTCATTGAGGGGTGGGTGGGACGTTATCGCTACATAGTACCCATACATACCCATTTCTAGGCTCGCATTTCGTTTAGAGTCTCGATCGCACAGTCCATTTGCTCGTTGGTAGTAGATATCGGACTCTTGTATCCTTTTATCAACAGGTATGTCGTCTTTTGCTGACAAACTCGCTGCGATGGCAAGGATAATATTAAGCAGACCGAGCCAAGTCCGCCGTACAGCGCGAAACCGCTCGCTTTTCATCTGGACATAGGTTTTACAGAAAGAAGGCTCATGGATAAATGGCAAAAGCTGTCCGGTCTTAAGAAAATATTGCTGAATTAAGCTCCATGTTCGCTCTTCTGATGGTAATGCGTATATGTTTACTCCCGCGTTTCTCGTTAAGTTATCAGCCCTTCCTGGCGTTGGTCCAGGGGATGGGGGCCTGGATTTGGACACGTTTACTATTCCTCTGCGTCTCTGGTCCGTTGGCGATACGGCGTCAGCTAATTCATTTCCTGATTTAGCTTGTAATATAGCTCGAGATATGTAGCGCATAAACGCAATATTTGACGAGGGACCTTGAATGAGTTAGCTGCCGAGATTTTCTCTTCTCTTTCTCTTCTGGGGAATCGGCGTTTGTGGCGTACCGAAAAACCCGCAGTCTTCTTCGTTTGTAAATTTCATGGCACCCATGCCATCTATGGAATTCTCTGAGATGTCAATCTCTCCCAGCTCAGCAGCGTCATGGCTTCCCAGCGTTGATGGAAACAACACAGATCGGTGCTCCTCGACGGTTGATAGCGACTCATTGGCAGGAGTATCGTGATCCCCGCGATTTGACAGTATAGCTCGCCCGTCATTCTGGGCACTATGTAGTTGCTGAAGGGAGCTTTCAATATCTTGCAGCCTCTGTTCAAGCTGGGCGATGTAACTATTTCCGCGATCAATAGACCAGAAAGAAGTCAATATGCGCATATCAAGCATTCTTACCTTCGCCCCACGGTCAAATTAGAAGGAGTAGAGCTATCTGGGTATTGACACTCTGCACCAAGCTCTTGGCATAAAGCGCAAGGATGATCACCGCTGCACTGTGAACGTTCCAGACCCAAGAGTTACGTCAGCGACTAAATGCTCAAAGTCGTATTCGCAAGCATCTAGTGTAATACTCACGCGGGATTTCCGGCGTCGGCACAAACTGCATGCAAGGGTGACTCGTCGCCGCTTGTTGGGTGGAAGTGCCGGGGAAGACATAGTAAAGACTCGGTCTTGTTCTGGTAGGAAAACGGATGCGTTCCCCGTGCCGTATGGGAATATATCTATGGAGAGCTTGGCCGGCACTATCCCGCCGTCGGAAGTACTTTGCCGAAATCCCAAGACGCCTCACAGAGCGGCGTTGAGCTAGTGAAGAGCTAAACCCCAACTTTTGGATCTGTGGGGAGCGATTCATGTTAACCGAAACGGATCAAGACGGATTTGGGGAACCCCAGCTCTGTGTTGGATGTATGAGCCCGGAATATGGTTATTTGTACATTATTCAACAAAGTGGCAAGAAGTGTTTCTTGTACAGCAAAACCGGCAAAGCTGGCAAAGGCTTCAAATTTTGCGTTAGGAGGAGTGGAGGATTGCCTGACATAGAGAATAGTGAAAGATGTGGAGCTCTTTATTCATCATGGCGGTTTCATTTTAAGGTTTCACATTCAACAGCTGCCCAGTCATGAAAATCCGGATAATTGATTCTAATATTAAGTTACAAATATAAGATCAATACTCGTATAAATTCTCTTGTTATGCAACAGAAACCGTTCCCGCACATGCAATCAAGGCGCCGCTTGCTTCTGTTTCGGAGCTTCATTCGTGAACCATCCCATATACTTATTTTCCGTAATGCGTAGAACACCGGTCTCAGCGTCGACGGCGTCTTTTCCTCCATTCAACACACGGCTCAGCGATTCCTCAGCGTGACCCTCGGCATCATATCCATACACCTCCAAGACAGTCTGCGGGTCTCCATAAAGGTTGCTGCTTCGAATAAAGTACTTGCCCTCCATCTCAGTGGACATGGCAATGTCACGCTGTCGGCTCTGCGGGCCATCCGGCAAATGCCAAATTGCGCCATTGATGAATGAAACCTGTTGCTTCATGTATGCCTTTGGCATGCGCTCGGTTTCGAAAATCTTGATAGCCTCACTCAAGGTGAGCTTGCCTTGCGCAACTGCGCCGATACACTTGCCCAAAAAGGCACCGTCTTCCATGGCTGTGGCAGCTCCTTGTGCCATGTGGTTGACCATTGAGTGGGCGGCGTCACCCATCAAAACTACGTTCTTCTTAGGTGAAGACCATGATTCCAAGGGCCCAGTCACCAGCAAAGGCCAGCGAGACTAGTAAGTCTGTGATTAGCAAAAGGATTGCTGCATTAGTGGAAAGACTTTCATGACTACTTACTGTCTGTGGGACCATATCAATGATTCTCTTGATTCTTGGATCAAAATCTTTGTACTCGAATTGCAATTCTTGGATTGGGACGTCGTGTTGAGTGGCCTGGAGCTTCTTAGGCGGATGGTGCGACAGTACCATGTTGAAGACATCGCCACCACTGATGGGATACGTAATAACATAAGCGTCTGGAGCCATCCAGACTTCCATGGTCAGCTTATCGACAATCTCCTTCGCAATTGGATCTTGACGAATGAGATCATATGGCACAATTGCCCTGTATGCACAATTGGTCGTTGGGCACTCCGGGACGACATCAGGAAAGAGTGCTTGACGCACAATGCTGTTGACCCCATCAGCACCGATGCACAAGTCGAATCTATGTGAGTCGCCCTTGGCTGTCTTTGCTGTTACTCTGTCCTCAGAGGTATACTCAATTTCGACAACCCTAGAGTCAATATGGATCACTGCACCCAGTTGCTCTGCTACCTCCACTAGACCTTCATGGAGGTGAGCGCGATGGACAAGCCACCAAGGTCGTCCCAATGTTTTCTCCAGAATGGGGATGTTGGTATATCCAACTTTGGTGCCATCTTTACGACGCATGTTAAGTTCTTCGATCTGAACTAGGTTGTTTCCAATCACTTTGTCGACTCCCCATCTTTGAAGGAGGACAGACACATTGGGGGTCATTTGGATGCCAGCGCCAATCTATATCATGGTAATACTCTGTCAGTTGCACGATCTTAAACAAGGTTATGAGGATGCCTACTTCTCCTAACTTCGCGGCTCCTTCTAGTAGAGTAACTTCAACGCCGGCTCGACGAAGGGCAATGGCAGCCGCCAGGCCGCCGATTCCCGCCCCAATAATTCCAACATGGAATTTTTGAATAGCCTAACACTGTAAGTAAATCCTGCTGTCCCTCGCATAAACACCTAGTTCGTACTCACCATCTTGTGTTATGGTGTTATATGTGAATGATGTTAAACCTGAAAGAAAAATGGATAAGAATAATAAATCAGAAAGTGCTGATCTAGATAGAATTCATGTTAATCATGGATTTCCTGAGACATATTTATCGCTTTTTTCTCATCTATACAACATGAGATGCCGAGTTTCGGATGTCGGCCCGTCGGGGAGTTAGGAAGTTAGATCAATTCTGATTTCCAAATTAAATATTGGACAACTTCGATATCTTCTTAAACAGATGGTTGGAAATCTGTTTTATTCTTTTTAGTGCCTATTTTGATTGCTATTGCTCTTCTTGAACTTATTTTTGCAATACTGCTGATAATTGTTTCTTGCTGGTTTTACCATGGCAGAACACGTAAAGACATCATTTGTTCCCCACTTAGGAGGCATCCATGTTGGATATAGATATTCTTTTACTGGTTCTTCCCTTCCGACTCTAGTATTAATTAATCCATTCACCACAACTTCCGACTACTATCGCCCGGAATTCGAAAGTGAGCAGCTGGCTGACAAGTTTAATATTCTTGCCGTTGAACCCCTTGGACATGGCGCTACGCAAACAAACAGCGAAACATTTACGTACTGGGATTCAGCAATTATGATTATACAACTTTTGGACGTCCTTGGGATTAATCAAGCCTTCGTAGCCGGCACGTCCCAGGGAGGATGGATAGCTGCGCGAATGGCACTTCTTTCGCCAAAGAAAGTTAGTCTACCATGTCTGTACCATGATCTCTTCCGCTTTTATTCATTTCATTCAATAGGTTAATGGCATTATTCTCATTGGAACTTCCATGGATTTTGAGTCTCCAGAAAGTCGAGAATTAGGCTGTTGGAACGGCCCGCAGGCCACCTCCGCACTAGTTACAAAGAGTGCTGACTTTAGGCCCCACGATGATTTCGAACCTGGCAGTGGGTATATTGACTTTTTAATGGAAATTGGATATGGGGAAAAAGTGACTCCGGATTTGATACAAATATGGTCCAAATCTATCCCGAAGATTTACTCAGGAGATGTCGGGAAGAAATTGATCTGCATGGCTGCTGTTTGTCTGGCTTCTCGAGATGGGCTATATGCCCGCGTACCTCATATCAGATGTCCAGTGCTCTGGATGCAGGTATTTAACCCGTCCCTTATTCCTATTCACTCCGATATCTGACAGGCATTAGGGAACAAATGATGTTGTCTTTAGTGTGGCCAATGCGGAAAAGGAAATTAAAATGTTCACTAATGCTCCTGAGGCAAAATTGGTCGTGATGGAGGGCGGTGTTCATTTTCTGAGCTTCACACATGGGAAAGAGCTTGAAAAGAATATCCTGGAGTTTACAGAACAATGGGCGGCGAAATTAAATGGTGAATATTCTGATTAGTCCTAGCTTTCCTGGAAAGCATAATGGTATTAATGTCCTTGTCTTATCCATTCGAAAAGAGGCGCAAAGTGACGATGATGGCTCATTCACATAATGCAGCACTATAACAATAATCAAGGATAAACAGCTGTATGTAATGCTCTCCCTATAGATCATCACTGGAAGAAGTATTAAAGAACTTCTATAACTGTATTATATACATAGATGTTTTTCTTAATCGCTTTGCAGTATATTTGGCTTTTAGTTTGAGATACAAAATATCTATTAGTTTGCCAAATAGATACATAACATCTTAGAATGCAACACCAGGAGCTAAACAGGCTTCAAGAGACCGATGCTAAGACAATTTCTGAAGTTACTGGACAAGTCATGAGTATAGGGAACTGCAATGTCAGACCGGAGGAGCTTGATTTCACTAATTCCTACATAACTGTTCTTTATGTACAGGTAGTTCCATTGATCTGCTTTTCCCTTCCATTCTTTTTGCTCTGTTTTTCCAACATGCCAAGAACAGAGCCTCCTGGTCCTATATTTCCCACCCTTAGTTTATGTTCGTGAGCATAAAGCTAGCGCCTTCAGCTGAAACGCAAGAGCGAGCATTAGACAACGAGTTGGTGCTGAATGGGCCAGTGCAGTCGCCGTTACGGAATGCCCGGATTCCAAGATTGCGGCCAAAGAAACTCTGGGCGATGTTGCGCTGGACATAAAAGTTGAATGCTTCATGAGCAGGGTGGCATTCACCAACATTTCCAATTGTGAAGGTTTGGAAAGCAGTATCAGAGCAACTGCCGGCGTGTAGCTCAATGGTTAAAGTGTCGGCACTGGCAAGGCCAACAGCGAGCGTAAGGATAGCCAGAATGGACTTCATGTTGGAAAAGTTTATAATGAGTAAATATGTAAGGTTGTGATTGATGTTTGGCTTGTTTGCGGTGGTTATTATTCAAGAGTTCAAATTATAACGTGAAAGCAGTTGTTTATATATACGTTGCCCTTGCAGTAAGGCGGAGCAGATTTTTACTATGAAGATATAACTGGTGGAATACCATCCTCCATTGGCTTCTCGTCAAGCAATTAGACCATAGAGACTTCAAGGAATACCACAAGAGGTTCCGGCACGACGCCCGCAACCGCTGCAAGTCCCTACATGCCAAGACCTTAATGAAGCTTTGTCCAATGCCGCATGACCCGTCCCTTTCTACCAGAAGTACCGGCTAAAGAGTATACCAACAGCATCAGACACTGAGGCTACCTATTAGACATTAAGGAACACAAAGAGTTTCAGTAACTAAATGTAGTAAAGGACACAGGCCTCTACCTCTACGGCATTCCCCTTCTCCCAACTCCTCAGATTAAGATACAAGCAGCACAAATAAAACCCCTTGTCTTTTAATTCAAAATATATAGCAAACGCAGGACCAACCGCCAGCACCTCCTAAAGACCTATTACTGTAACAATTCGTTATGCCGTTAAGCCAAACAGGGCAAAAGATTAGGCCAATAACCGCAATTGTAGCAATTACTGAGACGGAAGCAGTCGCTTAAAGGGGGTTTAACTGTTACAAGGGACTAGGTCATAACAATTACCTACATGTAGAGAGTAAACCTAGCTTATGTAATAGTAATTAACCATAAAATAAGCAAACAAATAACCGGTGGAATATTTATTTAAAATACAAGCAAGGTTCAGCTTCCTGTAAGCTGATTACTATTATTTTAAGGCGGGGCAGGGCGAACTTTCAACATAAATAACTTATGACTTATAGTAATATATATTTAGAATACAAGCATAGCTTAGGTATTGTACGCTCATTTACATAACATACGATATTTAACTGCTATTAAGAAATCATGACGAATAATAGCATACTTACTTGGTATTAGGCTAAAGGAGGCTATAATATTCAACGTGGGTCTTATACTGGGGAATCTAAGCATAAGTATCATTATACACTCAAGAACAGAAGCATTGATATCCAAATGAACAAGAGCTTGCATTGTCTGTAAATATTTGGCCTGTATATATGTGAACCAGTAGATTTAGAAGAAGATTAATAACTCACTGTACAGTGAGGCTATATGAATCCGCTTTTAGAACTCACTAGGAACTAAGGAATGGTAATAGACTCTTTCTGTGCTATAGACCTTAGATCTTCTCTCATCTAGCTGCAATTTACGGGTATTATAAAATACCACCGCCAGCGGCATCGACGCGATGCCGGAATGCTATAAAATCGGTGGCATCGGAGGACCCGGGCCGACGGTCCGTCGGCTAAGTATTCGTTGGCCCGATGAGGATTGCCACCACTATAGAGCCACTCAATCGGATGATGGCGATGTTATAATAACCGTATTGTAGTATTTTCAATTCCACTTGCGCTTGGTTGTATTCGAAGTGCTATTGAATACTCAGAATAGCAGTTCATCACCACCTTGTTTCTTTTAGTCTCAGCAATAAGCCATTATAATGAGCTACATTATTCCACAGGTTAGCACAACCATTATTGCAACTGCAGCACTCCAAAAATAGGTCTCATATTTAATCACCTCACAGTTAAAAGATAGCTCGCTGTTTATCAGCAGGGCGTACGTGAATGGAGAATGGATAGAAGCGAAGTCGGGCGAAAAGTTCGAAGTTAATGGTTAGTAGACTTGGTAACATATCAATACGATATTCTAATCTATTTTACGACTAACTTTACTGTCTAGACCCTGCAACTGGCATGTTAATTGGTACTTGCCCTGAATGCTCAGCTGTAGACGTTGAGAAGGCCATACTGGCTGCCGCCGCGGCTTTCTCTACCAGTCGAAAAATGTTGGGCCGTCAGCGAGCCCGTATCTTACAACGCTGGTATCAACTCGTCATGGATAATGCAGATGACCTCGCCACTCTTATCACATGGGAGAACGGAAAGCCATTAGCTGAGGCACGCGATGAGATAACTTACGCAGCAAGCTTTCTGGAGTGGTTTAGCGAGGAGGCGCCACGAATCTATGGAGATACAATTCCTTCTGTGATTCCAGAACATCGAATCATTACCGTCAAGGAGCCAGTGGGAGTCTGCGCTCTGATCACTCCCTGGAATTTCCCAGCAGCAATGGTTACTAGAAAAATCGCGCCTGCTTTGGCGGCAGGTTGCACGGTAATCTTAAAGTCTCCAGCGGAAACACCGTTCACAGCAAATGCTCTAGTGGAGTTAGCCCATAGAGCGGGTGTACCAAAAGGCTTCATAAACATTGTGACGGCAATGGATAACACAGCTCAGGTTGGCAAGTTGCTAACTACTGACTCTGAAGTTCACAAAATTTCATTTACTGGTTCAACAAATGTAGGAAGGATTCTCATGGAACAAGCAGCGTCTACAATAAAAAAGGTTTCCTGGGAACTTGGGGGTAATGCACCGTTCATTGTTTTTGATGATGTCGAAAATCTCGATGCAGCTGTCGACGCAGCTCTCATTGCCAAGTTTCGCAATTCTGGTCAGACTTGTGTCTGTGCCAATCGAATTTACATCCAGTCACGGCATTATGAGGAATTTGCCAAGCGTTTAAGCGAACGAGTTAAGAAGTTCAAGCTTGGGCCGGGATTTCTCGATGGCGTTACCCATGGACCGCTGATTCACAAGCGCGCATTAGAAAAGGTCGACGAACAAGTTCGCGACGCAGTATTCAAAGGCGCTACGATCATCGCTGGAGGTAAAAGATGCATTGAGCTTGGACCGACCTTCTATGAACCCACTGTTTTGACAGGCATGACTCAAGACATGCGGCTGGCCTCTGAAGAAACATTCGGCCCGGTGGCTGGGCTATTCTCTTTCGAGACGGAGCAGGATGTTGTTAAGCTTGCCAACTGTGCAGAGGTAGGCTTAGCTGGCTACTTCTTTAGTAGCAGCATGGCTCGAGTGTTTCGAATTGCAGAAGCTTTGAATGTGGGCATGATTGGCGTCAATACTGGACGAATCAGTGAAGCGGCATCACCGTAAGAACACCATCCTCATATAGATGGTTCATTTTGCAAGTAAGAGATTTGCTAACACGAAATAGATTTGGCGGTGTAAAGCAAAGCGGATTTGGGCGCGAGGGGAGCAAGTATGGTATTGAGGAATATGTTACTACAAAAACTATTACCTTTGGCGGGTTAAATGCATCTGACTTTTAGAATAAAGATAGACATAGATATGTACTACAACCCAGGTTTGTAAATTGAAGATGGATTAGATACCAGATCGATTCATAACAAGTTCTTGAACACATGCCAACGTCTACTAGGCGGAGAGAGATCACATAGGCTCTATCGGTGTTTACCAGTGTCAAACTAACAGAGTATGGGATATTGTTACGACCTGAACCCCATGTCCATACATTAGTAGCCTAAAGGTACGTACTTAAGGATTAACTAAGGACCGATAGACCAATTAAAGAAGGATCACAGTTTATAAGCACCTTTGTTGAATCACTTCCGTAAGCCATCGTAAGCCTATGCATTATAATCTAACTGTAATCTAAACAAAACGACTTACTATATAAGACTATTTATTATGCTTATTAAATATAGCTTAAATAATCAGTTATTAATATAGCATTCATATAACAACTAGCTTAAACTCTCATTTAAAGTTATTAGCTATATAACTAAGACCGCTCATAAGATCCTTCGTATCTCTCTGCCAACATAAACCCGACGTTAAAGGTTTATCCCTTAAGAACTAAATTACCCTATACTAAGTATAGGATTAAAACGTTATACATTAATAACTCTTGTTCAGAAAGATACTTTAGATCTTTTGAGCAATTAAACCACTATGTCTCAAGACAACACCGAAAGCCAACTCGCTCTAGAGGAGACTCTTTTCTTTACCCAAGATAATAATGGGAACATCACTATAGGAGGGACCCCTGATTAAAAGAACATAGACGGCAATAAAGCCGCCAAGTTAATAAAAAATATATATAAGTTAAACAAGATTCTTGTGGATAAACTCAACAATAAGAAGTCTGCTAAAAAGGACATAGAAGCACTTATTAAACAACAACCTCCACCTATATTTAATAGCAAGACTAGCGAACTCCATTCCTTTTAAACTTAACTTAAGGCCTACTTTAAAGATTTTAAAACTACTTTTAATACAGAATACAAAAAGACTTCCTTTGCGGCCTCTTGCCTTAAAGGAACCGCTCTCAAATGGTTTCATCCTATGTAGGACGCCTACCTTAATAACCTAAAAGGACCCCTGCTAACTCAAGTTTAAGAGGTTTTTAATAGCTTTAAACAATTTAAAAAGGAACTCGCTAAAGCATTTAAAGACATCAGAGAAATCTAAATGGCTGAAAACAAACTTGCAAACATCTACTAAAAGGGAAAATATTTTAACTATACTGTAAAATTTAAAGACTGTTACGACCCAACTCTTATGGTCGCAACTATGGGCCTACCGGGTAGGCATCGCTGGATTAACTTAAGCCCGGCACATCAATCAGCAATGGCTCGACATAAATTATATTTAATCTATCTTAACGCATACTTAAGATCAATAGAAATTAACATTAATCTATTATAATCTAAAGATATTAACTAAATATATAAGTTTAATTCTTATGCTTATTTAAATAACTTAAATAGCTAGTTGTTAATATAGTTTTATACCTATAGATTAGAAAGCACTTTTAATCTCTACTAGTAACTATTATTATAATATTATTATCTATAGGTTTCCTAACCCATCTGCTAATATAAACCTAAAGAACTCATTCTAGGTTTATCCCTTAGAAATCTACCCTATATTAACTATTTAATATATAGTTTATTATATATTAATAACTCTTATTTAAATAATTACTAAACCTATAGGCAATAATAAAAATATAGCAGGCAATAATTAGTAAAGAATTACTTTTATATATAAAAAAACTTAGAAATAACATCTACTACTTACTTTAGAGTAAATAGCAATTAATTTACTCCTTTTATAAATTAAAAAGCTAAAAAATTAACTAAAGAATAAAAAAAAAAAAAAAAAAAAAATCCTTAGGCTTAAGCAACCTAATGACTTTAATAAAAATACCTTAAAAATAAATAAATTCTTTACTAAATTAAATATTTATTTTAGCTATTTTTTAACTAACCTAGGAGACAATAAGGACTAAGTCCTTTTTATAGCTAATTGCCTTATAGGAACTGCTGCTAAATAATTTAGGCTTATTTTAATAGACTATAATGCTATAAAAGAAAAACCCACTAAAATAAAGATTTAAATAAGCAAGATTTTTAGTAATTATAAAACTTTTAAAGATTAATTAAAAAAATCCTTTAAAACTATAAATAAAAAATAAAAAGCAGAAAGAGAACTTAAGTTTTTATAATAAAAAGGAGCTTTATTTAAGTATACTACTACCTTTTTATGCCTGCTTACTAAAGTTAACTAGACTAAAGAAATAAAAAAAGAAGTTTACTATAATAATATTAAGTCTAAAGTTAAAGATAAATTATTTAAAAAAAATTAAAGTAAAATTAAATTTATTAAATATACCTAGAAGGCTATTAATATTAATAATTATAACTTTAAAAGAAATTAAAAATATAAACTAAAGAAATATAGCTATTAATTAACCTTTTAATAAAAATCTTAATATTATATAAACTAAAGCAAGAAATAAAAGGAATATATTATAAAAAATAATAAAACCTAACTTAAATAAATAGACCTTAATACTATTAAGGCAATTAAGTTTAAAGGAAAATATTATTTTTATAGTAAACTAGGCTATAAAGAAGTATATTGCTACTTTAAGAAGAAGCAAGAAGAAAATAGAAAAAGCCTTAAATAAAATAATAAAGCCAATAAAGCTTAAATAGATATTATTATTAAACTACTCTATAACAGCCTTAGTTAAACTGTCTGTTATAATAACGCATGTCTTATATATAGAAGTAATAAAGATAGATTAAGATACTACCTAAAGAAGCTAAGAAAAATAAAACCTTAAAAAAAAGTTAAAATTAATACTTTAACCTTCTATAAGCTACTTAATAATAAAAATTTAAATTTTAGTATAAAATTAATTTATAAATACTATAGATTTATTAATATTATTTATAAATATAATAAAAAATAAGTAATAATATAAAAGGAAAACTATAACTGCAATAATTACTACTTATAAAACCTAGACTATAAATGCTAAGGATGCCTGGACTGTAGATTTATAGAAAGATATTAATATAGTTATAAAGGCAAATAGTAATAAAATATAAAAGCTATGTATAAACTTTTTAAGGAAGAAAATAAATTAGCTAAAGAATACTTTAAAGAATAAAGAAAAGCATAATTTATAAAAGAATAGAAACTTTTAAATAAAAAAACTAGCAAAAATAATATTATCTATAATAAAAATATACACCCCTTTATAAAATATAAAGCTACTTTTAAAAATATATATAATAGCAATAATATTAATAATAATAAATGTTATTAATGCAGTTTCCAGGAACTATAATATAATAAAACTTGCCTAAAGTTTAATAGAAAAATATATAAATGCCTATAATGTTATTTATAAAATATAAATTACTATTATAAAAAACTACAAAAGTTAAATAAATTAGTTCTATTTTATATATATTAATATAACCTCTGTTACTCTTAGGACTTTAATTATAACTATAAAGGATATAATATTTATAATTTAATAAATAAAGAATATAACTGCATATATATCTTAGAAGCATAGGCAGAAGAAGAAGAAAAACAAGAAGAAAAATAACAGTATTTTAAAGAACATCTACTATAGAAGATAAGTTTAAAATAAATACAAGAATAAATAAAGGCTATTAAATTAAACCTTAAAGATGCTTATACCTGCGTTTTAATTTATAATATTCTTAATGCTTTTAATAAAAATTATAAAAAACATTACTAAAAAGAATATAATAATATATACTGCTAAATATATATATTTAATAAATTAGTAGATTAATAAAGCAAGCGACTAAAGAGAGTTAAAGTATAAAATTACTTAATAGATTACTTTTTAAACTATAATATATAATACTGTAGAAAACACTGTAAAAAAAAACACTAGTTTTATTAAATAACTTAAAAACTCTTATAAAAAAACTATAACTTTAATAATTACTTAAATAAAAGATAAGGAAATAAAACCTTAATTAAAAAATATTATTAAATAATTAAAGAATAAAATAATTAAATTAAATGCCAATGGTATAAGAAATATTAATCTAAGATATAGTAAGAAAGCCCTTTAAATATAATTATCATTAACTTAATTAAAATATTAAAAAAGAAACTAGTAATTAATAAATATTTAAACCAGTAATTAATTAAGATTTATATAGACAGCAGTTTAAATTATAACTTAATTGCTAATAGCCTAGTAGACTGGCTTAAAATACTATATATTATTAAAAAGACACTATTAATTGTCTTTAGTATTGTAAATATAAATATAAAAACAACTATTACCTATAAGACTAATTATCTCTCTATAATAGTTATTAATTAAACTAAAGATATTAAGTTTAATATACTAGATTTAAGAGACTGTAATATTTTACTAAAATACCTATAGTTAAAAAAATATAACCCTATAATTAACTAAAAGATAAAAGAAATAACTTAAGAAGAAGATATTTCCCTAAAATTATAACTAAGCCAGGAAGGGGGCAAAGAAAGCAAAGACGCACTTATAGACTTATAACTAAAACCTCCTGCACAATTAAAGAAAAAGAAATAAAATAAAAAAAATAAAGCTAAAAAAATAAAAATATATAAAAAAATTAAATTTAACCTTAAAAAATTACTAGTATTATTATAATATAATAATTAATAGTAGAAAGCAAAAATTATATAAATTAATAGAATTATTGCTAGATATTATATAAAACTAGCTAAATTTAATATAGTATTAGCAAAAGCAAAAGAATAAGCTAAAGATAATAAAAATAAACCCTTAGCTAAAATACTATAATAATATTAAAAGTATAAGAAATTATATTAGCAAGTACTTAAAAAAGGACTATTACCTTACTTAAAATAAGATTATAAGATTGTTTTTAAAGATAGAACTTCACTAAAGCTCTACAAGATCTATAACTTAAATAAAACTAAGCTTAAAATGCTTAAGGAATAGCTATAAA